TATATTTATTTTTACTTAATCGTTTAAAATTGATGATGCATCATTTTGGACAATTTTTTAGTACAATTTTGTTTGGTCTTGTATAGAGATCTTTACATGCTGTGTTCATTATTTGACAACTAATATTGGATTTATCATATAAATCGTGATTATGTTCTCCAACTGTAGACATAAACGAATTGTTTTTATCAGTATATAACTTAGTGTCACATGCTCTCGTTACACATTATCAAAGAACGGAATGATCTTTTTTTGTTCGTTGAACCAAAATTATATTTAAAATTATTACAGAGCACCATACGGCCTTCCTATTTACTTTTTAAGAACTAAATTTTAATAAAATTATTAATTAATATATTTTTAAAGAAGAAAAACAAAAAAAAAAACGCTCAATAAATTAATTTAGCAAAAAGCGAAGAAATGAAACTCGTAGCAATTGCACCGAATGACTAACCTCTCATATTATATTATTATTTTGAACCAACAAAATGACGTTAGCAATAAATTTACTAGATAACAAACACTAAAAATAAATTTAATCAATAATATATTACTTACATAGTTATACCTAATCATAAATATTCTGCCGATTTTCTAAATCAATATTAATACAAGCATACCAAATCTCACCTGTAAATATAAATAAACTACAATATAAAAATACACCATTGGTCATCGTTATGGGTTTATAGGTTATAGCATACTTCATATTAGTTTATAGTAACTCTCTGGGTAATGCTAAAATGGTTTTAATAAAACATTATGTAAACAAATAACAAAAAATGTAAGAAGTAATGTAAATAGTTTTGATACATGGTTTCTAAAATGTTGAACGTATAACCACGGGCGAAAAGAGTAATACATATATGTTTAATATATCAATATAAACAAATAAATGAATGTGTCGCCTGGAGTATTATTAAATGTTTGTTATACAACCGGTTTTGAATTAAAAATTGATCGTTAAGTAAAATCACAAAGTCAAAAAGTAAAATGCGACTGAATATGAAAGAAATAAATGAAGGAATAAGTACACGGCGAAAAAATTATAAAATTAGTCGTTTTACATAGAAATAATTTATTTTAATAGGAGAGATTATTTAAAATTAGTTATTATTAAACATAGATATGTTATGAAATATAAACTATTTGGTTATTATTTATTACTTAAGTTACACATTAATTTATTACTTATTTATTTATTTAGAGTAATAACCATTTAATAACATTGTTTTTACATTATATTATATACTAAATTTAGGTAAAAAGAGACCTCCCCAGAAGAATAATCACCACTGGTTGCTGTATTGTTCATAAAAACCTCATAAAAATCATGAAAAATACAAACCTCACAACCAGTGGCGTAGCTAGATGGAAAAGTGCCCCGAAGTAATTAAAAAACTAGACCCTCTATAATTATTGTTTATTTCTTCGAAAAGATAATGGGCCCCAACTGAACAAAATATAAACTAACATAATCTTTAAGAAAATTTGAAATATATGCACACATACTTAACAACTTTTAAGTGTAAATAATTACTATGAAACGTAAAATCAAAATAATTATTATTAATAAATAAATAATATATTATAATAAATAAATAATATATTATAATAAATAAATAATATATTATAATAAATAAATAATATATTATAATAAATAAAGTAAAAGGAAATCCAGTTTGCTATACAGTTTGTTATACTACACAAATCATAACCATCAATACTGTGAACAAATGTATATTATTGTGTGTATTAATAATTTATTTAAATATACTGATTGTGACTAAAATTACCATGTAAGATTTAAAACATTCATTATTAATAATACATTTTAAGGAAGTAATTTCAGAATTATCCGAGACACTGCCCCGCTTTGCCTTATGATAGCTACGCCACTGCTCCACCACCTTTCAACCAAAAAACAGTGTTTCTGACAGTGGCGGCTCGTGGGTTTTTAATGAAGTAGTGCACACCCAAAAAAAAAAAAAATATAACCAATATTAAACATAATATATTATACATTGTATTAAATAATTGTTTACAAACTTTAGTTATTTACCAATTACCTTTTATTCTTATTTTCATTCTTTACCCAAGCGACATCATTCAATTTTTGATCAAAAAGTAAACAGGGAAAACAATACAAACGATTAGTTTCTGAACAACCATAAATCCAGTCATAGGTTTTATATATATTATTATTAAATTTTCTTACATATTCTCTCGTTTTACATTTAGTAATTTGTTTAATATTTAAGTCTGGAGTAGGCCTACCTTTATTTTTTATTTCCATCTTTTTCTCCAACGAGATTGTTGAAAAATTGCATTGCAGTATTTTCTGTACTGAATTCATTTTAAAAATTGAAAACAAATACACGAATAATAATAAACGTAATGTCGGTCGTCGATAGAAAACAGAAACACGATTGTTGTTTTGAATTTCCGATAATGATTGACTAGCCAATATTNTTTGTGCACAGAAACAAATGTGCACACTAATTCCATTATAACGCGGGTTACGTGTTTCGGCTTGTTTTAATTTTTACACTGTACAAATGTGCACAACTCCCACCACTATAATACACACCGATACTGTTCCGTCGCGGACAACAGTCCGGCTATTTGACAATCGAAATAACGCAAACTAAATATTATATTATTTTCATAATATTCTGAATTTATAATTTTATATTTTGAAAAATAATCTTAATAATACTACAGGTACTTAGTAGTTAGTTGTATTATTATGATTTATGTTTTCAATTTTTCTTGAGTTTGGGTAGGTAGTGCACGCGCACTTGTGCACATATAAACGAGCCGCCACTGGTTTCTGATGACTATTTGACTCGAGATCTGGGCTCTCAGCTTTGTATCTTATATCTTAATGTGGAAGGAATCAGTAACCGTAGTGATAAGAGTATATCTTGAACAACTATTACAAGATAATAAAATAGATGTAGTCAGGTTATAGGAAATCCATATATTTGATGAGCTACAAATAGCACGGATAGCGACAATTGCTGGATATATACGCTAATTTCAGATATATACCACAGAAGCTATGGATCTGCCACCTACATTAGAAAACAATATAAACTGGAGCCATTTATTTTCAATATTGACAGATGCTGCATCCATTATAGCTATATGTGTCATTAAGATAATCAATCTTAACATATCTATAAAACCACCAAACGAAATATGGCCCGCTCCATCATTACCAGCTATGCCACATCAATCAGTTTAAGTACATAGAAAATTCAATCTTTAATCGTAGGACATTGGTCTAACAGTGCAAACGAAAATATTTGTACTGGACATTTTTATTTGGTCAGACTTCAACCCAAATTACTGTATGAGGTACTATAGTATTAAAAATGTTATGAGTTATGAGCTATGAGTTATTCTACTTTAAAAGAATCTCATTTAAAAAATCAAAAGTTGTTATCACCACAAGATACTTCTAAATGTGAAAATCATAGAATTTGAATTTATACACAATTTAATAGAATGAGAATTAGAGTGGCCCTTAATTTTAAAATTTCAAATTTCTCATCTCACTCAGTCACTGCCTTATTTTGTTACAACATACAGCTTGCACTTTATCAATGATACCCCATTCTTCTAACAATTCAAAAATAATTTTTGCTTGATTTACACTAGGTTTAAAAGTTCACTGAGCATGCTTAAAAAATTGCCATGTATGCATTATATTGATATTTTCATAGTTATAAAAAAAAGATTATGTAAATAATAATAGTTTTTAAAAATCATCATTAACCCCTTTTACCTAATACAAAATCAGTTGCCACTGTAAATGACACAATTAACATAATAAATATAATTATTTATTTATAATGACAATTCCAATAATAAAAAAAAATGTTTACATAGTAAAAGAAATCAAATAGATAGCAGACATTTTGTACATAGTCACTAAATTCCTTGTACAGGATACTTTTTTATTTGATGTTTTTTTCTTAAATCAACTTTTGATAATGCCAGCACAAGTAGAAGGGGGGAACATGAGGATCATAGCCTTCCTTAAATGATTTTTTTAAATTTATTTTTGTTTATATTTGTATTTATGTGTGTTAATTACACATATCTAGTACAAGCATTACCTATTACATGTATTATTTATATTAAGTTGTGTGCGATATGGACTAAATATATTTTAATTAATCAATTTTATTTATGTTTTTTTTTTGAGTATAAACAAAAAAAAATACATAAATACACTAAACTACATTTTCTACCAAAAATTATCTCTGAAGTTAATTATTGGACAGAAAAATAAACAATAATAAATTATTTGTTTAGCTCAGAATCTAAAAAGTATAGATTATATAGGTGCAAATAAATTCATTAATTGATTCATTGATTCATTCATTGTTAAAATTATACTGATACATCATACATTTTTAACTGATAATTTAAACAAATTTTAAATTGGTACTTTTTATTTATGAGAAGATATTTATATATGAAAGGTACAGGGAAAAAATTACAAGTCACTTTTTTTTCCAAAATGGCGATATGGATATCAAATCATTTGTATTGATATGCCATGCTATATTTATGTGATTAAAACAGTGAAAAAACCAGATTAATTGAAAGTAATGAATGCCAGAAGTTTAGGCATAAAGGTATTTAGGGGGGAAGGGTGGTCAATTTATAACCAGGTAAGTGCTGGTTAATACACAGCTATAGCCTATAATATAATATGACATAGTTATGTTGTGGTTACTACATTTCAAAGTTTAACATTAAACTAATCCGAACATTTTACTTAATAAAAAAAAAATTGTTACATTTTTAAATTAAAAACACATGTTTCTCAGTTTGAAAACAAGTGACTTCTGGTTTTTTAACTGTACTATTCAAATGTATAAGTATAATAAATTCTAGAATTTGTAAGATGCATATTAGACCCATACTACCTACATAGACTATATAATATAATCAATTTAATTGTTTTGAATATTTTAATTTGCAGAATTTGTCAATAAAATAATTGAGGCTATTTAAAATAAGTTTATTAACAAATAATGACTACCTAGATACAACTTTAAAAACACTGCATAGTAAAAAGATAATAAACTTCTTAAATGAATTATTATAGTAAACATTATCTTAAATAATTATTTTGATCTAATATTTATCATAATGTAGCTCACATTTCTTTTTCAGAAGAATCATTGTCTAATGATTTACTACCTATAAAAAAAAAAATATATATATATATATATTATCTTCATAGATAAACAAATAAATATGGATAAATTAAATACTACTACTACTACTACTAATAATAATAATATATAATACACTAATAATCTCTATTTTTCATAGACTGGGATTTTTATTAAATTCAGTTACTGATTTTTCAAGGTAATTTTGATAAAGTATAATAAAAGTAATTACTTTTAAATTTGAATTAGTTTACTGGATTTTGTAGACTACTTTAAACAAAAATTATCCAAATAATTTTTTTATTTTCGAAAAAATCCCTTCATCTGTTGGGGTTGATTGTGTCTGATCAGCGAATGACCCTAAAAACAAAAAAATATTCTCTTCTTGTAACAGAAATGTAATGTGTATAAACACATATTGTTATTGTTTTAGATTAAGTTTAAGTGTTGTAAAAAGTATGTAAATTGTAGATTTCAAGTTTGTTTTACAAGCATAATTATATTACTAATTTGTGGGAAATGCACAGACTACAAATTCTTAAATTTTAAAAATTTGAAGTAATACTAATCATTTATATTAATAAAGATGACAATTTAATAAGCTCCCAGACTATGAAACTTTAAGTGTTCAGAGTATGATATAAACTAAACAAATAAATATTAATATTTTCTGATGATAAATTTAGTGTTTAAATGCTAATTGAAAATACTCAATAACCTTGCACAAAACCAAGCAATTTTAATTTTGTTTTTTTAGTTAGTTGTTATGATTAGTAATGCACTCCAAATTGTATACTGTTGATTATGCGCATGTACAAAACTATTTTATTTTTATTTTTCATGAATTTCAACAACCAAACCACTTCTAAGGTCAAATATAGGTGGAGATAGTAAACTTAAATTTATTCAATAAGTTTGATAATACGTTAATTGTATATTATTTTTCTCAATATTTTTACAAAATTGTAATACTATAAGGAAGATAAATATTTCTTTATTTTCTACCGTTTATTGTGTTTTATTGAGCATTTTAAACTTGCCATTAAAATAAATATTACTTCTTAATAGCCTCATATGTATAAATGTTGAAAAATTTAAATTGTTACACCTTAGCTAATTTTGTAATTAGAAATGTGGATTTAGGATAATTCACAGTTGGTTGGTCATAGAACCAGGTTCAATGTAAAACCACTTTTTCATCAAAAAATAAACTAAAAGGGTCAGGTTTATATAATAGTATATATTTCATTTTGTTAACTTTATTATTTTTATGTAAAACAGTATATGTCACAATAAGGGCACTGTAACATTTAAGAATGCACCACCTCTTTTTGCACATGTTTACATTATATTGGTTAACAATATTGAAAGTGTACATCTACTTATCTATGTACTTTTACCAAATAAATAAGCAAAAACATACCAACAATATTTTCATAGATTATAACAATTAAAAAAAACCTAATTTATGCCTTAATTTTATATTGTGTGACTTTGAAAATTAAATGCTGCTATAATATCTATGAAAGGCGCTTTTTAAATGCTCAAATCAATAGAAATTTGTATCAAAAATTTCAAATTACTAAAAAATGTAGATTTTGCCCTCTCTATTAAAATTATGACTGCATTAGATTTTGTAAAAATTGAAGACACCCAGATGAACTAGAACACCATTTACCAGAAAGTTAGACGATCTTTTGGATTGGTTTGAGGGCAACTATATTGGCTGCAAAAATAGATCAAAAAATGGATGAAGACCAGAACTTTTTCCTCGGTAATTATGGAATATAAAGGATCAAATAAACATTGGTCAATATCCTACTAATAATTATGCCGAAACTGCCAACCGGAAGTAATTAAAAATAATTATCAAATAGTTACAATCCCAAAATGATGTTAATCATAATATTTTAGATCAAATATTAAATGATTGTTAGCCAACATTGCGGTTGTTTATATAAAGTCCTTGTAAAATCCAGTCTAGCTGTACATATACATACTACGCCCAATTGGAAGTGGGGGAAGGAGGGGGAGAAGTGCAATTTTTTTAAAAAATATGTAGATATTGATACAAGATTAATCAAAATTGTGAGAAATTCCAAGTAATAGTTTCACTATCATTTTTACAAGGAAATTCTCAAAATACACCTTTAAAATTATCTAATCATTATTGCTATTAAATATCAACTATAATGCTCAAAACATCTTCACTATTATTGAATATTGATGAATGTATAAAAAATTTATCTTTAAAATTAATTATTATTATTAAATATTCATGAGTACATTTTTTATGAGTGAATTTGTTTACTGTGGAAGTGGCTTTATACATCAAAATGGGTTCTACAGCAAAAACAGCTATTTGTCCCTGTTCATAAAAAAGTGATTTAAAAATTAAAATTTATATATGTAAAAAAAAAAAAAAACAAGTGGTTAAAACTGTAGGGTACCATTTGAGAAAAAACATTGTACTGCTCATGAACATTTATCTAATAAAAATCTAGCGTGTAAAAATATGTAGTACTAAGAATAACAACTAAAAAAACAAAATTCAATTTGCATAACCTGTACAAGGATATTGAGTGTTTTAAACTACAAATTTTCATAAAAAATTGTTCACCATCTTTTTTATAAGTTATGCCGTTTATTGTTCCGGGTGTATTTTCTTCTAGCTCTGCATATACTTTAATCAATTCTTTCTGTTTAGCTGTCAATGATTTAGGTACATCAATTTTAATATTTACATAATGATCACCATGCTGATTAGAATTAATTCTTTTCATTCCCTGTTTTGTTAATCTAATTTTTGTGTGTGAACTAGTTCCTGGAGTAATCTATTAAATAAATAGGAAAATCAAGGTATTGTACTTGTATTTATAATTCATAAAATTAAATATATATATATATATACATACTGCCACTGTGTGATCTTCATAAATTCCTCTAACTCGAATAGATCCTCCTAACAATGCTTGTGATATAGAAATTTTAGCATCTGTATGAATATCACTACCATCTCTTCGGAAATAATTTGATTTCTCCACTTTGAACGTCACGAAAATTTCATTTCTGTTAACTATAATTCGAATAGTTTGCCCATCTTCAATTCCTAAAAAAAAAATTTAAACTATTTAAACTAATTTTAATATACATATTTTATAGTTAAAATTTATATATATTCGAATGGAGAAGTTTTTTATAACATTAATACTTGAGGATTTTAAAGTTTAAATATTTGAACATATTCATACGCTAAAAATTGTATAATTTTTTGAATGTCATAACGTATTCAATATTTTGGTAGAAACATAATGAAAATAAGATTGTATCTATCATGAAACTTATATAATCAAGTTAGTAAACATTAACTTCAAGAAAAAAATGATTCTGTATATTAAAAAAAATAAAAAACAGGTTTTTTAAACTGAAATGAATAAAACATAAATTATTTTTAATAAACCACCACTTCATCTGGAGTAAGAAGATAATATAAGATAAGGGATGAATATAATATAAGAGATAGGTGAGGGATGACTTTCAATAGTAGATAAAATAAAAGAAAATAGACATGGTTTGGACAAGTTATGGTGAGAGAAAAATCTAAAGCAGTATGAATTGTAATGAAAATAAAAGTAAAAGAAAATAGAAGGAGAGGAAAACTGAAAAACTGATGTTAGGTGGGATTGAGAATATGAAAACAACTAGTGAATGTGAGGTGAGAAATAGGATCAAGTGGCTGACCTGAAATAGTTAAAACTTAATAATATAATGAAGGCGGAAGAGAAGAAAAAGATTTTTAGTAAACCATGAACACATAAATATTTAAAGTAAATATAGTAAATAAATATATAAATACAATTATTAAGTTAAAAAGTTATATACTATATTTATTTACTAGAACTAACAATTTTAATAATTTTGTTTTTACTTTATTATTTTATTACATAAATATTTATAGTAATTATTCTAATTGAATTAAGCTGTGACAGTAATTAATTCAAATGAGGCTCTTCTATCAAGTAAGAAAAAGTAGTAATAGGATTAAAAAAAAAAAAAAAACCACTTAAATGTTAATATAATATTTAAACTTATTAGTTTATATGAATTAACATTTTAAAAAAGTTATAGATTAAACTTAAATTGTTTTTAAAACAAAACAAATTGTATTAATACAAATGTATTTGTATGTATTCACATAAAACTATGATTTTGATAATGCTAATAATTATATTATCATTAAAACATTTAAATATAAATTATACCTGCAGGGACTGGCACTGTTACATTTTTATTCTGTACAGTGTTTCCTTTACCATGACATTCCATACATGGATTTTTAATTATGACTCTAGTTCCTTGGCAATGTCTGCATGTTGATTTCATTAAAAAAGGACCTAAACATATTTATATTTTAAATATTGCTTTATAAAAACATATTAATTAAAATGTATACCTCTTGATATTGTTTCCATTCCAGTACCATTACAATTAGAACATGGAACTGCTTTATATCCTAATTCAGAGCGTGAACCACGACATTTTGGACAAATATCAACTACATTAATACTTAAATCTTTATTAACACCTCTAGCAGCTTGTTCGAATGTAATTTTAACAACAATCTAAACAAGTTTTAAGAATGAATACAATTTTTAAAATAATGTATTTGAAGTTAATCATTACTTCTTCAGCAGCTCCAAATCCAAATTTTGAATCAGCAAAATCTTCTTCAAACTTCCCACCGTCCCCAAAACCATTCTGATTGAATATTTTTCTAAATAATTCTTCAGCATCTACATTAGAATTAAAACTCCAAGAATTTTTTCCACTATGAAAATTGTCATTTCCCATTCCTGATGTGCCACCCATGTTATTTGATCCTGTAGAGCCCCATGTATCATATGCATTTCTTTTTTTCTCATCCCCTAAAACCTAAAATTGATTTTAAATTCAAAATTATGAAGTATTTAGATTTTTGAACATTCTAAACATTTCAGTAAATATGTAAATATAATACATTGGTGTTGGCTATAACCAACATAATAACTAGTTAGGAGCAAATAATTTAATAAAAATATGATTTACTAATTTACCTAAGTATCAGGAAATATTTGTATTATTATTCTTGTATGTTTCAAGGATATTAACTAATTTACTATATTCTAATGGTCCTATACAAAAAATCTTAATAAATAATTTAAAATGTTAAAAAATGTTTAATTGTATAGCTTTATGTGTGCATTTATATGAGCTTTACAAGTTTCTATATAGCTTACATACATTAATAGTAACTAATTAATATTTTATTCAGCAGTTAGCAGTTCTAATTAAACATTTATTTTATTTTGGATAAAAATATTAGAAATAAATAAAATATTATGTTGATATTAAAGAATTTTTAAAATTGTACTATAAACTGATATAATTCCCACACATGGATTTGCTGTTCAAGAGCAAATCCATATATTTTTGTTTGTTATTGATTGATAGAAACAATTAAATTATAGTTGAATAAACCTCAATAAACTAATACATAAATTACTTTTAAATAAATACATTTTGCTCATAATTGTATAGGTTTATTAATTTATGTACAGTATGTTTTTAAATGTGTAGGTATTACTGATATTAGATTCAGAGCATAGCTTTATTGGTTTAGCTATAATGTATTTTTGTATTTTTTTTTTTAACATTTTGAAAAGCAATCTTGCTTCCATGTAAAGAGTGTAGTACCTTTTAGAAAAGGAAAACTTATCTAGTTGGCACATTGAAAAGGTTATTCATTTTTTAAATCTCTAAATAATTGGGAAAAACCAGAAACCAAATTAGAACAAAATGAAAATTGACAAAACCTTTTTTGATATATTTTGGATCTAGTTGGACAGAAAAATAATTTTAATTTTTTTTTTGCAATCCAGTTAAAAAATATTTGTAGAAGCTTAAAATTTAGGCAAAAACCGTATATTTAATTTTTCTTGATATGGTAAAATTTTTAAAAAATTTAAGTCATTTTTAAGCTATTTAAAGACATTAAAATTTTGAAGTTTTATGCAATTTTTTCCGGTAGGTACTCTATGGATAAAATTGTTAAATTAAACAGAAATCTTTGAAAATTTGACAGGAGGTTCATTATAAGTCTCACTTGGTGGCAACAAAATATATGAGTATAATATAGTTATTTTTTTTATAAGTTTTAAAATTAAATTTTGACAAAAATCTTAAGTATTAGGGTTTTTCAAAATATGTATAACCAAATTTCCCTCTGAATAGTTTTTCGTTAGTAATGGTTTATCATTGGTTACAGGTTTAAATTAAATAATTTTGTATCCTATTATTACATGTATTGATCATTTGTATAATATGACAATTATTAAATATTACTGTACCTTTAATACACAGAAAACTAACTCAATCTACTTTTATACAGAACCAAAAATGTATAATATGCTTTCATTTAACATCAAAACAACTCTATCCTTAAATACTTAACTTTAAAAATAAATAACTGACTGCAAAATAAATATAAAACTTTAAATATTTTTATATTTTTAATCTAGTTGCTTGCATTTGTATTTTATCATACTATATTATACACTAAGTCTCCATGTATATTAATTATTGTTACCTATATTTTATATGTTTAAGTTAGTTTCATCATTTAATAAGTCTAAAATTGTAAAAAAAAAGTTACAATGTAAATTATTATTATGAATGTATTACTTTCTTTATCATAAATTGTGAACTCATGGTGAACTCAATTGTGAACCTACACCTGTTCAGTGGGCTCCATTATCTTTTCAAAGAAATAAACAATAATAATCCTACCTTCCCAAATTGTCCACTACAATAGTGGCACACCCGTTCCCAGTATCAACTCTTCAGTTTGTACCCTTCATATCATTATAATAACTCAAGATATGATTTATTAAATAATTTAAATTATAAATTGTAATTTCAAAACAATTCTAAAACAATATATATATACCAATTTTCCAGCACAGTATTAAATAAAAATATTAAAAAATGAATGTGTTTCTTGGTTCCCCTTTGTTGTGGATATGGCAATATGTCATAATAAATTGTATTAAGTCATGGATAAGTTCGGTGAACTGGGTCAGGAACAGAAATGGTAAAACAAACTGCCTACTTGGGTTTATGAACTGGGTCAGGGAGATATTGATTCAGGGAATCATTATTTTTGTATTTTTAATTAATTGTGTGTGCCTACCCCACAAACAAGAAACAAATTTGTACATATTGTTTGTAATTATTAATAAATGATAGAAGCAGTGGGGAAGTTTGTAGGAACAGGCTCTAACTGCTATTGGTTTTAACTCGGAAAAAAAAATTACACTAATTCTTTAATGTCTTTAATATTATTATTGCAAAGTATATTTATATAAATTTAAAATGTAAGTGTTGCATCATATATTAAATATAATTGTATACATTATATTATAATTTAATGAGTGTTCTTATATTATTAACAAACTGCCTAAGTAAATATTATTTTTTTCTCTAAAACAAGTAAAGAATTAATGATTTAAAATTTTGGTTCATAGTAAGTATTAAAGATATAAGATACTTGTATAAATATGCATTAAGTCAATATAAATTAGATAAATTTTAAACTTACTTCATAAGCTTCAGAGACCTCTTGAAATTTTTTATTTGCATTAGGATCACCTTTATTAGTATCTGGATGGAATTTTTTGGCAAGTTGATAATAAGCTTTTTTTATTTCCTTCTGAGAAGCATTTTTGGGCACACCTAAAATACTGTAAAAATCCTTGCTTTTTAAATAACTACTCGTATGTATATTTTTATTACTGTATGGGTATAGTGGTTTGATACCTGCAAGATAAAAACATTGTATACTAGACTGCTACAAAAATGCATGCATTGTTAAATACTTACAATGTTGCAATAATCGTTTATTATGTAATTTATAGCAATTTTGAGATAGCGAAATGGAAAAATTCAATTTTTGAAAATTGTACAACTGAGTAGGAGAGTAAAATTTATAAGAGAATAACTGCTTAATTTTTATCCTGTTCATCATGATTGATTATACTGGAATTGTAATCGAGGTGCATTAATTAAAAATAATTAAAATGAAACAAAATTAATGAAAATGAACAAATAGGTAATACACTAACACATGAATCGCATGATATTGTTGCCGGTAAAAGGAATGAAGTTAGGAATGCAATAATTTATCTGCAAACCTTATACTAACCTAACCTTATATTGTATCTATAGTATCTATGTCTGGAAATTAACCATATAACCATGATAGTAAAATTGATAAAAGTATAATATAATATTAATTGATATGAGAAACATGTTATCATTAATATCTATTTTATGTGGATCACTATTTTTTGTTCCAAAAGACATTTAGTCCAACCACGGACTAAAATATACCTACAGATATACAAACCTGTGTTAATTTGAGAAATATTTTATAGTAACCAGTGTTAAAATATTCGACACCAGTTTCATCCCCTTGAAATAATAAATGAATAGATAAATGCTAGTAATAATAATTTAATTTATAACAATTAATATTCAAATTAATTTTAATGCCTGTGATATCGACAATTCAATAAAATGACCTAACAAAATGAACACTATACTAGTATTAATAAACGGGAAATGGGAAGTATAGGTAATTATTTAAATAATTGAGCAATATTTAATTGATATCATTGTTAATTTTGAATAATGGTGGAGATACACTGATTTCCATCGTCTAATATCTATAGCTGGCGTAAAATAATTGGTATCAAGTGTTTGTAAATAGGTACAAAATGTATCGGTATACCAGTTTGTACCAACGAATTACTAGAATTTCTAGATTCTAGTCAGTGATTCCAACGACCATATGTTAATAACCACAGATAAAAAAAATGTTTATTATGTATGCTGCCAAGAGCTAGACTTCAACTGTAATTTTTTTTCCCTATTATAATATACGTAAAACTTAATACGTTAACTATACAAATGATATAATCAATGTTGTTATAATAATTATTTTGACCACATTAATACATAGATAGGTGCATTAATATAATACGGTGTGTATCCATGTCTGTCACTATCACTGCAAAACTTCCATCCTACCGACCCATATTTTATTGTAGGATAAGTATTGATATTTCACTGTTATGTATGTCATCACTGAGCTGTCTCGCGCAGACGCGCACTCGTTGCAGTTGCTATAGAGTTGCCATGGTAGTACATCCCTTAACGGTGGGTAGTGGGTCAAATAACAACGAATATTGATAGATTCGCAGTTACGGCTGGTAGATAGTGTGAGGAGTATCTACTGTAAATGTTCACACTCCACCACGTCTGACATCAATACAATTTGTTTTCCGAATAATTCCTGATGGATTTTTAGTAATTACGGGTAAACCGCATCCTTGCCGGTGTCCAAGCTTTTATACTTTACTGTCTTTGTCTGCAACGTTTGCTGTATTCGTGCTGTATAACATGGAAGCCACTTCGTATATTCCAAAATCACAAGTAATACCATAGATTATATATTATATTATTATTTATTTGCAACTCTATTACGCATTAAATATATAATACCTACTTATATATTTTATGTAGTACCTACCTTATAAAAGTTATACTTATACAAAAGCGTTTTTAATTTATACAGAAATAACTTTGAGGAGAATATTTATTGCAATACAATAATTTAGGTACCTACATGGCCACACATAATATTTTGTCATGGGTTACATATCCATAAATTGAAATGCAAATTAATCGAATACATTATAGAATTTAGAGGTTGAAGTCTGGCTCTTAGGGTAAAATAAAATTTCAAAGTATTGAAAAACGCCAAATACATATATTTTCCGTGGGGCTCTTTCTGACTAATGACCCGTAGTTGAATTTTTGATTTTCTCATATACCCCCGAGGTATGAGGAGTTTAGACATAGGTTTAGTGGTGTGCGTTCGAGGATTTAGGAAAATTGTATTACTTATTCACAGACATTGTTTGGCTCACAGGGTCAAAACTAAACCTATAATTATCAGAAAATGCTATAGTAGTTTTCTATTAGTAGTGCCCTAATAAAACGCTAAACATTCAGAATTTCAATATTTCAATTTTTTTAACTCTTTTTAACAACACAACTTTTGGGTTAGTAACGAATAAGTTTTTACTCCAAGAAGCAGATTTCAGATAATAATTTTTCTAAGACCACAAACTCGCATTTTCAAACTTGTTATTCTCTGAAGTAAATGGGAAAATAGAAAATTCAGTCATGGAACATTGGCAAGATGATGGGAGGCATGAAAAATATTTGTATTTGTCGTTTTTCGATATTTTGACTTTTTCCTAAATTTCAACCAGATTCAAATACCTGACTTACTTGAATATAATATATTAGACAATAATTTTGTTTTAACTATTTGCTTTTAACATTGATTGTAATATAATCAATGCTTTGGTGAATTTATTTCAACACTTTACGTGTTAAATTAAATTTTTATTTATTATTTAATTTAATTTATTTAATTAATTTAAAACCTTTTTTTTTTCTGAAATCATATTTTTTGATGCCGATTCTAAAAATTGTTGAATTTGTTTTCAGAAACCATTATTAAATAATTTGTGGCATAAGATTTGAAAACCGATATTATTTTTTTTGAAAAAGGGATTTAGTGCTGAAAAGGATGGTGCAGTTGAATTTTTCAGGAAATATTATTTTAGAAGATATAGCGATTTGAAGATTGTAGGTACCTATGTGACTAAACATAATACACGGAACAAAAAATATTGTTCCATTGTAGTAAGTGTGGGATACTTGAGTACTACTGTTTGGGGAGGTTTTGTTCTCCAGTTCGCTACACTTAAAATTATGAAAATGGTGAACTTCAAATAGCTATAACTTCTTTAATAATGGTTTCTATAAAAAATAATATTTGAAAATTAGCATAAAAAAAAATTAGAAATAGAAATAGAAAAAAGATGACTCAGTAAAATAGACCTTTACCAAGAATTTTTAAAAAAATAATGTTTACTTACTTTTATATACCTATTTATTTTGTTGTTTGTTACAGAAACAAAATCGAAATCCAAATATTCTGTTGGATTTGCATTTTAAACGAAGTATTGGAAACATATCTTCTGTTGAATATAAACGGCGTATAATACTTAATGAATTATACCATTTGGGTTTTGTATCTGATAGAACATCATTACCTGCAATTTATTTTAATCCAATTGATGCCCTTGATGGTTATGTACGAGATGACATTCTTGGTATGGAAATTGATCCAAAAGAAAGCAAATGGTATGTATGTTGTTCATTTTCAAAATCTATACTTATTATTAAAATTGATCTGCTCTAAAACAGCCTTTTAATTTGTGGTACTTAGTGGAATCTTATCCCCAGCATTTATATAGGTCAATAATTTTATCATAGGTAATCCACTGTTATAGGTTGGAATTTGGGAATGTAATTAAATTTATTTCTGTATGCAAACAAATAATTATTCCTATTGAAAAAAGATTCTGAACCTAGTTCAGAGTCATGTTCTAATAATTTTCAATTGCAAATTTCATTATTGTGTAGTTAGAAATTAAATAACAACTGTTCTTCCTATTTTTTCAAAACAAATTTTCAAACATTTTTATGGTACCTAAAAAGTTTTATCCATATAAATTTGAAAATATTACAAATGGAATTACTGTGATTTTTATAGTTTTCATCAAAGTTTAAACTTTAAACCTTTATATAAATTACTACCAATTTACTAAAAAAAGTATTACTCAAATTATTTTTTATCACTAAGTTAAATTTTTGATAGGCCATGTATCTAATTTTTGAGTTGTAAAACCTAAAGGTTCTAGGGCAATAGTTTTCAATATTTTTTAAACATGCCATACTGTACTCTTCATCAAATTTCCATGACATATGTCTCAGTCATCAATCAATATATCAATATTATACATTCAATAATACTAATTCTAATTCAGTATTGCACCATCAAAAAGAAAAAAAAAATATACCAAACTTATTTAGACATGAATAATAGTTGAATAGCATGAATATCCTGATTTTTCCAAACATAATAATTACCTATACATCTAATTAATAATATTAGTAATAATAATCTATATATTTTTTTTTTCAAACTTTATAATAATTCATCTAAATAATTAGAACAAGCAATATGAAACTAATTATATTTAATCATTTCTTTTATATATATTTTTAGATTCCAAGCGTAGGGAGGGAGCAATTGGTTTTATTAAGATGTTTATTTTTCTTTCTTTCTTTCTTCTAGTCTATGGACACGTTTTTTCTAGTAAACTTGCTACAAATTTTACGTGTAGCAACTTTTCTGAAAGCTCAAGTTGTCTAGATGATACTTTAAGATGGTCATTTTTTGATTTCGACTATATTTATTTTAAATAAAAACACTTAGGTGGGAAAAAATATAGAAAAACATTAAATTTCATTATCTCATTATTTTATAAAAACACGGAAAACGTTTTCTACCAAAAAAATTAATTTAATTAAAAAATTACAAGATACCTTTTTATTGCTTTTTTGATGTACTTTCTAATGGTATCATTGTCAAAACTTTTGACCCTTTTTTAGCTTTTAAGGGATTTTAATCTTTAGGATTTTTTTTGCTACAATTCGGTTATAAATACACGTTAAGACTTAAAACTTAGTAATAATAATTATATCAGACTCACCTAGACGTGGTAAAATTTCCAAAATCATCGGATGAATTTTTTTTTTAATAAGTGTTTTGAAATTAAATTTAAACGATAATCGCAAAAAAAATTAAGGCACTTCAAATTATGTATTACCGAACTGTGCTCAGAATCGTTTTTCGTCAAGTAATGGTTTATCGTTGCTTACAGGTATAAATCAAACAATCTTATGTATCCGACATCCCCAACTTGCTCCCATTGTTATCATTGTAAATCGGAGCAAATTTGCAGGTAGAAAAGTTGTCCACAATAGAAATATTAATTTTTTCTAAAATATATTCCTGTTTTTTCTCACCTTTTCCCTTTCAAAAAATGGCTCTCCTAAAATACCACCTCAAGAAAATTTTCCTTCAGAAAAGGGTCTACATCGTATACAATGGTGTAAGCTTCCTAGTAGAAAAAGTGTTCACATAAAAAAAAAAACAACAATACATTCAGAATCTAAAATACTAACTGTAAAACTAATAACTTACTGCCTACTTGCTCATCAAATACAAATTTAATTTGAAACATTTTATTTTTCAGCTTGTTAGTCATATCCAGATACAACAGTGTATCCATTTTTAATGTGTCTAAAAATAACAAAATCTTTGATCAAATGGTAAGAATGACAATTCCTCATGACCCGATAGATAACAATGGAACACCAAATTCAACACATTGGCTTTTTGATGGTACAGTGTTTACTGTCTGCACTATGGATTCTATACATTTTTGGGATTTGTGTAATGGACAAATTATAGAAACTATAAAATTGCGTACAAAAGTACTCAACCATGTAATGGCTGCAAACAAATTTAGTGTAAATAAGTATGTTGCAGGTAATTAACAATTGTGTTTTAATATTTTAGATAAATATGAATGTGCATTTTAGTATTAGTACCTAGGATGAAGTACTTAGCAGTGAAAAAATAAAAAAAGAGGAATTGTGTGCCTAAAAAAATTATCGTCCTTTCCAATTATTGAACTCAACCTAACACGAAACCCCAATATTTCTCATTACAGCATTTTTCATATATAATTCAATAATAAGTAATTAAGAAAAAAACATAATAATGTTCCTGTAGGCCATGTTTTTAATTTCATATTTATTTAATCTATATTACCATTAATAATATTATTATTAAATTTATTTTATTTTATAATCAAATTCTAAAATAAAATTTTAGAGGTAGCAGAGTGGATTGATGGTTAAAAATAACACCTGCGCTTTTTGAAGTGTCCAGTTTTGCACCATTTGGATATTAGATTAAGATGATTTTGAAGGTTGTAAGTAATCCTTTCAATATTACGAGATTCAAAATAAATTGTTGTATCATCTGTGTAAAGGGCAATGCTAGTATGTGGTGACTGCGGTATATCAGATGTATAAATATTGAATAAGATAGGTCCCAGTTTAGAGCCTTGGGGTACACCAGCAGAGATAGATTGGAGTTCAGAAGTATTGTCATTTATTTTAACCTGGAATTGTCTATTAGATAGAAAGGAGTTGATGATATTAAATAAGTATTTTGGAATATTGATGGTTATTAGTAAGCTTATAAAGACAGTCCTACTCTATGGTAGTGTTTTTCAAATGAAAACTATTGTTGGATGGGTGAATGATTTGTTATAATCCCAAACTGGAATTTTGGAATAACATCTGCATTATTTAAGTAATTTTATAGTCTCCTGTGAATAACTTTCTCATGTTTTTTTTTGATAAGAAGGTTTATAAGAATAAGAATATAGTTCATAAGAATGTATCTAATTTTATTTTTCATCTATTCATTTTGACACACAACATACAGATAATATTTTTATTTCTTAATATATTTTAGAAGAATTGTATTTTATTATAGTTACAGGAGTAGAAGGACATGTATATATAATTGATATGCGCCATGGTATTGTTGTAATGACTATAAACAATATTGAAAAAACACCAACAAGGGCCATCTGTTGGCATCCAACAAATGAATTACAATATATTACTGGCAATGATAAAGGAAATGTTTACCTTTGGGATACACGTATTCAAAAAAAATGGATTTCAAAATTTCATAGTCAGGGATCATATTCATCGGCCCCAAGCCATTCTTTTCCAGTTGTTGGAATACGGTTTTTTAACAATGGAAACAGTATTATGACTATTGATAAAGAAGGGGGCATTAAAACTTGGTAATAATTTTTTGAATGCAATTAAAGTTGTTATTTGTTACATACTAATATTTATTCCATTTAGAGAAGAAAACTTATTAGAAATAAATACTTAAAAATACAATATATTATATACTAAATTTGTATGTATTATATAGACTATAGAGTGATAAATTCTCCATAAGAAATGTATTATTGCGAAACATTTTAATATTTGTTTTTTGGTCAATTTATGAGACAAGGAATTTTATAATTTTATATGTATTCATGTCACTCATATACATAGAGTTAAAACTACTACCAACTTTTTTTGCTTGAGGGGTGTGTATTAAAAATATCATAGATAGATAAGTTTAAATTAAAATACTTTTTGATGTTAGAATTTTTATTTCTGTTAACTCATTGAGGAGATATTCTATACAGCTTAACCTTATAGGTTAACTTTATATACTCACTGTATTATTAATACTTCCCAGAGACAACATTCAATTAACTACATCCAGTGTGCACAAAGTGGTGTGTATCCAAAAAAATTGTGTGTTACTCAAATAATTTTGGGTAACTTATCCTTAATAGTATTGTTATACCTACTGATAAAATGTCCCTAAAATCTATTATTATTATTTATTGTATGCTAAAAGGGTATGACTTCGAACAAATTTTGATGTTTGTCCTTCTAGCATACCCTCTCACCTATATTTAAGGTGTTGCTTGAGGAACAATTGGACCCTAGGTTACACGCCACTGGTGCACAATGTATTTTATTTTTGCAATTATTTTACTCTGTCATAATATGTAGGTTTTTGATGAATTGCTTTTATTTATAATTAATGTATACTTAAATATTTAAATATTGTACTTATTTATTATTTAATATCAAATAATAATTAATTTAATAAGATACTTGTGTAAGTAAAGTTTGTTTGTCTATTTCAGGGATGTTGGAACTGGTTTTTTGCGTCCCAACTATTACATGCCTATACCATTTTGTGACTTGAATAGGAATCATATTTTTAAAGAATATCAATTTGCTGTTACTGAAACTTTAAAAGATGATATGGCTTTTTTGCCTTCTAAGAATGGAATGCGAATAATGGATATAGAAACTGGTGTAAATTTACCAAAGTCCAATGATGTATCTATTCCTATTAATTGTGCTACTTATGATTCAAAAAATCATTGTGTTTATGGAGGTTCTGAAGATTTGGTGAAATTATGGGCTCCTGCTATAAAATAATTTGTATTTAATGAGCAACATCAAAGTACCTATTCAAATTTATGTTTTTGTCAATTTTTTGAATATCAAATAATAATTATTATAATATAGTTGTTTAGAATTTATATTTTTAATTTGAGCTGGCATTACTACACCACTGTTGCCATAATTTAAAGAATGATAAAATACTAGAGCAGGAAGAATTTTATGTGTCCAAGTCACAATGCTGTTGTTGCTAAAGCATCATCCAAATCCAAGATGTAAAGATGTTTCTTTCCAAGACAAGATTACCCAATGTGATCTAGAACAAGTCACTATTGCCATTTTGCTATGGAAATATAGCATTATATATTGCTAATATCTAATTTTTAGATATTAAAAATATTTAGTTATAATAACTTAAGATCATTTCCCCATAAAAAAAATAAATATTGCCATTTAACATTGTAGTAATTTATTTCAACCCTTAAAAAATACAATCTGGGTTTCGCACATACTATGCTCAATTATTGGAAATTGAGATAAGTCCACTGAAAAAATGAAAAAAATTACATGATGTAGATAGTGATGTTTATTGATAAAATATTGTGATCAATTATTAATATTTGTTTTCATTTTTGTGTAAAATGTCACAAAATATTCTGTTGCATTAGTTTGTGTTATTATTTTTGTATTCGGAATTGATATTCACTATTTTTTTTTTTTCATGCACATTTTTATGGTTTATTAAATTAAATAATATAATTATAGTTATAACTAGTTATAATATAATTAATTATTTTTTTTTTTTGGTGAAGTGGCCTAATGTCAAAATGATGGCAAAATATGTTCTATGGCAACTTAATTTTATTTACTATTTCCAATTATCTATATAATATTATGTTGTTACCTAACTTTATACTTATTAAGCTAATTATTATTTGTTAATTAAACAATATTATACTATTTATTATCCTAAATGAATTATTTATATCTTAAATATTATATATAACATTCCTTTAATTTATTATTTTTATTATTAGAGTAGGTTTTACACAATAACTAATATAATATAATGTTATCCAAGACTATCTTACTTTTTAAACTACTATTCAGTAGATAAGTAATGATAGGTTCATAATATTGCAAGTTCTTGTAAGTACATTTTAAACAGAAATGTAATGAAGTAATGAATTTTTGAATACTCATGGTGACTCGCATAATTTTGAAAATATTACTAAACATACCTAGCCTATAAGTAGGTAGGTACATATTTCCCAATGTGTTTATTAGTACTAAACATAAACTTTTTATGTGCTAACACTTTTTTTCAAAAAAAACATTTTCGAATTCATAATTTTTTTTTTCTTTATGTCTTGCTTGTACTTTTGTTGAATCCTTTATACTATCTCATTAAAAATACATAAACGCTACATTTCTGATTCACAATCAGATCACTTTTGAAACTATATAATCCATTAAATGTATACAAGGGTGCACATAGAATTTTATTAGTGTGAACCCACTACCCCAGAATAAACCTTTAGTTAAATATGATGTTAATTTATTATTATTTCCATATTTTTGTATTATTTATTATGTTCAATATTGATAATATTCCAAAAACTATAAATTAAGTGATAAGTTTAGTATAATTTAAAATTGTATTGAATAATTACTAAGAAAACAATGATCGGTATTCTTGCTTCTGTATAATTTTGAAATTTTTTTTTAGTATCTATAAATAAAATGTCAAAAATAAACTCATTCATAAATTTTTAGTAGCAAAGAAATAAATAGGTTGCTTAGTTAAAAGATTGGTTGAAGAGTATAAAAACATAATTGTGAATGAGACAGATTCAGAAAAATGGTTACTGGGAAATAATTTAGCAGTTTAATTGTAAAGTGTACTTATAAATTAATTTAGATAGATAAAAAACATAAAAGGTTAAATATATTGTACCTATTTAGTATTTAAGACTTACAAAAAGAAAAAATATACTTAAGAAAGCAAATAATATCTGTTCAAAATTAGTGTTGGTGAAAAAAGAATCAAATTGATATCAATTAATATAACTAGAAATGTCGATAAATAAGATAAAAATGAACTATGAAAGTAATATTTAATTAATGGTTAACTGCAATGCCAATAAGTCAATAATATTTTAGGAATAATGTAATTAACTTTGAATAAGGAAGAACTTGGCTAACAGATAAGAGTTTGTTCATTCTGTCTGGTTCAATCAGTAGTTTACAAGTAATTGCAACATTTAAGTTATATATTTTTTTTTTTTATAGAGAATTTAATAATTAATAACTGATTATTCATTTTTATAATTAAATAAAGTTTGTACCTATTTAGTAATTGTACTTGTATAATAAAGTATTTGTTTCTGCTAAAATGAATTTTTAAATTAAATTAACCTTAGCAGTCATTTACTAAGTTAATACAAATATAAACTTAATGTAAATCGTTGTAAAATTGCGTTTTGAAATTTGCCATCCATGTCTTAAAGGATCACCCATAACTAACCCAGCTTTTTGCGAAAATAATTTATTATTATATTGGAAATAATTTTGATTAATTATTAAATTTATTGATTGTTTTATTTCTTGTACTTCGTTTGTATTAAATTTATTAAAATGTATAAGTTTATTTTTTAAACAATTTAATATTAAGAAATAGATTGTATATATATTTTTGACACCAAGAGAAATCATTTTGTAACCTGGCTCAATATTAATTAATTTTATTAATTTGATCAATAAAATCATACATCGAATAAATGTTTTCAACATCGAATAAAGTTAGATTTTTTTGGGTATGATAAATTATTATGCTAAGTTTAAACATTTAGCTAGAAAAACGCACAATTTCATTATTTTATAAAAACTTCTACCAAAAAAAAAAATTGATTTAATTGAAAAATGTTAAGTTTTGTATATTACTATTATTTACAATAAAGTTTTTGATGGAGATGGGTGTGACCACTGTTATAGGTAATTTAATGTATATCTGTAGGCAATAATAAACCATTACTAATGAAAAACCGATTCTGAATGCAGTTTATTTGATAGTGATGCTTTGTCAACAATAAATATGTCATATTATGATAAAATAATTAAATAGGCATAATATATATTTTTTTAATAATATTTGTTTAATATTGCACCAATTTTCTCTGTAGTTTACCAAAGTTTTTAAACTGGTTTTTCAAAATCGTAAAATGACTTCCCTAAAGTACCTTTCCAGTCATTTCCTTTCAGAAAAGTGCATCATTGTAAATCGGAACAAAATTTCTGGAATAAAAGTTGTTTACAGGAAAAAAGAAGGCCATAATATTTTTTAACTAATACCTATATTTCGTACATTTTCCGGTTTTCATCCTATTTTTCTGGTTTTCCAGAGATATTATAAAAAACGTTTAGAAAATCAATGACTTATCTCCCTAAATTACCATGGAAATAAAATTTTTCTTTCAGAAAATAGGCTATACTTGATACATTGGTGCAAGATTTCTGGTAGAAAAGTTTGCACAATAAATTAAGATGTATTTTTAAAAAATAATTAGAAAGAATTAAAATATTTTTGAGTTACCAAGTAGATAATAGATACCAAATGCTTATGAAAATAAATCTTAGGCCACACAAATAAATGTAAATAATAATAATCAAAAAAGGAAAAATATATTCCAAGGAGGTAAAATTAAAGTTCATACATTTTATTTTATTAAATTAAATGAATGCCAAGATATATTATTATAACATAAAAAGTAATAATTATTAACTGATTAGAGCTCAGTTCAGATAACTTTGATTTAATATAACAATTAATCTTTTTTATTTCTAAGGTAACATTAACAAATATAAATTATAACAACCAAAGAAGAAAAATTTAAAAAAAAAACAAAACAAAATTAAAGTTAATAAATTGTATTTTATGAATAAACATGGATTGAAAATCAAAATAGTGTAACATTAAATCATATTGAAGACAAATTTATAAAAAATGATCAATATTTAGTTCTATTTCAACTGGTGAGGGCTCCATTGTGAAACAAGTTTGAGTTAATTTAACAATACCTTTTTTATGCAATCCTTAAAAATAATAAAATCACAAGTAAACTATTAAAAACTTTAAACTATAAAATTAACAATATGCTTATAAAAATACTAACCCAATAGCCCTACTAACACTAAAATAGCATATTTCCTATTTGTTACATGAATAGGACATAGATCAGTGAACATCAAACTAGTTTTTCCAGGAGATGCCAATAAAAAATCATTAATCAGTTTCATAATATCAATTTTGTGAGATGTTGGCTGAATAAAACTGTAAAAGAAATATAAAATATTTTAAAATATTAATTTGTGTGGTAAATAAAAATACTTACTTTTGAAAGTCACACAATTGGTCCTGTTCTAATTTCTTTTGGTTCATGTTCAATTGGACTTGATGATGTGAAAATATAGGGGGTAACAGATTAGGCGATATGTAATCAACTATAGATGGTGCATGAGTCATATGGCCAATATTTTCAGTATTGACTTGAGATATCTCAGTAAAGGTTTTAATATTTAACATTTCATTCATTTGAGGTGTTAAAGGTAAAATGAGAGGTGGTTCTGGTGCATTTATATGAGATAGATCATTCCCAATTAAAGTTCTCTGAGCTACTAAACTAACTCTTTGTTGAATTCTTTCTTTAAATTCTCCAAACTTATATTCATCAATTTTTGAAATTTCTGAAATGTCTTTTAAACTATCTTCAAATTTTTTATTTATCTAAAATATTAATAATGAATAATGAATTGAATTTAACATTAAAACCATTTGTGATATTTTTTAACTTTTGTAGTCTGTTTACCAGACATACATGCAAAGTTATAATTTGTATTTTAATGGTTAAAACAGCTAACTCTAAACCAAATGCTGCAAATCTTTATGGTGAAAAATTTTTAGATTCCGAGTGTAGCAAAGAATGTATTGGTTTTACAAAGATATTTATTAATTTTTTATACTATGTACAAAAATTCTACCAGAAACCTTGCTCCCATGTGTTCAATATAGACCCTTTTCTAAAAAGAAATTTTATTGATTTTCTGGGCAGTTTTCCTAATAAAAGGAAAAAGTGAGAAAAATAAAAATAAAGCTTTATTATAAAAAATTAAAACTTTTTGATGTTTTTGATAGTCTAATAGTTAAAGGTTAGGTTAGGTAACTATACTATTAACCAAACTCTGCTTAGGATCATTTTTCATTAGTAATGGTTTACCCTTGCTTACAAATACAAATTAAATTCTCCTCTATAACCTATATTCCTGACTTCTGAACAACAGAGGCTGCACCACTCATGCCCCCAATGTTTGTCTTTTTAAATATTAATTTTAATACATTTTCTGTGTTGGTACATCTACAATTTTTTGGTGAAGCAAATATCACCTAAATGTATAGAGTCAATCTTACTAATGTACGACCTAGACATAACTTAGAACATAAAGTTTGCCAGTTTAGAAACTGGTGTTGATTTACAAATAACAACATTTAAAAAAATTAAAAGTTATTAAAAGAAGAAAAAATTAATTAGCTATAACTTTTTTTATATTAATTTTTTCTTAAGTTTGAAATATAAATTTTTTTATTTGTGTTTAACTTTTATTCCGACCTAAAGGCCACATTAGAAATATATGAGTATGAGAATATAATTTATTCATATAATTATATTTACAATCTGTAGTTTAGGTATTACAATAAGTAAATGTGATATATACAGCTATATAAGATTCAAAAAAAACACTCATTAGTGGTGCCACTAGGAAAGATTAGAACGATAGAGCAATTTCCAAAATTGGTTCCCTTTTAGGCACCTGGGTGGATTATCTAGGTATTTAAATTAAGTAATAACTTATATATAAAAATCCAGATTTATCTGTACGGTTTTTACTTTTACATTCAGAGTGTAAATTGTGGCATTGAAATTGAAAATCATATCAGTTTTTGTGTTTTGTAGAGCTTAACTTCTTTAAATTAATTTATGATTTAAATACCATGTCAATCTAAACACCACAATTTATATTCTTAATTACATAATTATGCTTTATCCTTGAGACAGAGACAAAACAGGCAGGTATGTTATTCTCTTAATACACAAATTGTAGATGTACCATGTCCCATAAATTCTATGTAATAATTATGACTGCAATGCATTTTTGTGTCATAGTAAATCCAGTCTCTTAAATTGTAAATTTATTTACTCATCAAAAGTGTATTACAATAAATTATTGTTAGTTGAACTTTAATCATTTTATATAATTTATATTTTAGTCTATCTTTAAATAAGTTAAATATCTTTTAATAATTAAGAATGCAGTTTTTGTATGTAATAATTAAGGTTCATATGTTTATGAAATTACATAATGTATATTTTAGGATTTTAAGAACATAAATACATATTTTAGTAGATTTTTGAAATTTTTTAGAAATCATTAAAAAAAAAGAAAAACATTGTATCATACTCTAACGCTTTTATTGTAAATTAATATTAACACATTGATGGACACTTAATTTTATTATTTTTCTATAAAACCACCTAAAAAATTATAGTTTTTCATTACTGCTATACCAGAAAAACTCAGCATTATTAAAAAAATAATATTATTAATAATCTAGGTTTTTTTGTTTTAGATTAGCAGTGCCAAATTTCTCCTTCCAGTTTACAAGATCAAAACAATTTACTTTTAAATAAGACCATAGAAATATCATTATGACAGTACAGCCATTATTTAGTCATTTTTAAAATACTTTTATAACAGTTATATTGACATACTGTCCATCAATATGGTAATATTTAAAAATAAGACTAACATACTTTGTGCATGGGTGCAGCCACTATTGTAGATGGGAATTTGAAAAGGTAGGATACAGAAGGGTATTTAATGTACATCTGTAAGGAACAATAAACCATTGCTAACAAAAAAAAAAAGATTCTGAGCAGAGTTTAGTTGATAATATTCCTTTGTCAACAATGCATATATCATATTATGGTAAAATGATTACAATGTGTGTTCCATGATAACAATGATTATTTAAAAAAGATTAAAATAATAAAAACTTAATAATAACAAAAAATAAATAAAACAGTTTCCAATGACAACCTTATTATTAATTTTTCAATCTTTTTAAATCCAAAGAACCAGGTTTTCCTCATTATCTAGAATATAAATGAGATTTCAAAAAATGACCTCTTAAAAGTACGACTTAGAAAATATGCTATACTTGATAATCGGGGTAAGTTTTCTGATAAAAAAAGTATTCACATCAAAAATTTTAAAAAATAAACATCTTTGTAAAACCTTTGTTAAACTTAGAATCTGAAAATAATATCTAGTAATAAAAATTAAATACTTAAGGTAAAATCAATTTTTTTAAGTATATGTTGGTGTTTTTTTTTTTTAATCTGAAAATGTATATTTTGATTGCACATTTGGTAATTTTGTATAGTATAAATGAATACATATTACAGTCATTTAAAGTGCATAAATATCCGAACCCTAGTAATGATTATTTCAATATTAACCATCAAAATAAAATGTTGGTTAAAATATTTGATTTCAATAAACTTTTATAAAAAATGGTTTTATTATAAAGATTTGCAACATTTGGATTAAATATTAGACATTTTAAAGATTATCTAGGAGTTCATCAAGCAGAGTTTTACAAAAAAACATTGCACATCCAGGAGTCTACACTGACTGCTGTATTTAGCAATAGAAAATAAAAAAGTTAAGTGACATGAGTATGATAACAACATCAATTTAATTGATAAATAAATTTGATGAATTTCCAAAACTACTTATTTATTATATATTATAATATATTAAAAGTGTTTAAAGATATAATATATATTTTGTTAATTTTATATTATATTTACCTCATTCATTGTATCTCGCCACATAGAACTGTTATCTGTCATACCTAAATAAAATTGTTTAATAATAATTTAAAGTATTATATAAATAATATTTATAGAATATTACTAAGTTATATGTGGACAATTTTTTTCTCCTATTATTAATTATTACTAAATATATTAAGTATACAACTTGATTTTATACAATTAATAAAAAAAAAGTATTGTATTTTCACTACAATTTACTTTTATATTATTTTTTTCATTAATAAACTAATTTACTATGCATCAATATTCAATACGTACACTCTTCAGGTAATGGTAGAAGACTTAAATGAGGAAGAGCATTGTTTAAAACCTGATGAAAAATACTGTAAGAATAAAAAACACATTAAAAATAATGTTAAAACTAATCTTATTACTTTACTGTCTGGCAAAGTCCATGCACAGTATTAAATAAAATAAAAAAATTATTGTTAAACATTGTAGCCTGGAATATTTTTTTTTTTAGGACAATTCCTTGTCCGTGACAAACAAATCAACTGATAATAACTGTTTTTATTTCCATTAGTGTCACCAATGTAACCTAACAAAAATAATTTGATTTTTTGTCCAAAAATCTATACATATATAAAATAGGTATAATGCCAAAACTTGAAACAGAATGGACTGATTTGGCTGATTTTTATTTATTATATTGGTGATTGTCAGGATAATATTTTTATAAAAGACATTTATTGGAAAATCTACAGGAAAATTTTGAAATTTGGATGGTATTTATTTTATGGAGTCACTAATAAACCATCAATCTCCCCCACAAGAAAGTGGATTTATTCACTTTCTACATATTGGTTTCATTCAATACTGACATGGTTAAAACTAAAAAGGAATATGGGTAAAAAATAATAATTAAAGATTGGCACCAGCAACATTGGTGGGACAGACTAGTACGAAATAATAATACATTATTTTATTTTATTACATACCTATTTTCTGAAATAATGTTCTGGTTTATTTTTTTAGTAATTGCTAAATAATTGCTCATGGTCATAACAGTATTTAAAACATCATCCTGCTTCTAATTAAATTAATCATTAAATAGAAATATTTGAAATTAATTGAGTGGATAAAATACTTAAATAAATATTTAATAAATTACTATTAAATCAACTCATTAATAATTATAATAAATATGAAATATACCTTATTTTCTTCCAGTTCAATGTTTAAAGTTAAAACAGCAAATGCTATATTAAGTTTATCATGATATGTAGCATGCCTTAAAGGTAAATGATTCATAAGTTGGTTATTATATTTCTGATCTAACCATTCTAATGGTCTCTAATCAAATATAACATAATTTAATATGAATGATTATTTATACACCAAAATTAATGCTAAAATATTTAGTAAAATTAAAATATTTATTACATCAGCAAATTCTCCTGCAAGTCTCTTCAATCGGTTTTTAAGTGTTTTACTGTTTCTTTCAATTGGTTTTTTTTTTACCTGAAGAAAATAATTTATTTTAATTAGAAATTAAAAATATATATACAATAATGTTTATCAGGTTTATTACTAAATAGATGCATATTATTTTTCAATTTTTTCTTACCGTTCTTCTCATCATGTCCCCAGATTTTTTTCTCTTCAGTTGATTACATAAAATATTTTCAGAAGGACAATTTTCATTAGATATCTAAAACATAATTGTATTTAACTTTAGTTAAACCATATGTCAACATTTTTTTTTTTTTTTCCATCAATTGCCACTTAACCTGATTGCTGTGTTCTTTTAAATTAATCATTTGTTGGTTTTGATCTATTAACTTTTCCGTTTGAATTTGTTTGTCTATCAAATTGATTGAGTTTCGTTGTATGGATTGCTGTAATTCTAAATTTGTAGGCTGTACAACATTCATTAAAGACCCATTCATAGGTAAAGGTGTATTTTCAAACAGTAAATTTTGATTAAAAACTGGAAACTCTTCAATAGGTTGAATATGTAACTAATAAAGGTGTAAATTATTAACAATAGATAAAAAAATAAATTTACATACTTGTTGTTCTAAATCTGATTGTAAAGCAGCACTAATATGTCCTTCATTAATTATATTTAGTATAGGATTTTGATACAATATTGGCATATCTGTAGCCTATAAATAAATTAAACAATACTAATATGTAATTAACATATTAATGTTTATTTTTGTTTATAAATGATTCTTTTGCATCATTACTACTATAGTTTCTTACAGAAAAAAAATAATTGAAAAATTAAAGAATATATAAAATGGTCATCTGTGGACAACTTTTCAATAAATGAGAAAAACTGGGAAAATATGAAAGAAAAAGGGGAAAATATACAAAATATATTATTTTAAAATTATAAAATATTAACTTTTAAAATTATAAAATATTAACTTTTAAAATATGTATGACTGAATTCTGCTCAGAATTATTTTATGTTAGCAAAGATTAATTACTGCGTGTAGATATACATTAAATTTGCTTCTATATCCTATCTTCAGGACTTTTCATTTATAACAGTGGCCCACCCATTGTATGAAGTATGTCTTTTTGATCATATAGATTAACATTAAAATTTCTTCCTTTTGACCCCTTCTTACTAACCTCCCCTTCCCAAAAAAAAAAAAAATTGAGGTTTAGATATGTTTGATATGAAAATCGTGAAAAAATTTCACAATAGAACACTTTTACACCTATTTGTTTTGGTTGTTTCACAAAAATGAATATGGGTAGAAAAAATTAAAACAAAAATTGGACCAATAACATTGAATGCAGGACAGCTAGCATGCAATATAAAGTACATATCTGTACAAAAGTCCATTAAATTTAACATTATACTAATATATTTTTAAAATATGTAACTTACTAAAAGAACATTTTCTTCTACATGATTTATAGTTAATTTATCCTGACACATGGTTTCAATTTGCTGATCTAAAATAAATAATTAATTAAATAATAGATAATTAACTATTATCATACATTTGACTATCTATAAATATAAATAAACAAATATATTTACTTTGAAGAACTTCTGGATCTGAGTTAAGATTGTTATGAGGAACATGAGGTAGTTTTTTCTTTTTTTTTTTAGGCACTTTATCTCTAAATTAAACAGTAGTTATTTATTTATTAAGGTGGATTCACCAAACATATTTACTACTATGTCTATTTATTAATAGTATAATAGTTTTAATTAGAAATTATAAAATAATAACAATGTTTAATAAATTATCTTTCAACTTAATACATATTAATGACAATAAATATAATTTTTAATTTATATAATATATAAAAAAAATTGTCACTTCAATTTGTCCAAGCTAATCTTAGAACAGTTTGAACTGATTTAAATGGAATATTCACTGAAAAAGTATTTTCATGGACATAACTTATGCTTTTTTCTAACTTAGAATTTAACCCCTAAGAGATGATGACATACTTGATTTATAAGTTTTATAATTCAAAAATTGAACTTGTTTTCATTTATTTATCAGTTATCTTGATGTCCAAATGAAAAAACAAAATAACAATTATTATTATTGAATTTTATTATCACAGACAAAAATTTAATATCTATTTATTATTTATAAATTATTAATTATCTTACATCCATACTAACAAATTTAAGCTAATATTAAATATTAAGGGAACAAATTTACAAATCATTAAAACTTATCATATACAGTGGATTTCACTTAATGTGGCCACTAGTTAATGTGGGCAGCCCTTAATATGGGCATAATGGTCAGGTGCCCATTTTAATGTATTCTGATACTCATTTTAGTTAAAATGGGCATCACTTAATTTGGGCATAATTATAGTTGATTTCAATTAATGTGGGCAGTTAACATTAATTGAAATCCACTATAATTACAAATTATTTATTGCAAGTTAAACTTAGTATAGTTATCTTATATTTATACTTAATAGCTTTTTATTTGAAATTATATTATATAGTTAAATGGTGTTATTCATCTAGTTATCTTCTGAAATTGTATAGAACCTCATTCGCTTACTTCGATCAGTAATATGTAAATATAAACTATATATTACATAATTGTATACTTACATAGCTAAATTCTTCTTATATACGGGACCAGTAAACATCAAATCTAAACATTGTTTTACAATTAAAATAATTTAAAACAAAAATCTATAGTAAAATACTAATACTTGATTAAAATTTAAAAAATATAATACTAATGACTACAGGAAAATTTGCATTGACTGTACACTAAATATACTTGAAATACCTACAATTGTTATGCATTAAAACATAAAATAAACCGTTTACATGAAACTTAAAATCTGATAATACAGAAATATGCATAAAATATCAACAAATAGCAAAATAAACGTCTATACATTTAGATTAAAATTGTATATCTAATCTAGTTACTTTTTGAACTACCTAGTTTGAAAAATATTTAATTGTATATAAATTTACATAATTTACCTTACTAATGGCATAATTTGTTTTAACTTAAACTAGTTAAAACCTTTTACAAATTAGTCTAAATTTGAAAAGCATTTATTTTGGGAAATGAAAAATATAGGATTACAGTTATTCAAAATAGCAAGCAAGCAATTTTAATCAACTTTTTCTAAAACTTTAAAACTATAATAATTCTTGGGAGAAAAAACTTACCGACATACGCATCAACAGAATTTGTTTGTATTATAATTAAACCAATAAAAGCCTGGCTAATCCAAATAAATGTATTCTTTTTTATTTGAAAGGCATTATGTAAATCGAAGGTTGAATAATTAGCAACTGTCTCATCAAAATTGACCAAAAGTGTAATTAATTGTTCACTGAAATATAAATATTACATTTTGAAAAATTTAATGTTTCAAAACTAAATAACTATTTTTCATTGAAAAAAAAACTGTATAGGAAAATAATGTACATATCTATAAATTGTCCATGTACTAAAGATTGGTCTAAAGTAAAAAAAAAAGTTTAAAGTTTAATAATAATTATAAGTTTTAAAGTATATTTATACATTATTTATTTTAATAAAATACCTATTTGTATAAGCTACCTATAAGCAATAAATTAAAAGTAAATTTGTATATCCTTTTTTATCAACTATATTTATCAAACAATATGACTGATATATCGCAAACAACCTCATTTATATTTATACCATGAGCTTACTAAAAAAATAAAACATTTTTATAATTTATATTTTTATTATGATTTTAATCTTGAAGATATTATTGTAATTATAAATTATAACTGTTTACTCCTCAGGTGTATAATATATTAAGGTGCCTTGGAAATAATTTGAATATTTTTTCTTTGCCTTCATCCCAACTATTGGAGGTCAACCAATTATTGGGTTGAAAATGATGTAAATACTTACAAATAATTGTTTTGATTTTTCTGAAATTTTCTTATATTTTAGGTATGTAATACTAATTAAGATAGAATAAAATTAATAAATTATAGATATTATATTAGGCATTATAATAATACTAAGTATTATGTAAGTATGTTATACAAAGTAACCAACCTAAAAGGTCTAAAAAGTATTGTTTAACAGAAATAAAATTCATTGTCATCTTGTTTAAATTTAACTTTATATTTTACAGTTCCAATTGATTTTATAAAACTGGATAGTTCGACAAATTACATATGTACCAGTTTTAAGTGAATTATAATCATAATTATTATAGGTAAGAATTAAAGAAATTCTTTTATAAGTAAAATTATAATATTGTAATAACAAATCAATAATTTTTTAGCAATTGAATCATTAAGTAGGTAAATATTATTTTAAAATGTAAATTGTTTTTTTTTTTTGTATAAGTAAAGCAGTGTCATTTTTTCACTCATCAACTCTATAATATTTTATCTGTCTATTTGAATGTTACATATTTACGACCAAATGTTATGTTAAATCTTCATCAAACTTGAAACAAATATTTTTGTTAGTCACTTAAAACTACAAATAATTTTTAATATTTTAATTATTAAAATTTCTGTCAGTTAAATATTAAACAAGTTACTTCTCTATTTGTGAAATTCACAACTAACGTTTGGGTAGTTTTATACATATCGAATGACTATGTCATGTGTCATAACAGGCAGTTGTTCACTAACTCAATTTAAATAATATATCTTACCACATCCAGGGCACGTCCAATTTTTGAAAATCGTCATTAGTTTTGAAATATCTATCTATACACGTTTTTTCCTTGAATATATTAAACGGTACATTCAACATTCCATTGGGGTCCAAATGCCGAATTAACTGGTGGAAATGTTTGTTACAAAAATCCATAGTCAGTTCTACAAATTTAAATTACAAATTGCAAATAATCAGTGATCAAATGATTGAATGAAATGACTCTTGTGTAGTTAAGTAAAGTAAACCAAACGACGAATCGAAATGGAAAGAAACTGTCACTTGTCAGTTATATGATACAAGGTAATAAGAGATACCAAAATAAAAATCCTAACAGGGAACCACACAAGTTTGCTATAGTCCACAGCCTGTACCTTTGACGGTAGGTATACTATATAGTAGTATATACTAGTATATATAGTACTTGCACATGTTCTATGGACGGAAACGTTAAAAACAAAAGAATGATAAAAAAAAATTATTAGATGACTGCAATAACCACGGTTTTAGATACATCTTAAATCGTAATAACCAGTGAATTCGCACTTGAAAAAAAATGCGTTTACGCTAACTAAATATTTTATTAAAAGGCCAATACATTACACATGACGTGTCATAAGACGTAGGCAGGCAAGTATAATTAAAACAATAACGTCACATAATGATTAGAATAATACTAATACCTATATCGATACCTAAAATCGAACTGTTCGAACCAAAACATAAATTTTTAGAAAATTTCAATTGGCATAAATATCTGGTGTCACTAGGCACTACTTTATTTTCCCGCACTACCGACTATTATCTATTCTATTTAGGTAGCGCGTAGGTAGGTAACACGAATTAAGATACTCATTGAATAGAAGATATAACTTAATCCGTGGTAAGTAATCATAATAATAATAACAATAATTATATTTATAGGTTATATATTATTTAATCAATAATAATAGATAAATGTATAAATAAATAAATTAATACGTATCCTGGAGCATTATGTTTTGTGTATTGTACGACCAGTTCTGCATTAAAAATTTATCGTTGGGTAAAATCACAAAGTTAAAAAGTAAAACGCGACTTCACCAGAAGCATTCATTTATTTATTTATGTATTTATTTACGAGTGTTAACCATTTAATAATTTTGTTTTTACTTTATTATTTTAATACATAATAGATAATTATAATTATCGCCACATGACTTTTAATATTGAGTGTTATATATGTGATACACCAGCTTGAGCCTTGATAAAATGTATTAAAAGGCATAATGCATATTTTACAAGTAAAAATCGTATTTTTTCCCGGTTAATCGTTTTTATTTTAAATACCGTTTCGAAAATAAAAAAAATTACCTATATATTTACCAAGTAGATAAAATTAAATTTCAGAAAAGATGCTACACTTATACATCGATGCAAGTTTTCTAGAATAAAAGTGGTCTATAGTTTAAAAAAAAAAAAAAATATCGTTGTAAAAAAATTAAAAAAGTCGTCTGATGATTTTAAAAATTTTACCACGTTTAAGTAAATCCTATATAATTATTATTACCAAGTTTTAAGTCTACGTTTATTTATAACCGAATTACAGCAAAAAACTACTAAAAATTAAAATTCCTTAAAAGCTCAACAGTAACTTAGGTTTTGACAATAAAACTGTAAGAAATAAAATCAAAAAGGCAACAAAAAAGGTATCTTGTGATTTTTAGATCAAATCATTTTTCCTGGTAGAAAACGTTGTATTTTTATGAAATAATGAAATCGTTTAATTATATGTTTTCTTGCATTTTTTCACACTTAAATGATTTTATTTAATAAATTACGTCAAAAATTAAAAAAATGACTTCTTTATAGTACAATCCAGATAACTTGAGCTTTCAGTAATAGGTGCTACACTTATACATCAGAGCAAGTTTACTATAAACAAACGTCCACAGACTAGAACAATGAACAGAGAAGAAGAAGAAATAAACATTTATCTACGCTCGGAATCTAAAATATGTTAAGTCCTAATTCGTATGACCATTTCGTATGACACTCCTTATTGCTATGAGAATATTATCTCCATCTAAATATGTCAGGCATATTATCGATTATATCAATAATTTACTTCTACATATTGTCATTCAATTTGGAAGGTTATATGATTAGATTTATTCAGTACTTTTCCTTTTGAAAACAGTTTCTAAATTATAAAAAAAAATAAGAAAAAATACCAATCCCTCAGATCAACTTCAAAACAGAGAAGAAGAGCGTTGTAACACACCTTTAATAAATACTAAAAACTACCCTATAGTATAAAAAAGAAATTTGATTGGGCCTTTTATTCCTGGTGTTGAAGGTGTGTCATAAACGACTTCATATTGAAATATTTTTACTGACTATAAAGTAATCTAATAATTGTTGCATTGATAATGATGGGTAGATATTACATAAAGTAATACTTTTAATTGAAAATATCGCTCAAAGTTATAATGCAATTTTTTTGGTTTGTAGACAATTTTTAAATGTAAATGATTTAGTTGAAAGGCCTTTGCTATCAAGTAATATTGGAATATTTTTACATACAAATTTATCAGAATGTATTCCAATAAAATTGATTAATATTAAAATTAAAGCATTGATAATACCCATAGATAATGATGAAAATGTAAATACATTTTCTGTATTCAGATATTGTATTTAAATACGGTACTTTTACCTATAGGTAGATTTTAGATTTTGAGTAGAGCAGAAAAACTTATGGTTTTACATAGATGTTTATTTTTTTTTTTTTATCTATTAACAACTTTTCTACCAGAAGACTTACTCGGAATTTAAGGTACAGCACCTTTTATGAAAGGAAATCGGTATGAGAAGGATGTCATTTTTATGATTTTCTCAAGAGTTTTCTCATAAAATTTGAAAAATCGAAAAAAAAAACGGGGAAACATAAGAAATGCAGAAAAACTATTAATATTGGTACAACACTAAAAAAATATTATTAAAGAAAATATTTAAAGCTTATTTAATTATTTTTTTTACTATAAAATTACATATATATTGTTGACAAAGCATCACTATCAACTGAACTTCACTCAGAATTATTTTTTCGTAAGCAATGTTTTATCATTGCCAATAGGTATACATTAAATTATCTATAACAGTGACTGCACCTATTCCCATTATCCTAGGACATCGTTTTTCTTTAATAAATTGTATAATGGACCTAATATTGTAGTTAAATGTGAATTTTAAATTTAGAATAGATCATTTTTGTTAAAACTAAAAAAGCATATTAGCAACCTTTTTTCAGACAAACAATATCAAAATGGAAGATTGTACATTTATTATTTGTGAAGTATATTTTTACGAAGGACCTGTGCTATCAATTTTTCATTATTGTTGATTAGTGAGTTCAGATAATGTAATTTAATATTGTCTATAGCTGAATAAAAAAGGTTAATCAATTAAATTAACCAAATCTGTATGCTACCTAGAAAACGGTTGGATTCAGTATAAATGTAGAATTTTATATAAATGTTGTTAGTAATAAATAAACTTAAGTAAACTCACTTTTTTTAACTGTATGTTTCATAAATGGTTTTAGAATCATTTACTCAGGCCCAAAAAAAATTAGTAGTTTTGCATATGATGGCAATTTTAAAGGTGAAATAACAAATGATGAAGATAAATGTCGTGCGAAGAGGCTTAAGTTTAAAAACTGTAACTTATTTACTGATAAGGAATCAAATTTACTTGAATCTCCTAGTTTTTTTAAAAAAATCTTCCAAAACCTCCTAAGTGGACTAAACGTCTTAGTAAGTACAATTTTTATTTGATTAGTTAAATAGTTTTTAAAAATGTCATTTGCTTATGTTGTGCAGTTGATAATGACAATAATATATTGGAGCAGCCATACCATTCTCCAGAAAAAACCAAAAAACAAATCAAATTAGTAACAATTAGTTTTAATTAATACAATTCATAATTACAGTTTTTTTTAAAAAATTCTATATTTGCTTAGGTTGTACAGATAAAGATTTGATAAAATTAGCTCCGACAAGAATTTCAAATAAAATAATTCGCCAGACTCAAAAAAAAACAATAAGTAAACTGTAATTTAACCATAACCATATTGCCATTATTATTGCATTATTATTATTTTTTTCTTACTTTTTAATGCTGATAAGACTACTGCTAAACTATATATAGTAACAGGATATATTTAACGTCAAATATTTATATTATTTATTCTTAATGGACATATAATTATGATTACAAATATACTATATAGAAATATGCACATAGACTATTTGATAGCATGATCATCCATTATCCAAACTGTAATACCAAATAATTTTACTAGGTTCCTAATTTTGTAATCAATTATTAAATTATTAATTAAATTATTATACTAAGCTTATTTCAAAGTATTTTTTTATTGTTTGATAAAGATTATTATTTACTGTTGGATTTTGGATTAACAAAATTGTTTATTTTTTTAAATAGTATATTTACATATTTGTTTATGTTTTAATTTTTTTTATTGTTCAATATACAATATATAACCAAAAACAATAATTTACATAATATGGAGTATTTTTTTGGGCACGTGCTTTTTGAAGGATTATTTTATATCCACTTATTATAGTAGATCTATTTAAAACATTAATGAATGTCTATGTGTAGATATTATAAGTTTAATTTGATCTACTACATGATATATGATAGATGCTTAAATTGGATCTTCAAATAGACTGAAAAAATGGCACATATAGACTAACCTTAGATTTATCATAGACATCTACATTTACATCATATGTATGTATTATGTCTATAATGAATACCTATTAGACGTCTAATATACATTGCAATATATACTGGTTACCTACTAAAACTAGAGATGCACACCCTATATTAAAGGATGGTAATTTTAACGACATTTTTGAAAAAATTAGAATAATCTCAAAAATATTCAAATTTGATTTTTAATAAATTTTTAAGTGGAATAACAAAATCACAGCAAAGCCTGGTCTTTAGAGTCAAACAAAAAGTAAAAATATCAAAAAATTACCCATTTATTTACCTTGCCTTCATTTATTTTATCAAAGTTCTGTAGTCAGAATTTCTATAGGTACCCTAATTTCCCGATTTTAAGATTTTGAAAAGACGTAAAAATGGAAAAATCAAAATTGAAACCATAGAACGTTGATAAAGTAAGTGAGTGACATTTTAAATCACTGTGTACAAATTGAAAACCTCTGTAGCATTTTCCGATATTTTTGAGTTAAGTTTGTACCCCCGAAAGCTATAGTGTCAACTGTCGGTGAAAAAGTCTGAGAATACATGTTTTTAAACTCAGTGTATTTCGGTGGAAAGTGGTAAAATCGAAAATTCAACCAAGAAACGTTGGTTGGATTAGTCACACGAAAAATTGGCGTTTTTCTGAACCAAAAGCCAGATTTCCACCTAAATAAGTACTAACATCACAGTTACCTCATTTTTGTACTTTGTTTTCACAAGTTATTATATTGGCTAAGAAATAAAAATCCGTTATAATATTATTGTTCAATATAGCTGTGATGACAACAAAATGTATTATATGTATAGGCTCAAAGGTTAAAAGTAATAATTGTTTGTACTAAATTATTGTGTATCTACTTTTAATAAAATTTTATTTAATATCTATAATACTATACTCATTGTTATTACGTTTGTTTATAACGTGAATTTAACGTGTACCACGTTATTTGTGTTGTTTGCAATCGCGGTCCCATGTAACCCGATAGACTGGGATAAATGTGTGTATGAATGTGTAAAAATGATCGATATTGTTTCTACAACTGTGTTTGAGGAGAGCCTAAAAATTAAGATACTTTGCTACAGCACACTTAATTCCGCACACCAAAATATTTTTTTTTTTTTTAGCATATTTATTTATTTTGTACATTCTGTATGATAATTTTAGAATAAGCACAATAGATGAAAGACAGGTGGGCTTGATTAACTTGATTAGGGAACCTATTCAGTAATAGGACTCAATGGACGTGTGTGTGACAATGATCAGTCAGCTAGGAGGTCACGGCACGCTTTAAACATCGGCCAGGATCCCCAGGGATCGTTTGGGAAGACAGGTTTTGAATGAGAGGGTTAGAATGATTTGTTAATTTAAGATGAAAACGCTTGTAAAGTGTTTTGGCAACGTCTTTAACATACGGGATCAGGAGGTCCTTGTGGAGGGTATCATTTAAAACAAAAAAAGGGGCTTTAGTTATCTGCCTGAGACATTTGGACTAGAAGGTTTGGATTCTGTTTATGTTTGAATCTTTGGCTGAACCCCATAGCTAAGCGCTATAGGACCAGATGGGTTTGAGGAGAAGCTTGTAGAGTAGAATTTTATTATGAAGTGTAACATGTTTGGACGAAAGAAGGAGGCGAAGCTACCTTTGACGGTTATTAAGAATTAGTAGTTTGTTACGTATGTGGGTAGCCCAAGTAAAACGGCGATCTAGATATAGACCAAGGTAGCAAACACTATGAGCAGTTGGAAGAAGTTGGTTGTTGAGTGTGGCGGGAGGACAGAGAACCTGTCTGAGCGTGAATGTGCAGTTGATGGATTTTGATTCATTGACCTTGAACCCCCACTCTTTGTACCAGGCTGACAACAAGTTGAGGTGAGCCTGGTTCCTATTGGATGCCTCAAGAGGGTCATGGTGGAGCCAGGACGGCTTTATCATCAGCGAAGTCCCCAGTGATGGTAGAGTTGGATGTGGGTGGGTCTGAAGTATACAGATTAAATAAGAGAGGTGCTGCTATAGCTCCTTATGGGACTCCAGTTCTTATTAAAGATATGTCAGATAAGGTTGAGCCTATCGGGCTTTCCTTTTGTCCGAGATTAGGGTTCTGACAAAATATGGAAGCGAAATATGTAATTAAATAATAACAAATACCTAATTTACTGGGAACAATATTTAACACAATGTTATATTTAAAACAATTATATACATTTATTTAAAACAAACTTTGATACTATTATTCTAAGCAAAAGAAATACTTTTTGAGACTTGAGCTTCAGAGAAAATCCCTTGAAACCATACCTGATTAACACCATACGGTTGTACCTTATCATGCCTATTTTTTTCTTTAGGCTAATATAAAACTGCTGAATGAGGGTTGAATTTAGACAAACAAAAAAAAAACAAATGTCGTTATCGGCGCCGCCCAGACGGTGTAGTTGGTATTATCTTTAACGTTAAGGATTTTAAATTTATACTCGGACATGCTAATTAGTAATTTTCATTATTTTCAAAAATTAATATCAGTTATTTATCAAATAAAAATGTATAAAAGCCTAAAATAAGTACTGCACATTTAATAATTGCTATTGTACATAGTGTGTGCTACTGTCTTTCTAAAGTCTATAAGTAATAAGCTTAAGTACTCATCAAATTCATAATACATAAATTATAATTTATAGGTATGTATTTTAAAATATTATAAATTAAATATTATAGACACATGTATTTTCATATTCTAAATGAAAAGTAAAACAACATAATTTAAACATATTATGAAAATATGTGGAAATAAATACATCAATTACATTTGTATTTGTCTTTATTATCAAAAAAAAACAACGTATAAATGTATACATTATACTACCTATTATAGATACATAGGTATATGGTATATGTATTATATTACCTATTATATACCTAAGTAAATTTATACACAGGATGATTCACTATGGGGCTGCTCATCCCATTTTTTTGGTTAAATTTTGCATATATTCAAATTCTGATTTTTAGAATTTTTAAGTGCAGTTAAAGCCGATATTTTTGAATACATAGATTTTTCTTAACATTTAAGGAGTGATTTAAATCAAGGCAAAATTGCTGGTAGAAAAGTTGTCCACAAAAAAAAAATCATAATATTTTAATAGCATATTTTGTACATTTTCCCGTTTTTCCTTACTTTTTCCTTTATATTGGGAAACCTGCCAAGAAAATCAAAAATTGACTTGCTTAAAGTACAACCCCAAGAAAATTTACTTTTAGAAAAAGTTCTACATCATATACATCGGAGTAAGCTTTCTGGTAGAAAGTGTTTATACAGAAAAAAAATAAACATCTTTGTAAAACCAATTGGTACATTCTTTGCTATACTCAGAATCTAAAAAATAGCAAATATTTTGTATAACAGAATTTAACAACATTGTATTATAATATTATTAAATTACCTAGAATATTTTAAAAATTGTTTGCACTTTTTTAACATGAGTTTTCAAACTTACAACTTAATTCAAATCAAACATAATTATTTTAGATTCTGAGTGGAGTGAATTATTTATTAATTATATTGGAACTTAGAAGTACAATACAACTTTGGTTTGGTTTTTACAAAGAAGTTATAAGAATAACATTATATGTTGAAGTAGGTATAAAATAATCAAAAATTACATTAGGTAGGTATAGGTATTTTCAGCAATAAACTATAATTTATTAGGATTTCAATATTTGTATGCAGGTCCGTATTTGTAATCGTATTAGCATACGATTTTTAACAGAGTTATAGTCAAGGTTTATAGAGTTTAATCTATAAACCTTGAGTCTGAGTTACACCTTACACCATTGTTTTTTTATTATTACAAATTATATTTTATTAAATTATCAATTATGCTTAATATCTATAATATTTAGTTTGTAATAGCACTACTAGAGGGCGGCCGAGTACCCGGTCCTAATTTTTTTGTAATAAAAAGACATTTTTATTTGTATTTAATTTATTATCTATGGATGTAGATAATGGTGTTTACGAGGAATGACTAGTGCAATCTAGTGATTAATAAAACTTGCCAACGAAATAAAAACACCTGATAGATGCACCTTGCGATTATATTATTATGATTATCATTTATCAATAATTAGTTTTAGGTATACATAATATTTATTATAGGTAATAGTAATTTTTATTTTTTTTTATTTTTTTTTTTTTATGCATGTTTTGAAAGTTACAAAAGTTTATCATTTATTAATCTTTCTATTATAATCATAAATACAATGACACATAGATTTTTATAGTTGTTTGACACAATATAATATTTGTTCTCATTCCATTTTTTTTTTTTACATTTTTTAGTTTGTAATTTATTGTAAGGTGTAACATTTTAAAAACAAAATAAATGTTCCAGTTGTAATCTATTCCGGTCAAATTATTATGATCTTCGTGTTCTATATATTATGGTATGTTCCCGAATTTCACCTACATACAATTGACCTAGTTTTGAGGGTACCTACTTAATAGTGTCTATTGCATTTTTGCCTAGACATTAGAAATACTAACCTACATAAATCTTGCTCAATTAAAACAAGTATAACCTTAAGTAATATGGATTATTTAAGATATTCTTCTTTATTTTTTATTTTTATTAATTTTAAATATTTCAACAAGTGAAATCTATTGTAAACCAGAAATATTAATACACTGACCTATATATGTTATTATAGCACATTATCTAACCATCAATTCTGTATTACAATGATGAAGAATAATACAACATTAAATATTATATCTAAAACAAAATATACCTAGGTATATTTTTTTTAAAATTACAATTGGTAGTTAATTAATAAAATATAGGTTGTTTTAAATACTATTAAAATTATTTTAGTATGTTCCTATCTAGGTATTAGTTTTCAAAAAATAGTAAAATTCATAATAATAATAATTATAACATTAGGTCTACAATTGGAATCAAAAATTTTCAAATTTTAATTTAAGATTTATGAGCAAAGATATATTGAATATAAATAATTATAAATTGAGTTTAGTATCAAAAATGTACCGAACTTATGTTTTTCTACATCTTATATAATACTAGCTGTCTCGCCCAACGTTTCCTGTACCATTTTTTACATCTTTTGGTTTTGACTGTGTCAGTAATGAATAATAATAATTAAAAAGAAATAGGTGGAAAGTGGTTAGTTCATCTTCAATGGACCAATAGTTTTCTGTTATAAACTATTAAACTTATATGTAACATTTCTTCATGAAAGGCCGAATTGTACTTCCATATATTTTCGGGAAAAACTTTAGAATGATTGTTATATTTTGTTTGCCTCTTCTTTCTACTCTAATATTTCGCATGTGTGTTGCTTTATTCGTTTGATGGCTCAAAAGGGCCCCCTTGCGTCTTACTGGCAGTGTTTATTGTAACACACACAAATAAACAAAACTGTTGTACTTACTGTCTTACTGATGAAATTATGTGAAGACAGTTTATAACATTACATTTTATTTGATAAAAATATAGCACATATATCTATAAAATTATTTTTATTTACATTAATTACCGTAGATATGTTTTGATCAAACTTTTACATTTTATTTTTTATTTCATCCGTATAACTAAGGTAATCCATACAAATAAATAATTCAATAATATCTAAAAACCCAATTAAAATATTAAAATCACGATTGAAAATGGTGGGCGAGGTTATGAAAGTAAAAAATACTTTACGACCTATTCTCATAGCTACCAAATATACACAAAAATGTCATTAAAATCTGTCATGCCATTTCGGAGGAATGCGATCACCAGCACATGACATGAGAATTTTATATATAAGATGTACTACTTTTTGTTTTCTTTATATTTCTTTAGCCAGTTCTGGTTTTCTCATTTTAATATTTTTTTTGTTTATTTTTATTTTTATTTTACATGATATTTATGAAGTATTTCATATTTTCATAAAGCAATTAATCTATTCATAAACCAGTGAATCATGGGTACTCAGGAGGATCGTGTTTTAACTGTTATAAATAAAAACCGGAAGAACTTTTTTGTTAAAGCACAATGCATTTTTGTTTTCATAAATACACATGCTTTTTTAAAAACTTGATACCAATATGTTATATGTATTATAATCAAATTGCTGTGCTGTACTATAAAATAAATATAAACAGCGTACAGTATTAAGTATTTTATCTCAAAGAAATTAAAAGACATTTGTTTATTTGACTAATTATAAATTAAATTTTGTTTTAGAACCAAATAAAATATTTATACTTATGGTAGACCTTAATAGTCAATTTTCAATCGAGTTTCTTAAACAAAGAAACCTTATATCTTAAAATGTCTGAAGTAGTTTCATATTCACCAGAGATGATTGTGAAAACTGAATTTGATGTGTCATCTGGAAACAATGATGAAAATTCAAACAATAATTTTGAAGAAAATGGTGACATTGAAAATGATCAAGGAAATTTAGATAATGGTCTACATTCTAACTATGACACAACTTCAGATTGTGGAACCTCTATTCATCGATGTGATAGATGTGATAACTATGAAACTATGAATGAAACTAGTTTAATATCACATTTAGCAACATGTCAAGGAACAGAAAGTAATACTGAAAACGATTCGCAGACAAATCGTAAATTATTTGAATGTGATATATGTAATATGAAATTTTCAAATGGTGCTAATATGAGAAGACATAAAATGAGACATACTGGTGTTAAACCATATGAATGTAAAATTTGTCAGAAGCGGTTCTTTAGAAAAGATCATTTAGCTGAACATTTCACAACACATACAAAATCATTACCATTTCATTGTCCAATTTGTAATAGAGGGTTTCAACGGCAAATTGCAATGAGGGCACATTTCCAAAATGAACATGTTGGGCAACATGACATGGTTAAATCATGTCCATTATGCAATTTTAGAGCTAGTTCAATGAAAAGTTTGAGAGTTCATTTTTTCAATAGGTATGTAATTAATTTAAGGATGTAATATATTTTTAACATTTGTCTATGTGCATTTTAACAGACATGGCATTGACTTGGATAACCCTGGTGTTGGTGTTATTCATTCTACTTCAGCAAACCATATACCTATTGATTTTAATAGTGGAAATATTAGCACCAGCGGAGCTTGTAGTGATAGTGGAGAGTCAGTTAGTGGGAATCGTTCAGAAAGTAATGCAACACCACCAATGCATTTTCTTACACCTCATGTTGAAATATCAATGACAGAACCCACTCCGGCAGAATGTTTATCTTTTTCTTCTTCTCAAGTAAGTTAAATATTTTTAAACTTGATTATTTATTTATTAGCGCATTATGCTAATATGGAGTTACAAAGTAGATTGATAAATATGGAAAGTTTTGAGAATCCTTAAAATAATACCACAAATAAAATAATTATTCAATTTTATTATAAAATCATTGATAATAGTTTTCTTTTCTTTAGATGTACTACAAATTAATTAGTTAAAATAACATTTTACTGTTATTTATTTAGTTACTAAGATTTTAATAGATTTCGATATTTTTATAGCAAATCAAATAAAATATAGATCAATTATCTATTTGTTTATCAATCTATAAATTTGTGATTAAACTACTTAGTACCTACTTACTTATTGATAAGAAGTATGATATTTTAAACTTGCAATTTATAGAATATTTAGTTTTCAAAAAAAAAAAGACTGATACATCGCATGATGGGTAGATCACTGTTATAGGTGAGTTGGAAAGATATAGGGAAAATGTAGTGTATATCTGTACGTAACAATTAATCATTAACAATGAAAAATTATTCGGAACAAAGTTTGATTGTATAATCAAATCTTACTTGAAAAAGATTTTTTGAAAGGCTGTAATATTTGTGATAAAAAAATAATACATTTTAAGGTTAGGTTTCATAATTTTGACTATTTTTCCCATTTTTTATGAAAACAATGACCTCCCTAAATTATCACCCTAAAAAAATTTTCTTCCAGAAAAGGATCTACATCAGAGTAAACTTTCTGGTAGAAAAAGTGTTCACATAATAAAATAAAATAAAAATAAAAAAATAAACATGTATTTTCCATCTTTTTGGTTTTTTCCAATTATATATAATAATAACTTTGTTAGATATCAAAAAACTAATTTCTCTGTCAATGGCTAGATATTAAATAAATAAAGTTGATCTCTTGTCATTTTTCAATTGGAGCAAGATTTCTGGTAAAAAAAATACATATTTTACAAAAATTCAAATAATTAAACTGAGATAGTCACCAATCTTTTAATCAATTTTTATTTTTTATTTTTTCCTAATTATTATAAAAACTAAACTTAAGATATCAAAAAATGACTTTCTGTCATTGGCTATATTTAGAGAAACGAAATCGATACCATAAAATCTGTCCTAGGAAAATGGGTACAGGTGTAGCCACTGCTTTAGTTGAGAATTTGAGATGGTAGGAGAGGGGAAATTTAATTTATATATCTATAAGCAACGATAAATCATTTCTATGAATGATTCTGAGGAGAATTCCATTAATAATGTTGCTTTGTCAACAATGTCATATTGTTATATTATGATAAAATAATATATATACATTATATATTTGTTTAATGTTGTATCTATTTTTCTATGTTTTTCTGAGTTTTCCGATATTTTTTCCGGTTTTTCCCATATATCGGAAAATTCAAAATCAAAGCAAGAAAGATTTCTGTATTAATTTTATTTTTTAAGCAGGGAATTTATTTCAGGCCTCTAATTCATTTTTGTGATAAATTTTTGTTTTTTATTTTTACTACATACCAACATAAATTGTTTTAATTTTTTGTGTGAACTACCATAATGTAGTTTGATGTTAACCAGGTATTTTATATTTTGTTTAAGAACATTCTATATTTTATTATGTTTAGATAAATGACAGTAGTATAAAATCTGAAGGTATTTCAAATGTAACTAATGAAGATGTTTCACAAGATAACGAATGTCCAAATTCTCCTCAGTCAACAGACTCAAATTCTAATATGTCTTCTTTACCAATATTGCCTGGAAATAATCGACAAGAAGGGGAAGTAAGTACGATTACACCATCTGTTTCTCTTATACCAATAAAACAAGAGCAAGGAGATGAAACTCCAAGAAAAAGTAATTCAAAAAATGTTCACAATGGAGAAACTGATTCTGGACATTTTCAGCCAGCTACAAGTCTATCTTCATTAATCAAAATATCACCTCTTAAATCACTATTACGGGATGAGTTTAAACGCAGAGTTAATATTAATAGCTCTGAAACAGTACAACCACTTAACACTGATCCTAGTATCTGGAGGTACATGGCATTTAAAAAAACATTACAATGTACCTTTTGTGGTATTACTTTTCCCGACCAAACACTTTATTTTCTGCACAAGGGATGTCATTCTGAAACAAACCCCTGGAAATGTAATATCTGTGGAGAACAATGTAGTAATGTTTATGAATTTAATTCCCATTTATTAAGTAAAAACCATCAATAATATTTTCTCTTTTTCTTTTTTTTGAATAATAATTGTGTTGTTCAGTTTCCAAAGAATTATTATTTATATAATCTAATCATAACATTTTATTTCACAAACATAGTTTGCTTACTTACAATAATTGATAAAAATACTTACCTGTTTCATTTCCACATTTCTTCTAAATATGATGCAATATTATATGTTAGAATAACAAATCAGAATATATTGATTATATTAACATAACAAATGCCAAAGGTATATTGAGAATACCAAATAATATTATACCTTTTGTTATTATTACAAAAAAAAATGTATACATGGTAATTTTAATTTTCTTATATGTGCTAGACAATTTAACTTTAACAAACAAAATAACATACATATATATATGTATTTATAGGTAAATCACTTATATGCAGTTATTAATTTGCGTTTAGTTAGTTTAAGAATAAAGTGCATAGGTACTTAATATTAAAACATTTTTAATTTGCATAAAAAGAGTTCCCGGAGTTTTATTAATTATTGAATTTAACTGTTCAAATTCAATGAATTTTTCACCTGTATTTATGTTGATTTAATTAATTGAAATGAACAACTGAATTAACTAAACAGTAAACATAGTATATAATGACTTTATACTTAAATTTGATCAATAACCATTTATACAGTATTAATTATTATTATTATTATTCCAATTAAATCAAATAATTTAAAATATAATAATCCTTTATATTAGTTTCATTATATACCTAATTATTGTAAAATGCCATAGTTAAAAACTGGATTTATTTTCAAATTTAAATTTGTAACCTTACATAGAATGCAAATTAATTAATAAATTAGATCAAAAATAATGAGTATTTTTTTGTATTTAAAATTTTTTTTTTAATTTTAACTCTTACACAGAATAATTACTACTGGAATCCATATTTAATAACATTATAAATAATTACTAAACAACCTTTAGGATTTTAAACATTTTAGATAAGTAAATATCTAAAACTCTAAAATATATCCTTTAAATTATTAATTATAAGTTAGAAATGTTGTGAATTATAATTTCAACTGTTTACAATCATTTGTATTATTATTTATAATAAGATTAAGGTATTAAACTCAAATTTAACTATAACAATAGTATTTTTATTGTTACAATGGTGAGTTTTATTGTTTATTTAATTAATGATAAGTCCAATATTTTATCTATTATTTTTTCACTTCAAAATTTTGTTATTTTGTTATTAAGTTTGATTTTAGTATTTTCCGTCCAAAGTGCCTTGTCAGTATATTAATTTTATTTTAAACATAAAATTACAATTAAATATATATTATGGGGTACTGATTTAAGAAATCAACTATATACAGGGTGATTTTCTAAGTATGATTACTCCATTTTTCCAATTAAATTGCGCATTAACCTATTCGAATTTTGATATTTGAAATGTTTAAGTTTTGTTTGATAATATTTGTGAATATTTAGATTTTTCACAATATTTATTAGTTTCTGAGTTATTTTACTTTTAATACTAAGTCCACAAAAGATATTATTAACCCTTTTATTTTTTTTAAATTATTATTAATTGCTTATTATTCATAATCATTTTGCATACATAATTATAATTACCAAACTTTTATCTGATGTAAAAGACCTAAAGACCTAAAATGTGTTTAATTGACTATGATCCTTAGTAGTTAAAATAAAATAACTCAGATACTGTTTCCTTAAAATTTTGATTACAATACATCAACATTTCATTAAAATCATCAGATTCTTAATTTACATTAAAACATGTAGGTTCTCATTTGAAAAACTTAAGTTTGTGTTATGAAATTTTATCTTTAACTACATTTAACAATTCCAAAAATCAAAATATGTGTATGTATAATTCAACTAAAACTTGGTTGAGCGTGCTTAAAAAATCACTCTGTATATATTTTATATTAAAAATGTTTATAAAATAATATACATATTTTTTAAGAAGGTGGTATTTAACATTAAAATTTAAACATTGTTTATTTATAAAAATTTTATAATAAACTAGTTTACTAAGAGAAAAATTCAATAATTCAGTTAACTAAATAATTAAATGTCTTCTGTGATTTTTTATGGCTTTTTGCCAACAGTTGATTTATATAAATTTAGATTGCAATATTAAACATTTTATGTTCTAAATATCAAAAATATATACATATATTTTTTTACAAAAAAATTTCTTTATATTTCTTAAAATTAAAATAATGTTTTATATTTAAACATTCTTATCTATGTTTTTGGTTTTTATTTTAATTTTGGTGAACTATGTACCAGATATACAAGTTGTGGTGAATAAAAAAATATGCTTAGAAACTTCACATAAAGGTGCATGTAAACATTTTAAATGTATACCTTTTTAATAGATTCTGTGTATTTGGTACTTTGAACACAGAATAACATAAAATAAATATGTTCTGTACTAAAAGTTACTATACCTTACAGACTTTGTAAATAAATTGGTGACTTTTATACATTATATAATAATTATAATTAAATTTTGCAGTACTTACCACTTTTTTTTATATGTTAATAGAAATTTATTTTTATATAATAATATATACTTGTTTTGTATTATAAAGTAATATTGATTATTCCTATGTGTAAACATACTATTTAAATATCCCTATGTGCATTGTACTTCTTTGGTTTATAGTTATTTTTTTGGAAAAAAAATTTAGTATTTTACTATAGTATTAATATAAAATGTATTAGGTACCCACCTTTGAACAATATTTAGTATTAAGCATTCCCTTTTTTGTTGCACAAATTTATTTTTATTATACTTATTTATTTAATTAAAAGCCATTACTTTATTTTTTTTAATAAATGGAATTCAGGGTTTTAATATCTAAATTAGTCTCTATTTTTATTTTGAATAGTATTTATTGTAAACAAATTAAAATATTAACATACTGAAGATAGACAATTAAATTCTGTTATTACATTAATAATAATGAAACATTTTTTTTTTTATAATGTATGTATTTGTTCAATTTTATTTTTTTTTATAGTCCATTTTTACTTATTAAGTACAAAACTTGTATTATGTGATTAGTTAAATTGTGACTGTAAGTTCACATTCCGTCCAATTAGCATAAAAAAAACATACAATTTTACTATTTTTAATAATTATACACTTATTACTGTTATTCTAATGTTAAACATTGTTAGTTATTAATAATTAATAAAGGCAAATAATTTTATAATATCTTATGTGTGTTGAGTATTTTTATTTATTTATTTAACATGTTTGCTTACTCAAATAATAAAAAAATAATAATAAAGAATAGAACAATTGATATTTATAATCTAATTAATTACAGAGTTTACAAAATAGGATGCACAAGATAAATTTATAATTATAACTAATATTATTTTACATAGTGTACTTACATAATGTAGTCCTATATAATAAATAAATTATAAAACAATATTTTCAAATTTGTAGAAGTTTATAATTATTATATTGTTACAGGTGATTCATAATTTACATTCAAGTGTAACTGGTAATCAATTATTTCATCTAATAGTTGAAAATGGAAATTTAACAGAATATGTATATTATTACACATTTTAATAATTTATCTACATCTTATGGAATTATAGTAGAGATTACAAACTGCTAGGATATTTTTATTAACTCTGTCCTGTCAAGTTGAAGTTTTTTGATATAACATAGGTAGTAAATAGTTGGAAAAAAAACAAATATTATATTTAATTACATAATATATGACTGCACTTAAATAAATTTAAATAGTGTAATAATTCAATTTTTTTTTTTTTGTAAATCTGTATTATATAAAAATAACAAAAATCACATCAAATAAATGAATAAATAAATAACTAGGACATTTAATTAATAATATTCTTATGGTAATAATATCTAAATATATTTAATAGGTTTTTTGTAATGTTACCTATATTATATAATCAATGATCATTTTATAACTCATCTAAATAACTTGTTTGATTACATTTTTGATATACTAGTTATGATTAAATGTAAAATAACATAAATCAATTATTTTAATTTTTTAGGGTTACCACTTCTAAAATCTGAAAAAAATCACATGGGAGGTGTAAGTTTAGTCAGAAATTAGGAACCGAGAATATCCAATGATTTCCTATTTTCTTATTTGAGGCGATTAAACTAACAAATTTCTTTTTTTAGATTCTAATTGCTAGTCAAAGAAAATACTTGTAATAAATTATAATTATAATTAAATATTTATTAAGCAAAGGAATTCAATTGTTTTTCTAGTTACTTTTATACACACAGTAGACCAAATAGATTATATCTAATTATTATGTTTGTCACTTTGGTCAAAGCTATAATATCTATAAAACTAAATTGTATTGTGACTGAATAATTTAAATTAAAAAATATTTTTACATAATTTAAATTAATATTTAGACAAATGAAATAATTATTTAATTGAGAATTGAGTATTATTAGTTTAAGAGCTCAAAAGTAGATTTTAATTACTTTTTTTTTTTGCAATAATTAATCTAAACACAAATAAATAACTTTATTTAAATTAACTTAGTTTATCAAATGGTCATTGAAAAAACCTTCTATGTGCTATAATATAAATTTTGGGGAAAAAAAAAACATATAAAAATTCTAAAACCCTAAAACTATTTATTTATTGACAAAATTACATTAAAGGTTTCATTTTTTATTTTTCATTCTTTTATGAAGATAGCATATAGAAAATATTATTATCATATGATAGCTTATTATTTTTTAATTCAGGGATACTGAATCCAATTGAACATTTTGCACATAAGTTTTTGGACAACGTGTTGATATGAAAAAATATGACTTTCTAGAAAACCTAAATCAGGGTATTTTCAATTTCAAAAAATGGCAACTCTGAATTTGGAAAAATATAATATAAAGGGTTCTAAATGACTAATTCAAATTATAAAAATAATACCATGTTTACAAATATAACAAAACGAAAAAAAAAGAGATTGATCAAAAGGTTACTAAAATAAATGCTTAGATACATAAAATATGTAAATATATATAATAGGTGGGCCATTTAATGGATTCTTATTAAACAATAGGTTATTTGGCACTCATAACACTACTAATTGAAACTAACAGAAATTCAGTACTATCCCTCCATGAAAAACAAATGAAATTAATAGGAAATATTGAAACTATTAGAAATTTAATTTTGGGTATCAGTGAATATTAAACAATGAGCGATATGAGCGAAATTTTCTTTCATAAATAATCAGAGACTACATTTCTACTAAATATATTTATGTTTATTTAATTGAAAAGAAACCACCTAGTGGCCCCCCACCTTTTATATGTTCGATAGATATGCTTTTTACATTAATAAAATAATTATTTACATCCTCCATTATTGACTTCTTGTGACACTTTACTCCATGTAGGTGGGAATTTTATTACCAGTACAGTAATATTGTCAAGAGATCCTTTATTAAATGATTCTAGTGTTATGTATTGAGCTCCATAAAATGAGTCATCTATATGCTCTTTAATACACTCAACAGCTTCTTCATTGGTAAATATATCCCATAGGCCATCCGATGCTAGTATTATAAATTGTGGATCATGATGAGATAAATCAAATGTTAAAACATCTGGATTGGCGATGACATATTGATTTTCTTTTAATGGATAATCTCCAAGTGCTCTGGATGTAGCTAATATCCCAGCAACTCTCCATACACCATTGAATGATATAAAACCACCAGCATTCTCAATGCGTTTCTTTTCTCCCTTCTAAAATTAAAATAAAATATGTATTAGTAAACCTTATATTATCAAAACTTTTGATAATTTGATGATGATAATTTCAAACAATAAAATATATGTAATTATAAGAGTAGAAATGAAATAAATATTATACGCTCCATTATTTTAAACACAAATGAAATTTACTGTTAAAGGTAGGGAGGGGTAATAAATTTCATGTTAATTTTTTTAAATGATAAAATTGATAAACCTTCTCTACTTCTTCAGTCAATACATTGAAATGGTATAACTTATAAAACAGTAAATCTGATATTAGTGTTATGCATACCATAATTTTTAGAAAAAATAGTTTAAATTTGAATCTGTGATAAAAGGGTGGTTATTAATTGAAAAGCCAATACTACTGTTAATTAATTCTTCAGGTATAAGGAGTAGGAATTTAAATTGAATAAGTAAATGTTAAAATAGGGTATTAAGGATTCAAAAAATATTGTACAAAATTGGAAATCATATTTAAATATATTTTGAAATAAATACTAAAAAAACTGTCGAAGGATAATGGGAATGGGTGCAGCCACTGTTGTAGGTGGGAAGTTGGGAAGGTAGAATACAGAAGAGAATTTAATATTTATTTGTAAGCAATTATAAACAAACCATTGATAACAAAAAAGGATTCTAAGCAGAGTTCAGTTGATAGTGGTGCTTTGTCAACAATTTATATATATGTCATATTATGGCAAAATAATTAAATAAGCATTATATATTTTCTTTAATAATATTTGTTCAATATTGTATCAATTTGTTTGTTTTCCCAATTTTTTAAGAAAACTACTCTTGGAAAAATTGAAAAATGACTCCCTTAAAGTACCTTCCTAATCAGATATCCTTTCAGAAAAAGTGCTGTTATTTAAAATTGGAACAAAATTGCTGGTAAAAAAAGTTATCTACAGAAAAAGTGTAGTGTTCACATAAAAAAAAAAAAAAACCACTTTGTAAAACCAATACATTTTTCACATCACTCTGAATCTAAAATGTAAAATTGTGAACATTTTTTTCTTCCTGATTTACTGTAGAATCAACATAATATAATATTATAATATTTACATAAACCAAATTATATTGATTAGATAAATAATTTTTCATCTCAGACCAGACTAAACCAGACTAGTAATTGAATATGAATTATAAAATTAAACAAATTTATTGTACACAAAAATATTTACTTGCTCCGGTTTATGATCAAATGATATTGGTATAGCGATTCCTTTCTTATCGCACATAACACCTCTTGAATCTCCAACATTTGCAACAAATAATGTATTGCCATCTATTAAAACAATAAGTGCTGTGCTGCCTTGAATATTTATTTAAACATAAAACAATTGATTAGTTAACAATATTAATTTTAAATTTTACACATCATAATAAGCCATAAACAAAAGTAAAAAAAGTTGCATATTGATAATTTAAAGATACTATAAAGAGGTTAATTTTTTTTATTTTTTGCAAATATGTAAAATGTTTAAATTGTTATCTTATTTTAATGGTAATTCAATTGTTGTAAAACAACTTTGACATCATATTAATCAAGGTTGACTGATTATAACTCTTAAATTAATTTTCAGAATGGAATTTAAAATAATAAACAAAACCTCAAATAAAGATGTCAATATAAATAAAGAGTAATTTTATTTTGACTGTTTTTTATAAAATCCAATTGTAATTGAATATTTCTTAAATACGGGATAATTATAAGTCAAAACTTAATAAAAATTAATTTGTGCTATTTAGTTTTATTTATATTTTTACAATTTAATTATATAAACAATTTTGATTAATAAATTAGGTACCTGCAATATCAGAAGTTGTTTTAGCTGCCTCAATTAATAGTTTATCAGCAGCTAGGACTTCATCAATTAATAGCTTTGAAAAATGTATTTTACCTTCCCTCAGTAAATATGACGAGGGATTAATAATAACATTTTTAGCATTTTTTTTTGGATTATTAGTACCTAGTGAGCCTTGTTTATTCTTTTTTCTGCGGTTTCTTTTTTTTTTATTCTTATTGTAGTCAATTGTGCTGTCATCTAAAACTGCACTATACAATTTTATTTCTGGTTTCATGTGAGATGTTACATTATCAAGGGTATTTGAAGTTAGTTTTTCGGATTCTTTTTTTTTACGGATTTTTTCATTGAGCAATGATTTAACTTTAATTATTTTATTCATTAGATTTTCCATCAAATGTGTAGTTGCATATTCCGCGGCAAACTGAAAATTATTAAGTTCATTGCACATTAAATTTAGATGGAATTTTGGCAAATTAGATTAGGTTATATCTTATCCAATAATTTCAATTAAACATTATCTTAATACTAAAATTTAAAGAAAATAATGTTGTATGGTTCATAGTGTAAGATAGTAAATAGGAAAATAGGTCAAAGAATGAGTCTTGTGACGAAAGTAGATAGGATAAGGAATGAGTACATAAGAAGTGTTATTTTTAGTCACATTAGACGTGGCTTTGATAGTAGACAAAATAAGATAAAATGGACTGAGATGATATGGGCATATTATGTATAGAGGAATCTGAAGCAGTAAGAATTTTAACAAAAATCAACTTAAGATGAAAAGAAGTGAAGGAAGACCAAAAAAAAGAGGTGGTAGATCTAGTCAAGTGGAAGTTTAGTATGAGGGAAGTTGACCCCCAAATAATTTAGATGAAGATAATGGAGAAAAAGAAAAATTACTGGCAGGTATTAGTGTTATTTAATAGTATTTTAAAATTTTATTAAGAGTTGAAAATTATTATTATTTAAAAATGAATTCAAATATTAAGTAAGTAATATGTGTATCCAGCCCTAAAAGCAATTTCAAACTTAATTTAATACATAGTATGTAAGTACCTAGACAAATCTATTATTACTAACTGTAAAAAATGTATAGTACATTAATAAGCAATATGTTAACATGATTTTTAGTATATTTCTAAGATAATTTTAAAATAAAAATATTACTCACATTACCAGCATGTCCATCAAAAATACCAAACAATGATATTCCTGTACCCATAATATTGGTTTTAATCACATATCTATCTTCCATTTGTAATCGTCTACCTCTGACAGCGTATACAGCGACATTTTTCCCTTCAAACTGCCAGTTTGTATCTAGTACATCTTTTTCGTCGACGCCATCGACTGTTAATTCTTGAAAATTTTGGTTAAGCACGTTTTCTTCCGTGATCGCCATTCTTATCCCTAGCCAATGGTTTATGATATGAGGCGATGCAAATGCTGTTGTTTCAATGTTTCAAACACTTAGTCAGTTTCTTGTGGCCTGCATAAAAAAACGATATACTTTTCGCAGTTGTAAAATATTATTTAAAAATGTTAAAAAATTATTAATTTTATTACATAAATACTTGCGATATGATTATAATCGTATACCTGGTTTTATAAAAAAAAAAGCAACTAATAATAACCTACCTATATTGTTATAATAAAAAAGGCGTTTCAACGGTTGCCAATAAAATAACGAAAAGTAACGAATGATATTTAGCGTGATGTGATGCGCTTACGCACAATTTAAGATGATTAAATAAAATTAACCAACTACTAAGCTAAGTATTGACTATTCACTATAGGTGGAGTGGAGAAGGAAGTTTACTATAGTGTAAATGTAAATAATACTGTAAATACTCGATGATAACAACCCGCTGATATAGGGACTTGAAAAAACGTGGTAGATTGTGGTTGGCAGTTGCCTACATGATAAACAAAAGGAGTAAAAAAATATTTAGCGCCTAGGTAGGTATTGAACAAAAAAAACCCGAGCGGGTACACCGTATAACTAGGTGGAACTATTGATTTTTGGTTTCCCTTGGTTACACGGGTAAAAAAACAACTAAAAAGGTGTCGATGACGAGCTTACGGATCGGTATTTCAGTAGCTGTTTCATTTTAAATTTGTGACGTAAATAATATCAAAAAAAAAAAAAAACCGAATATTATGAATTGCTGGGTTGGCCACTGTTGCAGGTGGGAAGTCTAAATAGTTTAAATAGGCACTGCAGAATGCTATGGTATGACAAATAATTAAAAACAAAAATGATTCCAACTTCCCAGTGGATCTCGTTTAACTAGTCATTTTTAACAATGCATGCCTACCTAATAATAATTAAAATAGGTAGGTTGGTGATCTTTTTTTCTTCAATTAAAAATAAAATAAAGTGTTCATTCCTCGTGAAAGACAATGACATAACTGTAAGTCTATACAAGTCATTTTGTTTTTTTATTTAGAAAATTACTATTCATTCACGATTCACTTACCCACATACACCAATAATTGGGGATTCATAATACACACAAATAAGTCATAAAAAAATATCGTTGCAAAATAAATATTCCAATTTTTATTCAAAAAATAGCGTATGTATGTTACAATAGTTTGAATAAAATCAATGACACAAAATAAATATTTACTTTCAAAATTTCCAAAAGTTCTTTAATTGTTTCATTTAACGAATTTTCTTCATACATACGAGTTATAATTTATCTGCAAAGGCTTAAATTCAACATCAATTAATATAGAAGTAACAATGAATTATACTAATAATGTTTAACTATCTCAATAAACCTGTTTCATTTCTATGGTTTTGTCAAATTTCATATTCATAGATTCGATAGATGATTGTAATGATTGCAAGGATTGCATAATATCGAAGGTATCATTGGTTGATTTTGTATTTGCTTTGCTTCTGAGGTTGGGAAACTGATTTGGAGAGTAATCTTTAGATTTAGATGTCAAAGGTAAAATGAAAATAACAACAAAGAAGAAACGAAAAAGAAAAAGTGACGAATTAAACAAATAAGAGACCGATTAATAACACAGTACGTGTTAATCGCACGACAGCTGAAATGTAAATATTTTGTAACTAATACCTACATTTCTTATATTTTTCCATTTATCCTCCGTTTTTTTTTTTCGGTTTTTCAAGTTCGATGAGAAAACTCCTGAGAAAATCGAAAAATGACCTCCCGAAAGTACCATCTGGGTGATATTTTCTTTCAGAAATGGTGCTGCGCGTATATATCGTTTTTTTACACAGTATAAAAAAATAAAAAATAAACATCTTTCTAAAACCAATAGGTACATTTTTCGTTACACTTGGAATCTAAAAATGAACTTTTTAAAGTACATACTAACTAGAGCTAAAACACAACGAAATTACCATGTTTTAATTGAAGTAAAATGTCAAAGAAAAATGTTGTACGGGCATTATAAAAATAAATAAATAAATACCTATAATTGTAAAACCATACATTCGTCACTTCGCTCGGAATCTTAAAAAAAATTTTCCAATTCTTTCTAAGTTTTTTTTTTCGTTTTATTCAATTATTAAAAAAACTACAGGAAAAATCAAAACCAACTTCTTACTCACCAACAAGATACAATATAACAAAAAAAATATTTTCTATTTGAGAAATATAACTGGTAGAAAACATCGTACGCTGGAAATTTGCTCGTTTTTCAATCAAAATGAAAAAATAACATCTTCAATGCACCAATTAGATTTTCCTCCAGAAAAGTTACTCACAAACAAAAACACATAAAAAAGAGCTGATACTGGGGATGGATGCGGCAATTATTTTAGGTGGGTAGTAGGGAAGGTGGGGTGCATTAAATTATTTAATTTATACCTGTAAACCAGTGGCACCAAATTATACTTTTTTATATGAGTGGCAATAAGCGTTAATCTATATCCACCTACCTCTAAACAGTATTAAACCTAATACCTTAACACTAACTACCAATTTCTTAAACTATACAATTTTATTTTTGGAAATTATATTATTTACTGAATAATGTTTACATTTTTGTATTATTTAATATTTAAAATGCAACAAATAGGTACTTTAATTAGCATAGGTAGAAATTATTTATACGATCATTATAGAAACCGATATTGATATTTGACATAGACCGAACTATTTTGGTTTTACAATGATGTTTATTTTTGATTCTGAGTATAGCGAGGGATTTATTGTATTTATTTTGATGTGTGTTTTTTATTTTTTTTTTTTATGTGTATCAGTAAACAACTTTTCTATCAGAAATCTTGTTCCGATATATAGAGTATAACACTTTTTATTAGGTAATTTTATTTAGTTAGGTAGTGCATATAAGATGTCAACTTTTGATTTTCTTTGGGTTTTTAAAATAATTGGGATAACCTGAAAGAAAATTAGAGGTAAAACTTCAAATATTTATAGCGAGTCCAATTTCATTATTTAAAATTTGTATACACATTTTCTACCAGAAATATTATTCCAATCGAAAAATGACAAGAGATCGATTTTGTTTCTTTATTTTGTTTCTCATTAGCAATGTTTTTTATCATTGGTTACAGATATAAATTAAATAACTTTTTGTATCTCACCTTTCTAACTACAGTGGACACACCAGTATCATCTCATTTACTTACAATGTCGATTTTTCCACTAATTTAATTTTCAAGTGAGATATAATTAAGTAAATGGAATATTACAATTTAAAATCCCTATCTCACTTATCTCACTTTTAGAATATTTTAGAATATTATAGGCTTATATGAGGTTTAGGTTAAGTCAAACTTTCATCAGATTTAGTTAATATAATAATGTTTTAATTACATAACTTTATTCAACAAATGTATTTGCTTTTATTTAAACAATTGCACTATAAATGTTTCGATTTTAACTGCAAATGGTCAATATATATTTATGTAAAGCAATTAAAATTTTGAAGATAGCAATAGCATAGAGTGAAGGGGTATTATCCAATGTTATAAAAAGGTAAAACTATTTTTTATCCTCCAAGAATTAACATTTTATTAGTATTATAATTATTATTATTATATAAAATGCATATTTTCATAAAAACAAACTATACATTTATTTAAAAATGTTTAAATACTTAATTAATTTAAATTGTTTACAGATTATGAAATATGTTAATAGTAAATGATAATAAATATTTTATTTATTTATTGATATTATCTCTTTGAAATAAAATAGATTTAAAATTGTTCACTGTTAAAAAAAATGAATTTAATAAGTAAAAATAAATTATTATGTATCATTTATTTTTGTGAGTGAGCTATTGTTGTAGGTGAATTATTGAAAATGTAGGATATTTTAACAAGTTAGGTATTAAATTTATAGGTAAGTACCTAATCAATCTAATAAACTTATGGAAATAATTTTTTTTTTTAATATTAATGCTTATTAATATTGTCACATTTTTGACATAGCATTTGGGAAATATTATTTGATAAAATAAAAACACAACTGGTTATGGTTATTGGGAAATATAATTTACAATTTTATAAACAATACAAATATTATAAATTATTTTTTAATTGTACAAAATTATAACAACCATAAATATAACAGTTAAAAAGAAAAAAACAAATAAAAATGGCTTTTATAATGGTTACTAAAACAAAAGCTAGGATGCTTAATACATGAATATATAGGAAATTACATAAAATATTATCCCTGGTTTGATCACAAAACATTAAACAAATTCCTAAAATGTTAAATATACCTACCATAATTGTATACAATGATTAATCGCCTCCTCCATTATTTACTACTTGTGATACTTTACTCCATGTAGGTGGAAATTTTATTACCAGTACAGTAATATTGTCAAGAGATCCTCTGTTAAATGATTGTATTGTCAAGTATTGAGCTCCATGAAAAGAATCATCTATATGCTTTTTAATACACTCAACAGCTTCTTCATTGGTAAATGTATCCCATAGGCCATCCGATGCTAGTATTATAAATTGTGGATCATGATGAGATAAATCAAATGTTAAAACATCTGGATTAGCAATGACATATTGTTTCTCTTTTAATGGATAATCTCCAAGTGCTCTTGATGTAGCTAATATCCCAGCAACTCTCCATACACCATTGAATGAAATAAAACCACCAGCATCCGCAATACGTTTTTTTTCTCGCATCTTAAGTTTAAATAAAATACTATGAATTAACACAAATCATTATTAATTAAATTGTTTAAATAATATCAAGATGATGCTATAGAGAGCTAAAGTAGTTGGGATGCAGCAGTAGTGGTATTCTTAACATAGATAGGTAACTGTTAGTACTAATCATACTTCTCACACATCAATTGCAAAGGTACATCCCTAATACATCCTAACTACTATAGTGCATCATAGCAGTGGCTTCTACAACAAGATGCCAAATATTACTATTGAATGGACTATCTGTATATTGTATAATTAATGCTAATTATAATTTTTTCAAATTAATTATAATAATAATATTTGCTTTGTACTACAGAGTAAATCTTTCACGCTAAAAAGTTGAAAAGTAGTATGAAAGATAATTTATTGTTTTAACTACAATTTAATAGTACATAATTAGAAAAATTGGAGAATTAAGAAATTTTAAGAAGAAAAATTATGTTAAAAATAACAGAAATATAGCAATAATATTTTTAAATAAAATTGCAATGATCAAAAAATTATCCATTCATTTATCAGTACCAATTAAATTTTTATATTTCTACTAGGATAATAATAAGTAGTTATGTTAAAAACATCAAAAACATAGGTGCTTAACATTTTACTATGTTCATCAATTTCTATAAAAATAATTTAAAACTAAAAAAATATAATGGAAAATTTAAATTTAAAAAATAATAGTAAATGGTTAAAAAAGTTGATATTTTTTATATTAATTAAAAAATTATATTTATGTTTGAATGATAATATGAAAGTGTAGGTATACAGTAGTGAATAGTGAAAAAGTATAGACACTTTCACTGTCTCAATAATTGATACAAATAGTTATTAAATTTGTAATAATTGCATAGTATGCACACCTACATTCATTTTTTAGTAAACCAACATTTTCATTATTTATTTGTCTTTATAAACCTACTTGTCAGGTGTATATAAATAAAATATTAATCTGACAAAACTCTGGTTTCAAAATAGTCACATTACCAAGATAAAAAAATTCAATTTTTAATCAATGAATTAGAATTTATAATAATGACTATTAATTTAATTATTTCTATAAAAAATTACACTTATGTGCAGAAGACTTTTATAAGAAGTTTAAAAATTGTTTAAGACAATTAATAAAAACAAAAATTTTAAATTTTATTGGAAATTTTTTTTTGACTTATTACTCTAGTATTCAAATATATTTTACAAAATAATATTAAAATAATTAGGTAAATAATTGTTCACCTAAAACAGATATTATACTAAGTTGAATACATTTAGTAAATAAAAAATATATAATAACATATTATGTTATTATAAGTATTACTTGTTGTGGTTTATGATCAAATGATATTGGTATAGCAATTCCTTTCTTATCGCACATAACACCTCTTGAATCTCCAACATTTGCAACAAATAATGTATTACCTTCTATTAAAACTATAAGTGCTGTGCTGCCTGGAATATTTAAACACAAAACAAGTAAATAAAAATAAAAATAAGCAAGATTAAATTATTTACATGACATGTCAATAAATAAAAGTCAAAAATATAACTCCTGTATTATTAATTTAATGTTTTCAAATTAAGATTTTGTATTATTCCACTTAAAATTATAGTCAGACTACTGCAAGGCAACATAGTAATTATATTAATAAAGGAAACTGACTATTATTTATATACAATATTAATTAATAATCTTATATTTTATATATATATCTTACCAACTAAAATAGAAATACCTTTACCTTTTTTTATATATACTCATTTAATGTAAAACACACTTATTATTTCATAAAGCATTGACCTTTTTCAAACAAATTTTACCTAATTTAAGTAACAAACTACTCTGAAATGTTACAATATAGTTATTGACAGAAATTAAAAATGTCAACATCGATATTTATTTATTATAAACTAATACTCTCTTTATGGAATTTTTGTAATATTAGTTGCTATGTGAAAATCAAAAATACCTTTGACCACAAAAATAATAGTAATGTAATATTTTAGAGCTACTTGTATCGTAAATTTTCAAAACAAACTATTTTGAAAAAGTCAATACTATGTGAAATAATGACTGTTTTATATTACATTTATCACCTGTATTAAATTTTAATAAAATGATATAATAAGGTATTTAGGTTACTAAATAAATTACCTGCAATATCATAAGTTAATTTTGCTGCTTCAATTAATAGTTTATCAGCAGCTAGAACTTCATCAATTAATAATTTTGAAAAATTTATACTACCATCTCTCAGTAAATATGACAAAGGATTTATAATAACATCTCCAGCATTTTTTGTAGAAATTATATCTTTTTTTAAATTTAGGGTGTCTTGTTTATTCTTATTATGATTAATCACACTGTCATCCACAGAAGTAATAGGTTTTATTTTTCTAGAGAAATGTGATTCAGTTTTACTTAGTTTTATTTTCATTTGTGGTGTTAAATTATCAGGTGTATTTGAAAATAATTTTTTAGATTCTGTTTTTGTGCCAGTTTTTTCATCGAGTAATGTCTTTACTTCAACTATTTTATTTCTCAAATTTGTCATTAAATGAGTAGTTGCATATTCTGCAGCAAACTGAAAATAATTAAATATATTATACTTTATATTTTCATAAATGTTATAAATAATATTTCACTCATATAGCATTTGTATGGAAGGAAAAATATATTTATTACTCACCTCACCTCCATGTCCATCAAAAATAGCAAACAATGATATTCCTGTATCCATAATATTAGTTTTAACAACATATCTATCTTCCATTTGTGATCTTCTACCTTTGACAGCATATAAAGCAACATTGTTACCTTCAAATTTCCAATTCTTACTTAGTGCATCTTTTTCATCGAACATAAATTGTTCAAGATTATCAAAACCAATGAAGGTAAAATTTCGATTTAATTTTTTTAAAAATCCATTAGAACTTTGAAATAAATTTCCAGAAAAAATTAATAAACAAAGTAATAATAATAAAAAAAATATGACTTCTGGTTTGATCAGATAAAATTGTATATACTTCCACATGTTGGAAAATGAATTGAATTTGTTCTTTGCTGAAGCTAATTTTGAAGATATTAACTTCATATGTGTTAAATAAACTTGATAAATTAATTTGTCTTCAATTTTATCATCCATTACAGTTTAAAACAATTAATTTTTTACAGTGAATCAGTGCAAAAATCCTGCAATAAATTAATATGCTATATAGTAGTATATTTTAATGAATGCATAATAAGTAACAGTAAAGTAAAATATTTATAAACAATTTTGGTTAATATTCATAAGTTATGAATAACCTTTTTTCAAAAAATTCATAATGAATGAAGGTACCAATCAATTCAGGTCCCTACTTCATTCAAATTTTAACTTATGATTAAATATTGATGGGGAAAAAATATATTATATCTTGAATAGTTATTAAAAAATAAAAAAGGATTTACCAATCATAACATCAAATATAAAGAAGAAGATAAAACCATTTCATTTGCAATATAGCAAAGTTGAAAAATTGACTTAAAACTCTATAATTAATTTTAGAAAAAAAAGACCAAAAATAAAAATATAAGTTATTTTGTAGTAATTTTTTAGTTATTTATATTTTACAATTTACCCAGAATAAATAAATAGTTTAATAGAGGATTTGTATATAATATGCATCAATGAATGTATAATTCATGTTGTATCTATAACACATTATTCTACCCTGCCACTTTCCATTGTTATTGTCCACCAAACAATACAAAATTAATAAATAGAAAAATAAAACTATAAATAATAAAAATATTCCTTAAAAATTGAAATTTTTGTTCCTATCTCTAGTATTAATACTCAAGATCCCAAAATAGGTGATCTATTTTAGATAGGTAATTAGAAGGTGGCATTCTACTTCATATAAGACTACCTTGTCAACATTTGTTATGGTTATAACTTACTTACTATACTTACAAAAAATTATGAACTACAATAAAATGTCTATTAAAGGATCACTATGGAGATGCCAGAAGGAAAAGGGTTTAAGAATTAATAAATTGATAACTGGTTCAAAACTGCCAATACATACAATTGTTCATTGCATAGGCTACTGGGCTCGAGAAATGACTTCAGTAACATTTTGTAAATGTGAACTGAAAATGGGACAAAATGATGTTTTCTATTGGAACAATTATCTATATGAGGTATATATATGATGGTTAGAAAATAGGCAATTTAATAAAGAAATTGGTGGTCCAGGTCTTTTTGTTGAAATAGATGAAAGTTTATTTGTATGTAGAAAAAATAATGCTGGACGCCTTTTGCTACAATGGATTTTTGGTGGAATATGTCGGGAAACAAGAACATGTTTTATTATTAGTGTACCTGATTCACTGAAGAAAACATTATTACTCGTTATACAAAAATATAAAAGACTAAGATCAATAATTTTGTCAAATTTTTGGAAAGCTTACACAAATTTGCAGCAAGTAGGACTCCAATATAAAACTGTTAACTATACCTATAATTTTGTTGATCCGGATAAAGAGACACACCTCCAAAACATTGAGAGATTGTGGGGTTCTGCAAAATAGGAAATTAAAAAACTCCATGGAACCAAAACATTTTTTTTTAGAATCATACTTGGCAGAAATCATGGGAAGACTTGAAGAACAAGATGCATTTAAAATTATCTTAAAAGGTATTTCTTAATTTTGGCCCCTATACTAATTTAAAATCATACAATATTATTTTTATTATTATAATATCCAATTTAATTAATTGAATAATAATATTTTTTTACAATTTTATATTTTTAAATACCATATAATTTATTTTACATTTTTACTTTAATAACATATAATTTAATTATTTATTTATTTCATATTGTTTAGTGAGGCGATAACAAACAAGTACCAATTTTTCAATTTTGATATTTATTCGGCCAATAATTTATTAAATTTTAATAAAATTGTATTCTTTAACTAAGTGGTTAATGTGCATTAATTGGAATAACTATCTCAAAAATACAAACTAGATTAAAGATTGAATACTGAAAATGTTTTGATACCTATATATGTAAATATTCATGTAAGTCAAGGTATTCATTTTAATTTTTTCACCTCTATCTATTATTAATAATGCAGGTAAATATAAAGCTATGCAAGTTACTATTATTTTAATAAATATGTAAGAAATTATTGTTTTTCATATGAAAGAAGCTCAATTATTCCAAACTCCATCGGTTTATGCCACTTTTTTGTTTTAACTTAACAAAAGGATCAATCAAAATTATTTGTTTAATAAAACTCTGGTTTTTTCTCTATGGGCGTATGCTATTGTTATTTGAGGCTCTGCTAACACCTAAGAATTCAAATAAAAGAACTATACAAGTTTTACAAAATATCTGACTAAATATAATCACTGGCGCACCCTGGTTAGTTTCAAATGAGTCTCTAAACTCCGACCTCAAATTACCTTCTATCAACAAAACCGCTGCTCTCTACTACAAATGCTTCTACACAAAATTACAAGGTAATCCTAACCAACTTATCAACGAATTAGCATCACTCACTCTTCCCAGTAACCTAATTAGACGCTTCAAAAGAACTGGTGCCGCTACTTAAGGTTTTAATACTGAATAATATTTAGAGGTGTTACAAATGTGTGGTTTCCTCATCATGTGTATATTATAAACTTTTCAACTGTCTGTAAAATATTAATATTACTTATTGTACAAACTATATAGATTGTAATTTCTCATAATAAGCTATTTTCTTAAAAAAAAATTAATTATATTTAGGAATTTAAAAATAGTACTTAATTGTTTTTCTAACATTGTTTATAACAATAAAATAATTTAAATGGGTAATACTACATTTCTCAATTCAAAATAAGTGAACATTGGTAACATTAAATTCTGAATAAAAATCACCTTATCAAATTATATTTTGTTTTTAATCAACATAATATTAGCATTTAAAGAATTATTAGGATATGTGTAGAATAAATACCTACATTTTGTAAACATATAGTTTGTTTTAGATTGTAATCATTAATTAATATTATTTATTCTCACTTATTTATGGTATTTTTTTTTAAAATCCAACAATGAAAAAATTTGTTGCTTAAATTTTACCATATACTTAAATGAATATAACAAAAAATACTTACATAATTATAAATTTAAAATGTTATGGCCAATACAATTATAATAATTGTTAGTTAGCCGTTGTTATAAGCACAATTATAGCACAGTTGCTATATCAACACAAATAACCTTTTAATATTATTTAAAGTACTCAAATTAATAGTGTTAGTAATAATATGGTTTATCATTCATTTATAGTATTACTATTAACTAATAATACATTAGTGGAGTAATAAAATGAATACCTACCAATAAATCAAATAAAAGTAGCACTAATATATCTTAATGAAAAACTAATTATCAGTTAACCTATAATCAGTCTATTGACGTGATACCAGTGATACCAAAGAGGCACAGAATTTGTTGTGAATGTGAACTGGCTGTCGTAAATTAAACACGCAGCATACAAAATAATTAGATATTTTAGTACCTATTTAAGTTCATTGTCTTTTATTATTGTCTTTGATCATCGATTTAAGATAATATTATATGATCCTTTTAGAATAGCTGATAAACCCCAAATATCATAATTAAACTTCAAATGATCGAATCATTACCTACAACTTGTTCCGAAAACCATTTGTTCTAAAAATATTTGTTTTACTACCTAATAGAAATAGATAGAAGAATATTCAATATTTCATTTATTATGGTGTTATGTTTAGAACAAGTATAATTGTATCGAAATGCTGTTACTGGAAAAATTTTTTAGCGATAAATTGTTTAAAAATGATATTAATATGATGGAAAATTAAAAAGTGCATAAACGCTTCACCAACAAGAAAACAAATTCATATTTAATAGGTAAAGCATAATTTAATTAAACTTAACTACTTATAGTTATAGTCGGTGAGTATGGACAACCGCATAGCCAGGTGATCCTACCCCCCCTCCGGAATTTTAGCTTGCCGAAAAATCAGATTAGTAAGTACAATATTTGTATAATATTGTATAATAATTATTAATGGACCCACCAAAAAAAAAAAATCCTAGCTACATGCTTGGGTATAAACCACAGGTACCCATTCTTACATTACTTACATCAAAATTTATATTTAAGTATAATAAGGTGTTTAAACTAGTATACCGAGTAGATAGATAACACATTTGAATAATATCTATAAGTTATTACCTAGTTATTACCTTTGGTTAAGTATTTATAGAGGCGTATAGGGAGGTGGGTTCCCGGGTTTCGAATTCCCCCCCCCCCAGAAGAAAAAATATGGTTTATTGCTTACGAAGGTATAGAGAACATTAATTTATACAGAGTGATTTTTTATTACGAACCAGTAATTATCTGGGAAGATTTTAAGTGAATTTAATTTCTATTTTTTTAATTTTTGTAGAATCATTTAAGCTTTATTTTAAAACTATTTTTAATTTCTTACCCTTACTTCATATACCTTAAATAAGAATATCCTTTTGTTTTTCGAATGGAAACCCATCTATTTGAACACAGATTCAAACAGACTATTCAATAGAGTATATTTTTCTAGACATTTTGATATGCATAACACAAATATTAAATTTATCGTTTATGAGTGATAACTGTTTAAAGTTTAGACCGGAGAATTAGGGAAGTGTTATCAATTATCATTTAAAAATAGATGTACAATTTATAAAGTGTAGGTAAAAAATTAAAAATGTTTTTAAAATAAAGCTTAAAAAATTGTACAAAGATTAAACAAATATAAATCAAAATCATTAAAAATTTTCCTAGATAATTACTGGTTCATGATAAAAAAAATTACCCTTTTTTTAGAAAAAATTTAAACCTCTACATAAAAAAATTGAAAATACGCCACTGTTTATAATCAATGCTATTACTATGAATTTTAACTTTGATGAATATTTTTTAACCGTACTATTGGAAAATATTGGGTTTTAGGTTTATCCTTTTTCATATAGGTTTTTTAATTGTCTGCACAATTTCCACCAGAAGACTTTTTGTTTTTATCATAAACATCATACCTACCGCTTTATTATACATGCTGCATCTGCGATTAAAGCCTTGCGCTCCTCTATGATCCTAAGCTTGTAAGTGGGAAAAGGAATAAGTATTTTCAATCCTTTTTTGACCTAAGTCCCAGCGTCGGATTGGCTTGTAAAAAACATAGGACATGATTTTTCTCTGGGGCCTCAATTTTTTTTTCTGATAAAAACATTAACCTTAAAACTGTAAAATATCAGATTTTTCTATTTTTTTTAGATTCTGAGTGTAGCAAATATATTATTTTTTTTATAAAGGAATTTTAATATCAAAGTTTAACGAAATTTGCTTGAGTAAAAGATTATGTAGAACAGATCTATGTAGTTATTACTTATTGGTTCGTTTTTCGTTAGCAACGATTAATCTTTGCGTACAGATATAGATTCAATTCCCCTCTATATCATACCTCTTCAGTTTCTTGTCTATAACAGTGGTCCACCCATCATGCAAAGCATGTCCGTCTTTTTTTCTCGATTTTCCTAATTATTTTGAAATCTGCCTGGATAATAAAAAAAAAAAATGACTTTTTAATCACCAACTAGATCCAAAATTCAACAATAAAATCTTTTGTTATTTTTTTAAAAGTTACTCAGACACTGAAAAAATAAAACAGCATAGTAAAATCAAAAGATCTCTTGCTACACTCCTAATTTAAGAATCATTCTAAAAAGGAGTAGTTAAACAAATAGAATGTATTAATTTTTGAAGAAATTAAAAACAAAAATATCAATGTTAGACATCTTTTTTGTTAATTTTATTATTTAATAACAAATTGTTAGTATTAGTCACTGTTACATATTAAATTAGTAATTTTTGTACAATTTTAGATGATTTTGAAGTCCTGTATTTTCCCGTTTAATATGGGATGTTTGGTCACCTTAAATATGATCACATTTTTTATATATATATAGATTATAGGCACAAGGTACTTATTGTTAATAAGTATCTACCTAATTATATCTTCAATAGATAAATCACAAAACTAAATGGTGAACAATGCTATTATTTATAATCTATTACTAGGACCATCTGTATAATTATTATTATCAATATAAAATAAATGTAAACATTATTTTTTTATTGTTTAACCATATGATTGCCATCATATAAATTATCATGAATATCAACTTTTTTTTTTTATTCAATGCTTATAATACCTATACCAAATATTCTCATTCAAACGTTCTTTGCTATCTGTCTATAAACAAAAATTAATTAGGTTTTTCGCGTATTATTCAGACTGTGTCCTCGAATTGTAATAGATAGGTATATACCTAGGTACTTAATTTGTGCGCAATTCTCTCCGCGTAGATATCAAATATCCTGTTAGGTTTCACCACTTCCATCCGAAGCAAGTCTACAAAATAATAATAATGCATTCTGCTAAACGTTTGTACGTTTTGTACTTAACGTGTTAAAAATGTATAAATACAATATTTGTTGATTTATTTCATTAGTTAGTTTCATTACATTAGTTTGATACTTTATTACTATTATTATATTTATCTATTCTATTTTATTTTAGTATTATCTAAAAATCTGCTTTTAAATCGGTGCTTAGGTGGGTAGAGCTTGTAGTTAAAATATTAAGTTAAATATTAAGTATAAAAATCATTGTAATAGGTACCTGAACCTGGTGGCTATCTTCCAGTACATACATTTATCTAACTCCCATTTTAGTTTAATATTTGTATAGTGTATACATACGTATTAATGTTATTTAAAAGTGTTCGAACACTAAAAACAAATTTCATAAATACCTATTATATTTTAGTTTTTACTCTTTTGTTGTAATTATACATATTTATAATGTATATAGAGGTGGGAGTTAAGGGTTCAGACCCGTCCCGAAAATATTAAAAACCCATCATATTCTAGTTTTATAGTTCAAAATGTTTAATTTTTGTACTCATGAACCTTCCCTTACCCTCCCTCCCCTTACCTCGAAATATTTTCTGTGTACCAACGCGTCATTCTATATTATTCTTAAATAATTTATTGTAATACAGTATAATTGAAAATAACTTACCTACTGTTATACTGTTAATATAATTATTATAACTGCAGTAAATCAGTAAATGCGTAAATTGGAAATTAACTTGTCGATGTATTTTCGTAAAAATTTGCACAACTAGGTAGGTAACATATCTATGTATTGTATGTTTAATTCTATCCACGCTCTGGCTATTTGTTCATTGTGATTTGATTCATTCGGATTTAGATGAAATCCTAATATAATTTAAACGTCTGAGGATTTATAGAACAGTTCATTTAAATTCCGAAATAAACAATTTTTAGCTTTAAAAAAAAAGTACTTTATAATAATGTTAATAAAATTGAAATGCATAGTTTTATACTTATAAAATCCAGATTGTGTTGTGATAGATAGGTATCGCTATATTTAGCGGCGTAGCTAGATTATCTCAATGGGGGAGGAAAAAAACCAAATCGCATGTTTGTCTGTTAACGTTTATAACCTTTGTTATACATTAAAAAAATATATTACTCATTTAATTATCAATGAACCATCTTGAGTAATCGTGGCTGGCGTTTTGTCGATTTTAATTATTCTAAAAAACGACATAATACCATTCGAGCAAAACATCACGTTAGATTTTTGTCAGCTGGCTTTTTGTTGTGCTACGTCATTTTCAGTTCGTTATCATTTTTAGACAATTGCCATCGACTTATTTAAAACGAATTTACCTGTAATCATTTTCCGGGTGCTAAAATTACACAATTCAAAGTTAATATGATGCAATTACTAAATTTTTTCAAGCAAATAGGACCAATGGAGAAGGGCGTGATCCTCATAGTCCTCATGCTGTGCCACTGGTTACGATAAACTTACAATGAATAATATTTGTATTGTTGCCAGTTTTGTTCCGGTATTGTTTAACTAAGCCGGAAATTATTTTTTTTAAATTCGATTAAAATAGAAGTTAATTTAACTGAGTGCATACCTATACTTTTATATAGGAATATCTACGTGACCCACGTGTACCTAGCCATCCATAAAACTTTAAAACTTTCAATTGAAATCCATAAATTTAATTTTTAAATTCTGTGCGTATTGATAATTTACTATGGTATGTGCTTTTCTTCTGCAGTTTAAACTCGTCTACATTAATGTAACTATGATCCGAACATAGATTTGAATGATGGTTTCTAGTATCATATTTAATCTAATTGATCAATTAGCCTGACAAGCGAGAGACTCGGGTAATCGGTTTCGATTTTCGGTCTGACTACCTAATTTTTAGCACCATTTTTCGGACGAGAATGGTCACGTCAACTGTGTGATTAAGATAACCCAAAAATCAATAAACTAAAACCAACGTCATTTGTTGTTAACTGTTTTGAATTGTTTAGCTAACTTATCGGAAATCTACAAAAATGTTTCAAACAAAATACCGAAGTGCGAAAAATTCATCTTTTTTAATATACCTATGTGAACAATTTGGAATATTTTTATTAACAGAAAAAGTATTTTCCGAGAAAAAAAAATCTTAGTAAAAATGATAGCTTCTTTTCGTCACACGCTAAATCTAAAAGTCTAAAACACGTAACATAAATTTGATACCTACTTTTAATTGTTAAGAAATACTGCTACCTATTTGAATATTTGATCTACACAATACAAATTATTACGTAAGATTCGTAAAAAAATCTCAAATTTTGAGGAGGTTATAACCCCTAAACCCCATTTCTGGTTACGTCAATGAATTATATGCAAAATTTAAAAGTTCTTATTATTTATATATCAGCTGTACAATAACTGCCGAACCGGTACAGATCGTGTATTCATAATATAAGCGATAAATTAAATTTGCACATTTTGTATTATGATAAAACAATATATATATATTTATATTTCAGTAGGTCTAAATAATAAGTAGGTCAATTGGCAGCGCGGGTAATTCGATTCGCGGCAAATACCGTTTTATTCGGGGGGGACTCAAATCCACAGTTAAGCGAACGGCCATAGTCGGTGATCTCGGAAGCGAGCGCCATCTGCCCGGCGAATTTGCGCCGCTGCCGTTTCTTTAATCGATGATCAAGTAGACCGTCAGTCGCACACCTACATGCACGCACACATATACATTTGTGTATACACATACATAAGATTTTATTGTATATATAAATATACTTTTATCCCTCGGACTTTATCTACAGTGGCGCGGCGTACAGTGCAGTGTGCGTTAACCGTACTGCCGTAACCGTGGTACCCGTACCCGCAGTAGTAATTGATCGCGTACGCTTTCGGTAAGTTGGCTGTTCTTCTCGCACAATAATAATACATAGGTACTAGTATTATGTTCACTCATTTAGCCTAATAATAATTTTTTATTTAATTTGTTCAAATTTGTCAATCACGGTTCATAGATCTGATTAGTAAGTCATTGTAAACACGTAATAATAAATTGTCATTTGTATATCAATTTTGTTTAATATAGGCGTTTACCCTTAAGTATATAATATATATTACTTATACCTGTACAATTTTTGGTGAGTTGTTATTTTATATTATTATTTATAACGTTTTAACGATACCTTTATATTGGGAAATGTACTATGTATTTGTGATGTTAATTAAGATAAAATAATAAAAAAACATCGTATATAAGAATTGAATACAATTTTGGTGCATAGGCGTGTCTCGACGGGCGGTAGGGTAGGTATCTGCAGCAGCATCCCTTTGATCCCCAGGGAGGTCGTTATAGGTATTATTTTTCTTATCCTATTATTTTCTTAATTTCGCATAATATATATTATTATGTTTTATGCACATTTTCCCCCGTTTTTCCTATATTGACACGAAAACTCCTAAACCATGTAAAATATTTAAAACGTAAATCAATATTATCGTGTCTAATAAAAAAATAATATGCGATTGATATTATGGTGTTATTATATATTCGTTGGATAGTATACCTACGTTTATTTATTTATTTCATATTATTTATGTTTATCTCTAATTATTATTATGAAGTCATAGGTGCCCGCAGGATATTTATCTGCAGGGAGGGGCAGTACTGAATCCAGATAATTTTTTAGGGGGAGTGATATTACTAAAACAGTTTGTTTTTTGCTTTTATACTTATCTACCCTCTTACTGAAACTAGTTGAATTAATTTAACTATTAATTTATCTACATTTACCAGGAGGAGGGGAGCAACAAAAACTCAAACACCAAAAAGTACTTAAAATAAAATAATTGAAATTTTAAAATTCAGGTTGGCAGATGCCCCGTCTTGCTACCCCATCCGGGCACCCATAACATAATGCGTAGTATTTACTATTTAGTAGTTATTGGTAATTAGTATAACTATTATTAAATAAAATTGTCCAATAGGTACCTACCTATACTTGAACTAAATGATTTTTTGTATAGGTATACCAATTAGGAAGACCTATAATTTATTTAACTATTATAATTTCTATATAATTAGGTTAGTATCTATTTAAACAATTTAAATGTATACATATACATTTCTGTATAAACTACAGTTTTATACCAGGAAATCAATTTCACTGCATTTTTTCCGTGCACCAGGTTTTGGGTTAAATTCGGGTTTTATGTATTAATACATGTTATTATGCTCGTATTATGGAGATTGCAGGGTGGTTTTAGATGTGTGCTTTGCGTAACTATTTTTTTTTGTGTGCTCTGTTTATCAACATCAGTGATTTTTTCTGGTAGCAAATTTTCTTTAGTTAGTGCATTGAAATGGTTTAATTTTTTAATTTTTCTTATAGGTTTTTTTTAATAATTGGAAAAAAGTACTGGAAAAATAGATCAATTTACGCAATAATGATAATGATTTCTGTTATTTTCAATTTTGTTTTTTTGCAGTAATTTGATTGGAAATAATCGTGTAAAGACTTGACATTTTCATCCAATATTAACGTTGCACTTTTTAGACCTGGTATAATTTTCTACAGTTTCCGATTAATGTTAATCAAAACATGATTTTTAACAAAACTTCGATCAGAATTATTTATCAATGATTTATTGTTGCGTAGGTATGTGTAAATATATAATATATATTATCTAAATCTGATTAAATTATACTATTTTATCTCCTATCATTTTAGATTCTGAGCGGAGCGAGGAATTTATCGGTTTTACAATGATGATTGTTTTTATTTTTATTTTTTTTGTCTGTAAATAACTTTTCTACCAACAATTTTGCTTCGATTTTTAAGTGTACTTAAAGGAGTTTTCCGTTTTCATAAAACTGAAGAAGGGGAAAATTTACTTTATTTATACGGTATATTTTTGTTTTGCTTCAGTTAAAAATATTTGTAGAGACTTGAAGTTTGGACAAAAAACTTATATTTACCTTTCTAGACGTGGTAAAATTTTTAAAATATTGTAGCTATGGTTGAGCTATTTATAGACATTTTAATTTTGTGAGGTTTTTACATAATTTTGATTTGGCAGGTACTTTGTAGATAAATGATTTGTGTTGAAAAGAGGATTGAAATTGAAAGTTGCCATACTTATTTAGTAAATTAATTACATAATAATAAATATTAATTTATTAAATAAGTGCTTAAAATAATTATTGGTGAACATTTGACAATTTTGTTAATTGATAGATTGAATTATCGATTTTAATAACAAACAAAATTTACACAATTTATAATAACAATAATTATTCCTATATGTGTTATATATTTAATTTACCCCGTCTGATTGTATTAAGTCCAACTTCCTACACTGAAATACAGTCCTGCATTTAAAACTAAATGTTGCTTACTTAAACAACGGCATTAAAACTGTTTATAAATACTTATTGTTCATATTATAATATTTTAGTAAAACTTTCATTAACGGTCACCTCTAAATAGCAGTCATTATTTCCTGTCCCCTGTCCTTTCAGTGACCGTTACATGGAAGTCTTATTGTACTACCTAGGTAATTAATAAAAAATCTGAAGTAGGTTGGATGGTACCTTATATATTTATTAATAAATAATAATTATCCAATATAGACTTTGTAGTATTGTGATACTGTGATAGTATCCAAATTTATTATTTTTCACAATAGTTACTTAATTGTATTATACCAATACCTATCATCTATATAACCGGCATAATATTACAATAGTAAATTTGAATATTTGTTACATTTGACAGACAGCGTAACCATCACAATATTATATATCCAATGTCTCATTTGTCCTTGGCAGTTTTGTGCAAACACTATAATATAATGTCTAGATAGGTAAATTTTATTAGTTTATTGATTTTTATTATGGTTAACATCCTTTTTCGTTAGTAAAGTAAATATGTACACTTGAAAACATTAAGTATAAACGAGGTATACACAAGATAAAGATCACGCATAATATTATAAATAAAACTAGGAATTATAGGTATGTACACATGCAATATAATATTAGCATACAAATTATGATAATATTTTTACATTTTTTTTTTTTTGTTAAATCACTATAAACATAAGTTAAATATATAGTTACTTATAGTTACTCTATAGTTTTAAATTCAAAATAGTTAGGTAGCCATTATATTAATATTATTTATCCTATACCTATAAAAATGTTATTGTTTGTCATTTACTGTATTCGATTATATTTAAATAAAAAAGATTTAGTATTTAATTCATAATAATACATTGCTGTATATTATGAATTTATGATGCGTATAAAATATAACCCGAAATTTACGTATATTTATTTGTTTTTTAGATTAAACATGGCGAATCTAACCAATCCTGTGAAAAAAGTCCCTATTCATTTGCAGGTATGTTATTATAATTACCTATTATACATTTGTAAGATAATTAATTCAAACAAGATTTTTAATTTATTATAATATAATAGACGGTAGGTACATGTTTATAACGTTGTAATTAAATCAACTGACATGTATTTTATTTTTGTTGTAATTTACTTTCTGAACCGTGATGTTATGTATAATAAATTAAAACTATTTTATAACAGTATGTATTAAGTAGCGTGTGAAATAATACAATTTCGTAATTTTTGTGGGTTGGTCGAGTTAGCTATGGTACCATTGTCAGGGATCAATGTTTAAAATACTTAAATTATTATAGTATGTACCAAATTAATTAAAATCATTAGTTTTATCATAATTCTGGAACGGAACAATATTGACCAATATTGAAATACAACTCACGTTATTAATAGCTATTTAGACAAAAATACCGTGGAGGTTATTATACTTAAATAATTTTGAACTTTTAGTGGAAAAATTTAATTTTTTTGTAGTTTGTCTTAATAACAAGAGTACAAAAAAAAAAATAGTTGTTATGACTAAATATTCCTCTATTTTTATTCATCAAACATTTTAATGAAGAAAATCAGATTGTGAAGCAAATCTTTTTTTATTATAATATTAAAACAGATAAATATTAATAAAATATTCTTTAAGAAAATTTTTCAGAAAAAGTAATTTATGAGATATATAAAATATTTTATTTTGACGTGCCAATCTATTTCAAACCATTCATCAGGGATTTGCAAATTATATTATTTATTATTGTACTAAGTTATGAATCAGAATATAATACCTATCTAAAATATAGAATAATTTGATGCTAACAATAAAAAAATAACTTAGGCAAAATACATTATTGTACTGAATAATCAAAATTGCTTATAGTAAAATTGCCTCGTTATTGAATATTCTTTAAAAAATCTATAATTATCTAAGTATATCTACGATCTACTTACTTATCTTTTACCAAATCTCATTTTCCATCATAAAAATATTAATATAGTACCGATTTTTATTGTTATGAATGTGAGTTTGAATTATGTTTGACTGTATGGAATAAGTTAACATTTTTAGGAATTAGGGTTTTTTTAGATGCTAAGCAGAGCGAAGAATATGTTGGTTTTACTTTTCTATTACAAAATCTGTTCCTATTTTCAAGTGTACCACCTTTTCTGAAAGTAAATTTGATTGAGATGATACTTTAGGTAGGTAATTTCTTGATTTTAATAAGGGGTTTTTATATAATAAACGGGAAAAAATTTAGGAAAAACAGGAAAAATTATGAAATTTATTATTTTTAAATCGTAAATATTACGGCTTTTCAAAATATGTATTACCAAACTCCACTCATATTCGTTTTTTGTTTGCAATGATTAATAATTCCGTACAGATATGTATTAAATTTCCTCTTTATACCTTCTCAATTTCTCACCTGCAACAGTGGTCCACCCATCGTGCAATTGTGCAAAATATGTCTGTTTGTTTTTTCTATATTGTTTAAACAAAAAAACCATTTTGACACTTATAGTTATGATTGAATGTGAATAAGCTCAGGTTGTATAATATACCTAACTGGTATTATAATAAGATAAATGGAGAATAGTAAAACCAACATCTAAAAGTACAGAATATAACCTTCGGAATTTACAATACAAGTAAAATCATTAATCATTAAGACTAGAATATTTTTATTTATTAATAGAAAAATATAGTTAGTGGTACCTTTTTTTTCTGTTTCTTTTCTGAACGTTGATTTTTGTTATTTTGCGACACAATAAAAGTAAATAATATATTAACATGAAAAATAGTAAATATACTGTAAAAGAAAAGGTATTGGAATAGTTGAAGGTCTCTAAACCTCTTTACTAATTCTGTTCTATGGTGTTTCTTCAATTCTTATATGACATTATACTTTAGGACTAAAATGTGTTATTTGATTATATTTTCGAATGATGATTTGTTTATTTTATGCATATATTATATTTTTGTTCATACTATAATTTGAAATAAAATTACGATATTTGTATTAAGTAATTTAAGTATCTATTGTAAACAAATTGATGGTAGGGGTACTTATGGAAGTCCATTGGGAGGTAAAGGTGGAACATGGCCCATTGTCTTTTTCGTACTTACGTATGACATCTTTTAAAAGTTTAACAAAAAAGGTCCATAAAATAGGACAGTATCATTGAAAAATACAATTAAAAATAATACATTGTCTCTCCTGGTGTTTTGAAGATAGACGCCATTTACTAGTGCTTCCTCTGTAGTAGTAATATGTAACGTATTTCTATATTATAACCTATTTATTATAATTCACTATTTACTCAGTTGTGAAAAATTATTACTCTTATTCAGGATTTAACAGCGTTATATAGCGTAATTTAGACAATTGAAATTTAAAAAAGACGTCTCAGGATAATGGGGTAGGGCGTAGCCACTGGTATAGATAATTTAATGTTTATCTGTAAAAAACAATGAACCTTTGTAATTATAAACAAACCATTGCTAACAAAAAACGATTTTGAGCGCAGTTTAGTTGATAGTGATGCTTTGTCAACAATATAAATATCATATTATGGTAAAACAATTAAAAAGTCATAGTATATTTTTTTTAATAATATTTGTTTAGTATTATACCGATTTTTCCTGAAATTTCCCCAGTTTTTCCATATTTCTCCAGGTTTTTCACATTTTCTGGGAATACTTTTGGGAAAATCGAAAAATAACTTCATTAAAGTACCTCTCCAGTTAGATTTACTTTTAGAAAAAGTGCTGTCATTGTAAATCGGAGCAAAATTTCTGGTTGAAAAATTGCCTATAGAAAAAAGAAATCGTTATATTTTACTAATGTATTTTACTCACGATTTTTTCCATTTATTGGAAAAATCAAAAAATGACCTCCTATAGTTAACATGGAGATAAAATTTCCTTACAGAAAATTAGTTACACTTGATACATCGGAGCAAGATATTTGGTAGAAAAGTTTGTACAACAAATCGTGGGTTATTTTTCGATTAAAATAGCCCGAGCGAGTGATGGCTTGAGTCTCATCTAGCTAGGTTCACCCAAAATGTATATGTTTTTTCCTTGTTTAGTTAAAAGGAAAAAAAGCAAACATTTCTTTTTTTCGAAACATGAGTTCAAATTCAATTCCTAGGATGAAACAGTTATGTATAACCATTCAGGTACTACAAACCTAATTTAGAGAAGACAATATTTAGTTACTTAACTTAACATATAATAACTTCATAATCTAAAAACTTCAAAAAGCTATAATTTCGAAACTTAGTCAGTGCGCTCAATTCTGACTTTAACATGTTCAGAAAAAAAAAATATAAAAATTAAATTTGTTCTACATAATTTTTACTCAACAGTGGTTTTCGTCAAAATAATATATTTGTCTTAGTAAAATAATTTAACTGTAAATATTTTAAACCAATATTAAATGTAGTTCAGCAATTAGGTGCTGAGAACGTATTGTCCATCGAAAAAGTTAAAAATAACAATTTTGTAAGCTGATTTAGTATTTATTAATTCAAATTATAGAATATTGAAAGTCATAACGAGCTTAGAAATAAAAGTCTTCCGTTAGCTGATTCGTTTAAAATTGTTGAAAATATCAAAAATAATTATAATTCTTAAGCAGTCACACAAGACTGAGATCAAGATAGACAAGATAGACTGAGACAAGATCAACACATAAGCAGGTGTTATTGATCCCCATTAAAAATCAAACTTACATGTTACAAAGAATTTAATAATATTGTATTATAGCTTTGAATTTATTTTATGATATTTTAGGTTCTGACTTTCTGAGTGTAGCGATGAATCTATTGGTTTCATAAAGATATTTTTTTTTTTTTATATATACTGTGTAAAAAAAGTCTACCTGCAATTTTGCTCCGATTTACAATGATAATACTTATTCTGAAAGGAAACCTTATTGGAGTGGTACTTTAAAGAGGTTATTATTTGATTTTCCCAGGAGTTTTCACGGTAAATGGAAAAAACGGGAAAATTTACGAAATATTTTATTTTAAAATCGTAAATATTAAAGCTTTTAAAACCATGTATAACCGAACTCTGCTAAGAATCGTTTTTCATTAACAATGATTAATCGTTGCACACAGATATGCATTAAATTTCCCCTCTACCTCGATGTTTGTATGCGTCTACTGAAGCTACCACAACAAACATTTGAGAGGGAAAGCTCTTGAAAGTATAGTGTCAAAAGTAGCAATGCTTAGATTAACCACATACAAAAAAGAAAGTTAAAATAAACTTTCAATCTAAGAACTAAATTCCATGTTTAATAATGAAAATAATAATATGAAAATAATTAAATAATTAGTAGTTAATTTTGATGAAAACAGTTTATAAAAAAATACAATCTAAATTTAAAAAAAAGATTTTGAAAAAAAATTGAAAGCCATTCCAAATGCGATTTTTCGGATCTATTATTTCTCCCAGGTATAAAAACTATTATTATTATAATCCTGATAAACATTGAATAAACATGTTTAATGTTTATAATATTGTATTACAAAAAGAAAACATATTAAAAGCTATATCTTAAAACAATAATAAATTATGAGTTTAATGTCTATTGTCTATTTAAAATAATACTGTACACATTTTAATGAAATGAAACACGAAAATAATAAATCGATAATTCGAATTATAATTTACTTTTTTTTCGGGAAGATCTCATTATGCAATTTAAGTATTTTAAAATTGTGTATAATCAAATGGATATTTACATAATTAAATAAAAATATTTAAATTCGAAAAAGTTTAATGTGTAATTGAATAATATTTAAATTTAGTTAGATTAATTTAATATTTATATTGTAGTATGTTTTTATTTTTAGAGCTCTCAGAACCGCATTTTAATAAAGAATGGCAAAGTGGTTAACGCAGACAGAATTATCGACAGTGACGTCTATATTGAAGACGGTGTAATTAAGTATGTATTTTTTTTATTTATTTATTGACCATTAGTTATATTTAGGGCCCGGAATTATATGCTCTAAAAACGTACGAAGTATGCATGCATTTAAGCACTGATTTATCATTCAAATATGCTAACAAAAATGTATGTTAAATAAAATAAAATTAGTTTTGTTTAAATAATTAATAAAAAATATAAAAATATTTTAAATAGTTAAATAATTTAATTGCATTTTGAAAATTCACTCATCTAAATAAAAAGCATTATATAATTTCTTTAATAATATTTGTTTAATATTCTATTTATTTTCCCATTTTTTTTCCGGTTTTTACCATTTTTGGGAAAATCAAATGACCTCTCAACAGTACCATTCCAGTCAGATTCCTTTAAGATAATTGCTATCATTGTAAATCGGAACAAAATTGCTGGTAGAATTGTTGTACACTGTAAAAAATAAATAATAATAATAATCATCTTTGTTAAACAAGTACATTTTTTGCTACTCTCAGAATCTAAAATATATTAAAAATAAGTACAAAATTATATTATATTATTATTAAATTTTTTGTAGTACATAAGTTTTATATTTCATGGGAATCAATAAGACCACCACATGGCTACTTAAGCGCTATAATTATTTTTAATATCTTCAACAATTTTAATGGAATCAGTTAACGAAAGACCTTTTTTTTCTAAGCTCGTTATGGCTTCCATAATTATTTTTTTACTTTTTCGATGGATATTGCGTTCTCAGCACCTAATTACTGAACTATATTTATTTTAACTTATTTATATTAACTAAAATTTGTTTAAAATATTTACAGTTATACATTTTTACCTCCATGTGCTCCAGCTTGTGATAATTTGCGGTGGAGGTATAAGGACATCCTCATTTTTTAGATTAATAGGGCAGATGTGTATATCAGTTTTCAGATACTGTGTGACAGTAAAGCGCTTTACATTAATAACTTTAATCTCACATACTTTACAAAAAGTAATTCCCCCGTCAAATGCAACAATATTTTCTCCAAATTCTGCAACATATTTTCGAATAGACGATTGAACTTTTGAAATTTTAATAAGAAACACACACTATCACTAAGCACGGTTGTATAAAAACTAAACTGTTGGTCCATATAAATTACATTAGTTTTTCGTTATCGAGATTTATCGTTGTGGTACCCACCTAAAACAAACTTAATCTTATTTTAGTGAGTTATATCGACAAACAACGGTTTTTCAACATTTTGTAATTTTGCTAATTATATACTTTACTTGCGAAACCATAGGGTGGTTTCCAATTTTCTTGCATTTTCATGGGCCAATCTTATGTGATGGGTACTTGTTGGGGAATATGACCGGGGATCATAGCTAGTAGTACGATATCTTATCTAGGTCAATGCCATAATTTCAGCCTAGGTTCTAGACCGATATAAAAAATTTGTTTTTTACTGGATGATGGGTTCTTAATAATATTATGTATTTATACAAATTAGTCCATTGTTTTAATTTTGATATTTTTGACCAACAATTAGAATGCAATTTATACAAATTATATTTTTCTATGTTATTTAGGTACCTACACATTTTAATTTTTATAGTCGAAATATTAATGAACTGATGTAAAGTTACTGTATAAAGTGATCAACATGATAACGTAAAACACTTATTATTTTAGAAATTTTTGACTTTTTTCGGAATTTGTTTTTTAGAAAATGTAAGAAACAACAACTCTGAAATGTAACTTAATCGTAATTTAGAGGGATGAAACCACCATACATTTTTGATTTTCAAATAAGAATTTTACAAATTCCATAAATAGATGAAGTTTTAGTTTAAATATATTTTGAATTGTTATGTTGATCATTCTGTATTAAATTATCCCATTTATCTAAACTATTAAAATGGAATAACTTAACAAAGGGTTGACGGAAATCAAAAACACCAAAATTTATTTAAACAAAGATTTCATCTGTTCATACAATTTTAAATATAATATAGATTGCTATTTTTAAAGTCAAAAGTGGGTAGTGGTTTTACTCCCAAAAATAAAGGTGGCAAAAAATAAAAGTAACGCAACATTTTAGAACTGCTTGTTTCCTGAATTTTCTAAAACGAAATTTCGTATATAGTTAATAATCTTCAAGTTAATGAGTTTCTTATGTGTTGATCTTTCTATATAGAGGAGGTCCTCTTCAGAAGAATGAGCACTGGATCAGTCATCGGAATAATCAAATTGATCTTTTCGGAAATTGTATTGAGTTTATTTACTTACTTTGCACAATATTTGTTTCTAAACTCATGACTCTAGAGTTCGTGTAATTTTTTTTATAGTTTGACCTATCGTCTTTTATCATCAAATTAAAATTAACAATTTAACCAAATTTCTGGTTAGAATCTTAGAAGAAGAGAATTCTATGAAGTTCGCCTTATTTTTCTGATTTGTACATACATGTTGATATCATACGTTTAGTCTATAATATAGTCTGAAAGTCAATGTTTCTAATTGCAAACTAATGTAAAATTAGATATATTGGTTAAAGGCTACTCAAAATCCAAAATAATTTATAAAATTTACCTAAGTATTGTCTGTATAATATATTTCATGACAATTATTATATTTAATATGTTACTCTTTAGTAATAATAAATATTTTTATTTTTGTTTGCAATAGAATGGTTGGTTGTAATCTTATTATACCAGGAGGTACGAGAATTATTGACGCATCATCAATGTTGGTTATACCAGGTACTGTATACAATATTATATTATTTTTATACATAGTTAATAAATAATTTAATATAATATATTAATATATTAAATTATTACATGTAATCAATATATACAAGTTAATAATAAGGGCTTTGATTGAACATTCTTACTTTTAAGAATAGTTAATATTATTTATTGGATGGAATGTTGTACATTATACTTACACATATTTATTTATATTTATAAAAGTAAATATACAAATTGAATGTTTACATGCAGAATATGTCTGACTATCTGCAGACAATGTATGTAAAATACATTATATAGTACTAGAAAAATGATTTTATTATTGCAGGCACTATTATATGATAGTGAATAATTATATATTAAGTATCTAGGTATCTAACCAAAATACTAATTATTGAAGTACTGGAAACAGTAAAAAGTAATCTAAGAAACCAGCTAAAATAATATTACTTAGGCAGATAGATCATTGGGCATGGTAGATATTGGTAAGATAATTTGAAAATATGTTTTCATTTTAAATTTTATTTCAACTTCAAATTATTTAAGTTAATGATTATATCTAATATTTTCTATGCAGTACAGATAAAATATAATAATTAACGATTTATTAAGAAGCAACTTGGTGATTAAACAGTTTCATATTTTTTAATTTTTATGAAAATGATAAAATTTTAAAAATCATTTATGAATTACCTATAATTTCTATAATTATTATATGTGCAAACATCTACCTGATATACATTTCAAATACCTACATACTTATTTACTTAGGTATAGATAAATGTTGCACTATTTTTAAAATTATGAAATAAACAACTATTAACATTTAACAATTATTATAGACATATTGTTTTATACTTCACCTTACTCTTAATAGATTTAAGCAGCTTTTATTTTCATTGCCTATGCCTTCTATATTATGGTGTTTTAACTCATGGTGTTTTAACAATTAACATACAAATTATTAACTGTACCTATACAAAACTTATACAAATAATCTTATACCATTATAATATATATGTTAAATAACCATATGTTTATATTTGTATAATATAGAGTTACAAAATACAGTATAAAGCTTTATTAATCTAATACATATTTAATTTGAGAATAAAAAGATCATAAGTGGCTGGTAGGTTGGTAATTCAAATGTGACCTATCTTATCTTGATTTTTTTTATGTGAAAAAATTGCACATTGTGTAAATTAATCATTATTTAAAAAATATAAGTATAGGCAATTTAGTTTTAAACAAGTCATATAATTACTAAACAATAACAATTTCGATTTTGGTTAAGTAGGTACTATAGGCATAGATAATAAGGCTCATTATCAAGGAGATTTTTTTATTAATATAAAAACAGCTCCCCAACTATATTATTATATATTAAATTCATTGAGTTTTAACAAAATGTGTAGTAAGATAATTATATTTCATATTTGATATTATTTAACATGAATATTGAAGATATTATATTGGTACCTAACCTTTCCTTTTGAAATACCATAACAGCAGTGGCATATTTAAGTAATTTACTATCTATACATTTTTTTTTTCTAATTATTTTTTTAGATAATTTAGGTAATGTTAGGAACATTCACTAACTGCCTAATATTATTTTTAAAATAAATGTCATTGTAGTAGTTATAAAAGGTATATATATATACATATAACATTATTGTTTGAAATAATAAAAATAATTTTATGATTTGGTCGTTAGACAATTTATTATAGGTACACAAATTAATTTTTATAGAAACTAGTAAACATTTGAAATGAATATCCATACCTATACATTTTCTTGTGTTAAAGGAAACCTATACAAACCATTTTCCATGAAGGGGGTTAAATTAATATCTAATAGCATATAAACTAATAATAATTATTAATACCTACCTATTTTTATTTTATTATAATGATCATCTATTGGGGCAGTTTGAATTTTAAATTATTTACAAAAATATATAAATTAAAATATAATTTTTTTAACCTAATAAGCAGGTACATGTTATACAATATGGCATTATGTTTTATAACACAATTTCCAAATCCAATATTATACATTTTAATATTACATATTTTATGAAATGCATATTATATTTTATTTAACTATGTAATTTTATGACGCCATCATGGAGGATATTTTATAAAGTTATCCTAAAAATTGTATTTAAATATAAAGTTAAAACACTACTTCCTCCTTACGTTTATAAAATTTGATGTTTCAAAGAAGAAATATATTTTTCATATTGATTTGTATCTTATTCGTATTCACGTTCATCCCAATTATTTGGGATCAGCCACCCTCGTCCTAAACTTCCATCTGACTCAATACCCTATATCGTCCTCGCATACACACATCATTCTCATATCATTTTTAACCGCATCCAAAATCCCCATCCAACCACCTCCATTTTGGTCTTCTTCTCCCCCTCTTTCCTTTTACGTCTATTTTTATTACAATTCTTACTGATACTAATTCGTCTCTTCTCATGACATGCCCAAACCATCTCTGTTTATTATCTTTTATTTTGTCCACTAGATTGAACATCTAAACTACCTATTATGTATTCATTCCTTATCCTATTTTCTCTTATTCTCACTCGCTTGTCATCGACCTAAGCATTCTAATCTCTGTTACAATCATTCTCTATTCTATTTTTCTGCCTACCGTCCAACACTCCGACACTCCGACGCATACAGTATAGCCGGTTTCGCCGCACTTCTGTAGAACTTACCTTTAAGTCTCATTGAAATCCTCTTGTCACATAAAACACTTGACGCTTTTCTCCACTTAATTCAACCAAATTTAATCCTATGTTTCACATCCTCAACAAAGTCACTTAGCCATCGTTCTTTCACAAAAAAGATTCTAGGTACTTTATTATATTAATTTTTATATTTATGTGTATGATGACTAGTTTTTATTAAACAAAATCAATCTCGAAATAAAAATAAAACTTGCTTGGTGCTATTTGTATAACATGTACCTATATACAGGGTGATTCATCAATCATGCTCATACCATTTTTTTATGGCAAATTTATGCAAATTCTGATTTTAAGAATTTTTAAGTGTAGTTAAAAATGATATTTTGATTTCCGACAGCTTTTTCACGAAATATTCCAGTTTTAAGTTTAGGCAGGAAGAAGGTAATGAAGAACTATTCAAACACTAGGCGCTGTATCACAACACAAATTTATTATAATTCACTATTCTCCCCCTGCCTAAACTCAAAAGTGGAATATTTCGTGAACAATTTGACGGAAATCAAAAACTTCAATACCAATATTTATTTTATCTAATATTCTATATATGTATAGCATTTTTAATATAGGTTCATATTGGAAAAATTAAACTTAGTATCGTCACACAATATTCCTTAAATACTATGAAAAATCTAAGTACACGAAAATATTATCTTTAACTATACTTGAAAATTCCCAAAATCAGAATTTGTATACATACATAATTCGATCCTGAAAATGGGGGAGAGTGCTTAATGAATCACTGTGTATTATGTATACATAGGTTTATAATAGTTTATTATATTGCCTTTATACACTTTTAATTTTATTAAATTGATTAATTATACTTGCTGTATTAATGTAATTTTTTAATATCTAAAAAAAATTAAATTATTTAATAATATTGAATACCTATAGGTATATTATAGAATATTATTTTCCAACAAATTATACAAATAACAGATGGGATAACATGCTTCGCACGTTTAAAAAAGATTTATCATAAATAAATAATTCTGCTTTTAGTTTCAAACTAAAATGTTTAATAATACCAATGACAAATAAAATTATCTTATTACAGCAATGTTTATAATGTGTAAATTATTTTGACGTCAGCATCATCTAATGGACCGTTCACATCTTCTCGTCTGGTAAAGTACGATTCGAGCCATGCGTTATTTGTTTGAAATGATATCCGGACAAATCGAGGTATAAAAAAAGTTCCGAAATTAACATGAATTCATTAATAAACATCAAACATATTAAATAAGACTACACATTAATACATTAATAATGTATCTTGTCAAGCCATAATTTCAATTTATTTTAAGAGTTTATAAAAAATTTAAACGATCCATATTTGATCTATTGATATTAAATATTTTATATTTGTATTTTGAATTATTCGTATGGCATAGATAATGATGGTGAGTAATTGAAGTAGTAATTATCAGGTAAAAATGATTAAATAATATATAAAGAAATAAAATAATAATATAAACAGGTGATAATAGATTATACATTTATCAAAAACAGCAGTAGCATAAGTAATTATGGATAATATCTAAGTTGATCATCCAATCATAATGGTTTTGGAGGTCGCATTGAAGATATCCTCGAACTTTCCGTTGTACTTACCCTTAGAAAATTCTCGTATGATATGATCTATATTTTCTTTGGGTCATCGCAATCACAATTTGGGTTAAGAGCAATGGCCCATTTATGTATAAGATATCTCATTCTCCCTTGCTCTGTAAGTAATCGGTTTAAGGTAGGTAGGTAGTTCAAGCCAAAGCATTAGTGGAAGTTTTCAGAGATGAGAAGTCGGAGCATCATTTTGTACCTGTGAGTTTTTGAGTTATGTTGATACAGGAGCCCATCTAAAACGTAACGTTAATTAAGTGAGTTTTAAATGATTGGGACCTGTCTAATGTGACTCCTAGATATTTTGGGTTAGATAAATGATTTATCCTAAGTTCCAGAAAAGTGATTTCCAAGTTGTAGTCAGCCAGTTTGTTATTATGATGAAAAGCTGTGACTGGGATTTGGGTTTAGTGGAATTTGAGGTGAATCTCCTTTGTTTTAAATACTTATGTCTAAAATGTTTAGGTCAGAACTAATGTTTTCGTAGTTATTAAAAAGTTTATCCTGGTTTGCGATACAGATATTCATATATATGAAATGTTTGAAGTTTATTTTAGGTTGATCACTAATTTAGATAGATTAAACAATACGGAACCAAGACAGAACCTTGAGAGAGTCCATTTACCATTACTTAAGTGTTCTCTTCTTGCTTGTCTTGTCATTGTTGAAATGGATGACAAAATGATGGTTACTTATGGTACTGATGGTAACATATTCAAAAGGTTTGTTAAAGCCCAACTAGAAATTTTCCACAGAAACTTGAAAAACAGGTCTTTATTCACAATGTATTGTGTGCAATATTTTCTATAAAAAGGGGCACGGGTATTAAAAATAAAGATGTTTGATGAATCTTTTAATATTGACGCCTAGGCGTCAGGCATCTAGAGATTTAGTAAATTATATAAAAAATGTATTAAATATATATTATATATTTTCAAAATTAAAGTATATCTTAACATAATTGATAAAAATAATGTAATATATAATATTTAAACATTCAAATAGTTACTATATAGGTTTCATTGAAATGCTTCTTAAAATACTTAAATTTAAAAACTTAAGCAAATTAATTAGTTTAGAATTTTTTAGAAGAAAATTTTGAGGGATTCCTTATTTTATAGTCTTGCATCTAAATTTAATTATAACTAAATTTATAATATGCAAATTGTTATAAATCAGTAAAAGTAGTAAACATATTTTCAAATTAATGAATAGATGGTTAGAATATTTAAACGATTTGTTTTGTAGTAGAATGTTATAATAAATTATATTATGTTATAATAACTAATAGATAAATTTTAAATTCTATGGAACGAAGAATGCATTCGTTTACAACATGATGTGTGTTTTTTCTGTTTTAAAACAATTTCGACCAGATGGTGTATTAGTAAGATCATATTTAGATTTTCCAAAAGGTTTTCAAAATAATTATGAAAAACCGAAAACAAAACGACAATTATTTAGTGCCGCCGTGTCGTTAATGATTTCATTATTTTTAAATTTTGCAACCTATGTTTTCTACAATAAATATTGCACTAATAGAAAAAAAACAAGTGGCTATCTTTGTTGCATTTTTAATCTATTTGGTGAGTTAAAAAGTCGTTTTTTGATTTTCGGTGTGTTTTTTTAATAATTGAGCAAAATCGTAAAATCTAAAAATAAGAAAACATTAACGAAAATAACACGTTTTTTTTTTATTTTCAATTTTGTTTGTTTTGTTAAAATTCAGTTAAAAATATTCTAAATAATATAGATAGACAATATTTATAGACCTCGTAAAATTTTCAAAATATTTGAGCCATTTTTGAACTATTTATACATTTATATTTTGAGAGTTTTTACGTAATTTTTATTTAGTAGATGTTCTGTGAAGACAATTGTAAGACTAAACAGAAATGCTTCAGAAGGTTCATTATAAGTTGTGTATAGTGGTAAAAAATAGACTGACATATTTCGCACAATGGGTAGGCCACTGTTATAGGTAAAAAGTTGGGAAGGTAGGATAAATAGAGGAATTTAATACATATATGTATGCAAAGATTAATCTTTCCTAACGAAAAACGATTCTGAGCGGAGTTTGGTAACACATGTTTTAAAAGGCCATAATATAGGTATACTATTTTCATAAAAATTTGATATTAAAATTCTAACAAAAAAAATACGTATTTTAAACTCGATTTTTTTTTTTTTTTTTACCACAAAATACGACTTATAGGTAATGAACCTCCTATTGAATTTTCAAGCATTTCTATTTAATCTTACAATATTATCCACTGAGTACCTATATATAAGCTTTAGTTTTAGAAAACTCGCAAAATTAAAATGATTATAATAAATAGCTCAAAAATGGTTCAAAGATTTTAGACATTTTACTAAGTCTTGAAAAAGCAAAATATAAGTTTCTTGCTTTCCAAATTTTAAGTCTACGAATATTTTTAACTGAAATGCAACAAAACAAAATTTTAAATAATATAAACATTATTTTCGTAAATTTTCCAGGCTTTCCCGATTATTATGAAAACCGCTTGGAAAATCAATGACTTCCTTAAGTACCAACTACATAAAATATCCTTGAATAAAAAGTACTACACTTGAAAATCAGAGCAAGATTTGTGGTAGACATTTTCTATAGAGTATAAAAAAATCAAAAAAAAAAAAATCATTGTAAAACCAAAACATTCATTGCTTCAATCAGAATCTAAAATTGAGTGTAATTTGTAGTATTTTATTTTTATTAGTTTTAATATCAAATTTTGGCGATAATCGTAAATATTAAGGCCTTTCAAAACATTTGTTTAAACGAAATTCGCTCCAGGCACGGATCCACGGGGGGTTGGGCGATTGGTGTGATTGCCCCATCCACATGTATTTTTTAAAATTATTACTGTTATTATTACTGTTACTAACGAAAAATATTTTTAAATTAAAATGCTTTAAATTTTTATCTGATTCTTATTATTCTGATTATCTGATTGTGTATCGCCAGAAATCGTTCAATGGCGTATAATAAATTATGAATAGTCACAGAATGAATAGATTGGAAATAGCACACATTATCTTATCTGTATTTCATAAAACCAATGAGTTTATATTTACGTATACATGTCATAATAATATATTACATGACTCATTCATTCATATAGTCGTTTACTTGTATACCATTCATTTTATGAATTCATAGAAATAATATAAATAATTAGTTTCCAATACAGGTTAAATAGAAAAAAAAGGTAATTTAATTTTTTTAATCCCCCCCTCCTCGCCTTGGGTGACTTCTGGATCCACTACCGGAATTATCGTTGATTAATATATAAATTAAATAACCTTACTATGTACCCTAACTTCTCAATTTCTCATGAACAACAGTGACATACCCGTCCCCAATATCAGTTCTTTTTTTTTTTGTTTGGAATGATTTATTGTTGATTTCAATATTTAAAGTAAATTATTCTACGTACTAATTTGACTAACTTACCAGTTCCCTTTAATATTTTAAGTTATTAAAAATATTTTGGTTATTATTAAAGTAGTAGGTATTTAAAAATCAATTGGATGTTAGTATCTAATAATCCCATATCTACTATGTTATTTATAGGTGGTATAGATCCTCATACTCACTTGGAATTAGAACTTATGGGAGCTGTGTCTGTAGACGACTTTTATCAAGGAACTAAAGCAGCCATTGCTGGTGGAACTACGATGATAAGTATGATATTTAAAAATTGGTATGAAATTGTGTTGATTATTTAATTAATATATTATTTAATATAGTTGATTCTGCATTGCCGAGTAAGGGCGAATCTTTATTGGATGCGTTTCATAAATGGAGGACCCGTGCAACAAATAAAGTTTGTTGTGATTATGCCTTGCATGTGGGTGTTGTTTCATGGTCAGATCAGGTAAGTTTTGTTACTTTTGCTAAAATTACAGTGTTTTTTTTAAATTATATAAATCTATTAATACATAGATTCGCAGTGAAATTTAAATTAGATTATTTCAAACATAATACCTATAAATAATATGTATAGATATACATATATATTATGTATTTACTGCAATAATTTATTATAAATCATTATATAATCTATAATAATTATATATTATATATCTATGTTTATTATTAGTATACTAGCTTATTTATTATGGGTCAGTAACATCTTATTATAAATATATATTGTTTACTTAACTATAAATGTTTAATAGATGCAAAATAGTAACTTTTATTATTTCTAATTTCATTTAGGTAAAGAGAGAAATGGAAGATCTTTGTAAGTCACACGGTGTGAACTCATTTAAGATGTTTATGGCATATAAAGGAATTTTCATGTTGAATGATTCTGACCTGTACAACAGTTTCGAAGCATGTAAAGAGCTTGGTGCTATTCCAGTGGTACATGCTGAAAATGGAGACATAGTATATGAAGTAATAATAAATATCATAAAATTATAAAATATTATGTTGCTAATTTATTATTATATAATTTTTTTATAGAATACAAAACGATTGTTAAACTCTGGTGTTAAAGGACCTCAAGGACATGCTCTATCTCGTCCTGAAGAAGTTGAAGCTGAAGCAGTTAATAGAGCTTGTACATTATCAAATCAGGTATTATATTATTATAATTAAACAAAATACATACCTTCTTCTATATATATTTATTCTTGTTTACATGATAGATGTATGTCTGGCATATACCTGATTATATTGTAATATCATATATCCTGTTTCATTGTATATAATTATTATAATTAATGCTATATTCTATATTAATACTATAATATTATATATAATATCAAACATATTGTACCTATTTTAAATTCTTGGTTTTACTATGATGTATGTGTATTTTGTAGTTTTCTTAACAATTGAGAAAAACTGGAAAAAAAAAACATAGGAATAACGAGGCAATGTACCTAGAGTTTTATATTTTTGATTTTCTGTTTTTGTTGTAAGTTGGTTAAAAATAATCATAGATATCTGAAATTCTACAAAATACTTATATTAGCCATTTATCAACGTGGTCTAATATTAAAAACATTTTATTGTCATTCAAATATAAGTTTGTACAAAAATCGTAAAAATGTTTACTGTATTTCAAAATATGTATACATTTCTCTCATAATCATTTACCGTTGCATTCAGATATAAATTAAATAGGTAGTTCTATTTATTTTAAATAATACAAAACATTTTATTTATTAATTTTTACCTGTCTAAAATCAATAGCCAAAAATTTACTGTTAAAATTGTTAAATATATTTTTGTTTATATATTTTCAAATTTCAACAAATATGTTTTTTTTTTAGGTGGGATCGCCCCTGTATGTGGCACCAATAATGAGCAAATCTGCCGCAGAAGTTTTAGCAAAACATCGTGCTGATCAAATCAAACAAAATGGCAATACTAAAATATTTGGTGAGACATTAGCAGCTGCTATTGGAACACATTGGAATGAAAAGTTACTAACAAGTTGGCATCATGCTGCAGCACACGTTTTAAGTCCGCCATTAAGTTCGGATCCCAATACTTCGCCGTACTTATTAAATATGTTAGCCAGGTAATAATTTGACCACCTAGCTATAGGATAATTTTATTATATATATTATTATTATATAATTTAATGAGTTTTAAAATTTATTTTTAGGGATAAATTACAAACAACTGGAAGTAATAATACGACATTTAACTATGATCAAAAATCATTGGGTAAAGATGATTTTAGTAAGATACCTAATGGTGTTAATGGAATCGAAGATCGTATGTCTGTTGTATGGGAAAAAGGTGTGGAATCAGGACTTATTGATCCATGTCATTTTGTTGCAATAACCAGTACAAATGCTGCAAAGATTTTTAATATTTATCCAAAAAAAGTAAGTTTTATTATCAAATTATATTAATATCAATATTATTAAATTATCCTACTATAAATAATTTTCCTACTTGTATTTGTTTATCAAATAAAGTCCTTTGCATTACATCAATTTTTCATAATAATTAATAATATAGTTTGTGTGTCCGAATTGTGTACGAAATTATAATATATGTTGAGTTGCATGCGTGGATTTTTGGAGACTGAGTTGAGTTGTGTGCATTTTTTTTTTTAAATTTTAGGTTTTGCAATAAAACTTCTGGAAATACTCTTTTTTTTTTTGATTCTACAATTTAAAATTTAACTTCACTAGACCCAAGTGATTAATTTGTTTAAATATATAAAATTTACACATTCTTTTTGTGCATGCCCATCTCTCATTATTTGAAAACTATCACAAAAAAACTGCAAACATAACTGAATTGTCCACCAACATAGATCTCTTTTTTTTTTTTTAATGCAGCCATTGATTATTTATTTCAGGGTTGCATAAATGTTGGTTCAGATGCTGACATTGTCATATGGAATCCAAAAGGCAAACGTACTATTTCTGCTAAAACTCATCATCAAGCAGTTGATTATAACATTTTTGAGGTAAATATATTGCAATTTTAAAAAGTCAAAATTAATTAAACAGTTTTAAAAAAATTCCAAGTTTACTAAATTCATACATAAATATTTGCAAATTGTAGGGAATTGAATGTCATGGTGTTCCTGAGTATGTGTTGGTTGGCGGTCGTGTTTGTGTTGATGAAGGAATTTTAAAAGTTGTTCAAGGTCTTGGAAAATATATTCCCATGTCTACAAATTCAGAATTTGTTTATAGCAACGAAAAGGTATAAATTATAGTTTATGCTTGAAGTTACAAAAAAAATAAAGATGTGACATACTTTGCATGTGGGTGCAGCCACTGTTGTAGGTGGAAAGTTGGGAAGGTAGGATATAGAAGAGAATTTAATGTATATCTGCAAGCAAACCATTGCTACTGAAAAACGATTCTGAGCAGAGTTAAGTTGACAGTGTTGCTTTGTCAACAAAACAATATATTGTATATATCATATTATGGTAAAATGATTATGATTGTTTAAAAAAGTATAAATAATAAAAACTTAATAACAAAAAATAAATAAAAACGGTTGCCAATGACAACCTTATTTTTAACCTTTCAATCTTTCTTAACCTAAAGACCGAGGTTTTCCTCATTATCTCGAATATTTATGAACATTTAAAAAAATGACCTCTCTAAAGTACCACTCGGAGAAAATTTCCTTTCAGAAAAGGTGCTATACTTGATAATTTGAATATGCTTTCTGGTAGAAAGTGTTCACATAAAAATAAACATCATTATAAAACTAATACATTTTTTGCCAAACTCAGAAACTAAAAGAATACAATTTTCAGTTGTTTCAATTTATAATAATTTTTAGCTCAGTATTAAGTTGTTTCTCACATTTATGTATGTTATTGTATCAAATAACTATACATATCTTATTATGCATTTTTATATTCAGAATGTATTGGTTTTACAATGATGTTTTTTTTAAAATTGTTATGTGAACACTTTTTCTACCTGAAAGCATACTCTGATTACCAAGTATAGCACCTTTTCTGAAAGGAAATTTTTTCTGGGCGGTACGTTGAAGAGGTTATTTTTTGAAATTTTCATTAATATTTGAGATAATGAGAAGTACCTCAGTTTTTAGGCTAAGAAAGATTGAAGATTAAAAATAAGGTTGTCATTAGAAACTGTTTTATTTATTTTTTGTTATTTTAATCTTTTTTAAATAATCATTTTTGTCATAGAACTCAAATCGTAATCATTTTACCATAATATGACATATATATTGTTGACAAAGGAACAGTATCTGAACTCTGCTCAAAATCAATTTTTCTTTAGCAATGGTTTATGTTTCCTTACAAATATATATTAAATTCCTATCTGTAGCCTACAAATAAATATTAAATTCTCTTCTGTATCCTACCTTTCCACGTACAACAGTGGTTGCACTCATGTGCAAAGTACATTCTACCATTTTTTTTGTGTAGTGGTTTCTCAAAATAAAAATTTAAAAAAATTGTTTCATTTATTCCTGAATTATTGATGCACATATTATTGCAATAATAATACATAGCTCAGAATTTAAGATATAACTTAAAATAGATATATAGGACAGGTTAGGTATGTATAGATAACTCTAAATATTTTTGGAAGGATAAATAATTTGTTTTCTTTTACATATGAAGGTATCTGAAAAAATAGATGAAGTAAATGGACTCAATGAAGAAATTGATGATGTTAACACTAAAACATTGAATTTACAAATTTCTCCTCCTTCAAGTGTTACAAGCGAAGTTACTACCTGCACTAAATCTCCAATGATACATACAGGAAAAGGAATGCGTATGGAAGGGCAGAGAGATCTACAAAGCTCCACATTTTCAATCAGCTGTATGTTATATTACCTAACAATATTAAAATCTATTTTAATTATAAAGTAAAATAATAATAATCTGAAAAAGTAGAATTAGAATAAATTTGAATTTCAGTAATTTTCAATGAATAAAATATTATTTCAGCTGAATTTGATGATCCTGTTAAGAAGTCAAGTATTCGTGTGAAAAATCCTCCTGGTGGACAATCTTTAGGTTTTTGGTGATTTGCATAATATGTGTATGCATATTTTTATATATTAACATTTTATTCTGCTCCTAGTCCAAAAATTAGAAAATTATATAACCACATAATTAATTTGCCTTTTTTTTTTATGTTTACAAAGTAGCTTTTATTGACACTGCTTAAAATTATAAATTAAGAATAGTACTTAACATTTAATTAAAAAAAGTTATTTTTTTGTAGTATACTCATACTCATTACTCATTCTGATTAATTCACATAAATTCTTCTTTCTTTTTTTATTAAATTACATTTTTTAAATATTTGATATGCAAAATATGCAATTATAATTATAATAGTTTAGTCAAAATGTGTTTAAATTAATCTACATTTAAAATTAAAGTTATTAAACGAAATAATTTTCTGCTTGTTATCAGTATATGCATTTTACATACATTTATTACATTTATTATTAAATTATACTTCATATAATTAGCATATTATAATTGTTTTAATTTTATTAAGCCTTCATAACTAATATTTAAATTTCCATATCCATCTTCTTATTCCATGTATAGATAAATAATACATATTATCTATGGTTCCATGAGCTACAGTGTACTGTTTCTTAAAATCTGATGTTTGGAGTATCTTAGCTGCAAACTTAAAACCTAAAATCATGCTGCACTTTGTTTTATGGGTTGCTTTAATAATGATGAATTGATGCAAATGATAATGGTTAAAGTTACATAATACAAGATAAAGAGACAATAAATAATTTAAATAACCATCAGATAAGTATATTTGTATAAAATTTCAAACAAAATAAGGTTTTCAATCTAAGAAAAATGCTACTTTGTTGTAATAACATATAACAGTAAAAGAAAACGAACTACTTAATTTATTTTGTATAATAATTTATAGAATTAATATACTACAAATGAGATGGTTTTTTTTTCAGTTCTCTGGTAAAAAAAAAAAACTATTGATTAATGTATTTTAGAAACTTATGTGATTAATAAATCAAATAAAGAAGAAAAAATTGAAAATTTGTTTCACTAAATATGCAATGAAAAATTATTAGTTTTTACCAATTTAGTGTTTTTTTTTAGATTAATGTTAGTAAGATGTTAGTAAGATAATATGTTATCTATTTAACTAAACACTTTTTTAAATTTATTAAAGGTACCTATATGTAAACACATTTTTTAATTACTTATACATTTTTATAGATTATTAATTTAAAGATAGAGATAAATGAATAAACAATCTATATCTAAATTTTAATAATTATTTAAACAGTTTATTGTTCCATATATTAGTTGCCAATCATTAGATATACTAATTTATTATTAAGTAATATAAAACTTAATGATAGCTTGCCACATATCATGATATCTTAGTTAAAATAAAACTTAATTAAAATCTTAGTTTACAAAAAATTAACACATACAGTATAAGAAACATTTCCAATATTTCATAATTACAAATACAAATATACATATTTGAATAGAAATACACCATATCAGAACTGTTAATATTATTGATATCACATATTATACAGTTTAGTTTAACATAATATTATACAATTTGTTCGCTTGATAAAATAATAGATATCAATTTGGTTACCTAGTGATAGTTAAAACATTAGATGGATGGAAATTTTTGTAGAAATCACAGCTACCCTAAGAGTTATTTTATTTTATTAATGTTTTTAAATATTGACCAAGAAAAATTAAAATTTTGTATTATCATAATAACCCATTTAGTTTTTAGTTATTCAAATACATTTATAGATAAATCTGCTTCAGTTAATATGAATGACTGTATATACTTATTATTTATTACATTTCTTTTAAACTTAACTTATTAAGAAGCCTTTAAAATACTTAATTTTAATCCTTAATTAAGCAACTAATGAATACCAGCAACAATTGTATAACACTAGACAGAAGACACAGTAAAACAAGTAAATATTCCACCTCATTAAAAATCTATGATGAACTATACATTTCGCAAATAAATATCACATATTTAGAATAACAACAAAGATTATAATATAATGTAATATAAAGTAATTGTGAATAGAAATTACACATTTAATGTTACAAATTAACCATCAATATTTCATATTATTAAATAATATGATATTACTGGATTATTGGAATATGTACACTCACATATTATAAAATATTACACAATTAAATTATACAAATACAAATACATTTACAATTCCTCCATTATTTTTAAAAAATTATGAAAAAAAAAAACATTTTCTTAATTGTATTGGTCTTTTAAATTAATACTGAATTGTATTGTAATAATTCAGTTACAATTATTAACAGTTTATTTAAATTGCTGTGGTTGAGGACCAAATAAGCTACCATTTTGTTTATTGACCATTCTTGATGGGGCAAATCCTAATAATTTTTGAATATTCTGTTTAAAAATAAAAAAAAATTATTATTAATTTTTACATATATCATTAGAGTATTAAAGAAAAACTATCAAATATTAATCTTACTTGGCGTATTGACATAGTACACAATATATACAGGAATATAAATGAACATTCTGTATAATTATCACCAGTCAAATTTCTATGAGATAAACCCTGTACCCAGGGAATAGGGGTGAATGGTAATCTTGCTACAACACGCCCATCAAATCTGAGTACATATTATTAATTTAAAATATAAAAATTAGTTGTTAAAAAAAAAAATTACAAATAGACTTACATGTTGTTAAACATGCTTAATAGTGCTGTAAATGCAAAACCAATGGCAAACATGGATTTCATTTTTACCATTGACAAATCTCGATTGTTAATCTTTAGTTTTTCCTCTACACGTTCAATCTTTTTCTTTTGTTGTTTATCAACAGAGTCTCCATGAGCTTCTTTACGTTTTTCAACTGTAAAAAAAATAATCAACAAATTGTAATTAAAAAAGTGTATTAAATTTTAATAATTCAGTAGAAAATGTATACCTAGTGCGTTCAACCTAAGAGGTACTAAATATTTCAGTTTGATGACCTACTCTGGGTTGCATAAAAACAGTTCAGTAAACTGTTGATAGGATAAAGTTATCGGTTCTGTATAATTCAAGTTATTGAACGAATTGCATTGCATGAAAATATTGTAAAATTTTATACTAATGAGGTTAAACCATTAACCTGGGAAACGGTATAAAATTTTACCTAGTTTCCGGTTGCTTATACATATAACTCTTATCAAAGATTATGAATTGTGAATAATTGTGATGTTATTGTGATTTGTACTAAATTATTTGCACTGAATAATTATTAATTAGTGTTTATTAATTTATTACAATTATTTGTCTGTATAAATTATACGGAAGTCGAATTAAATTTTTTTGTGTTCAGTTTGTTAAGTTCTTAAAGTTTTGCTATGGACATTAACGAAGATAAAAAAAGAGGCAAAAACTTCTCAGAGAGTGAAAAATCTTTAATAGTTGATCTTGTATTACCTTTTAAAATTATAATTGAAAACATCAAGGTTAATTATAGAATTGAAGTTTTGAATTTTGTACTTAAATTTTTAGGTGTTATATACACTGATACTGATGCAGACCAGTACATAATAACAACTGACACAGATTTGATCAATCTCTAAATAGTCTTGGTCTAAGTAGACAAATTAAAATTTCCATAATCATATTTTGATCAGTATCATCATATGAAGACGAAGACAAAGATGACAATGACATTATTGTTAAAATAAATTATATCCAAGTTAAAATCATGGATTAAGATGAAGACATTTATTAAATATCATAAAAAAAATAACAAATTTAAAATGCATAATCACATTTGTTTTTATGTGATAACGAAATTATTGTATATTTTGATGTTAAGACAAATACACTATGCTGTAAATTTTACAGAACAAAAATCTGACCAATAACTTATCGGTTTGATAACTTTATATAATGATAACGCGTTATCGGTTCTGTATAGTTTCATGCAACCCAGAGCTAGTATTGAAATGGATTTTCGGAGATTGATAGGGAGAACCCAAATACAATTTTTTTAACGTGCATGCGAAATAAAACTCACTTCTTTTTAAATGTCAATACTATTTTTGTTCTACTGATTCAGATAGAGTATTTTTTTTAAAACAATTTTTATAAAAAAATTTGCAAAGTTATAGTATATTGAAATGTAATATGTATGAATAATCTGTAATTGATGAAATTATGTACAACTTATACTAGAATATCCAAATGATATCTATGATATTATGAAAAAAAATTCGTATTAAGAAATGACCATCTAGATAACTTGAGCTTTTAGAAAAGTTGCTACACGTAAAAAATTGTTCACAGTCAAGAGGAAAATAAAAACATTTTAGTATAATGTATAGCTACGCTGGGAATCTAAAATAAGAGTAAATTACGAAAACAAAGAAGTGTTTATTTGTGTTTTATATCTATCTACAAACAGGCATTTCAAAATATCGCAGACATCATTTAAATTTTCTAGTACAAGTTGAACATAGTTAAAATTTAGTCAATAACAGATTATTTGTAAATATTAACATACTACAACTTTGCCAATTTTGAAATTAGAAAAATACTTTTTATACAAAAATTGTTTTAAAAAAAATATTCTTGTCAGAATCCTTATTTGGGTATTCCCTATCATTCTCCGAAAATTCCATTCAATACTACGCCACCAACTGAAATATTTAGTGGTACCTCTTAGCATGAACACACAGTATATTTATTTTATAAATGTTTATGAAAATTGTAAAACTTACGTTTTTTACTAGATTTTTCAATTTCTACCTTTAGCTTTTGGTATTTTTCTGTTCTATACACCAATAACCATGTTAATCCTGAAAATAATTTAATTTTAACAATTACCTCATTAAATTAGTATCATTTGCCTATCTACTAAAGATAATTTTATAAATATGTTCTAATCAATAAATAACATTTTTTCCTGGTGTATTTATATGATTAATAACAAAAGAACAACAAAAACCTAATATTTATATCTAATAATATCTAATATTTTATATGCATATGTAGTACCCAAAATATAAAAAATGTTGTACTGCACACTATTTAGTCTACATATATAAAATAGTGGTTCATCCCCCTCCCTAAATACTAATTGTATGATTGTATAATTTAATAAATGATTGCACATAAATAAAATAGAACATAAATACTGACTAACTGCCAAACTAGAGGACTTAAGTTGTATTAATTTACTACACTTATAATTTTCATATATAATAGTAATGAATAGAACATTTTAAAAAAACATAACTTTTAAATTATTTGAGAGATTATGATTATCAGTTGTATATGGCCCATGGATGTAGTTTTATATTGAAGATAATGTCATAATAGGAAATTAAAAAATTACAGAATTTTAACAACTAAAAACATAAAATAATAACAACATAATGTATTTTTATACATCATGTGGAACTGCTAAATGAAAAAAAAACACTATATATCCTTTTACAGAGCCACACATTTTAAATTTTTCCAAGAAATAGGAAAAAATGAAAAAATGTACAAAATGTAGGTATTAGTTGAAAAAAATATTATAGCCTTTTTTTTCTAGGAAATATGATTATGGAGGTCATATTTTGAGTTTCCCAGGAATTTCAAATAAATGGGAAAAAACATGGGAAACCTGGTAGCATATAAACAAACCGTACATTGTTAGAAAACCTTATGAAAATTTTGTTCACTGATTGGCTTTAATCCCGATAAAATAACAATTCTAATATAAGTTATCAGCTATGATTTTTAAATGTTTTAGTTTGTGAAAATTAAAGTGTTTTGTTTTATTAAAATACCATTCATATTAGATCAAAATATATAACATATATGGAAGAAATATATTTTTAGGTAAGTAGGTTAGATAAATATAAAATTTAATACCAAATTATTATTTCAGAATAAAATATTGTTTCATAATTATAAATACATTATTTCATATACTATATAAAAATTTAAACATAAAGAATACTCATTAGATTAAAATAAATTACAAAATTTGAAATACACATGACATTCATACATAATTTTTTTTGCACTTATGGCTCACAATCTATCTTGTAAGTATAAATCACAATACTTTGTTTTCATTGTGTGTTATAACTTAAAAAAAAACAATTTATAATAGAATTAATTGATCATTTCTAAAAAATTTAAATAGTTATTACATAGATACCTAAATATATAAAAATATTATGAATTAAAAATTCAAATCTTAGTATCCTAAAGAAAATAAGCTGATAAAATAAAATAATATGAATAAAACATAAAATACTTTTTACTAACTAATGAAATTGTTATCTTGTTGAAATTAGAGCTAATTGGTAAACAGGATTTCCACGAGCTTCTCTAACAATTTACGTATATGTAACCCAGGAAAATAGGTATGATATTAAACAAAATATATAACGCCTATGTAATTATTTTACTAAATGACATACATATTGTTGACAAAGCAACATTATCAACTGAACTCTACTCACAATTGGTTTTTAATTAGCAATGGTTTATTGTTGCTTACAGATATACATTCAATTTTCCCTCTACTACCTTCCTAACTTCTCACTTACAACAGTGATCCACGTGCGAAGTTGCCTAGTGGGAGTGGAGGGGTTAGTTGGTTCTTAAACTTAGTAGTTCCAATTTTCACGCACTTAATACATTTACTGCTTATTAGACATAGGCTGTACAACTTTTTTTCTTAAATGGTAATGCCCCATTTTAATCACTTTAATAAGTCCAAAATTAATTGAAATACAGCAATTTAAATTTATTCAATATGCATGATATACCAATTTCATACTATTTTTCACAATACTTACTAAAATAATTGTAAAAGGGATGTAAATAACTTGGGTTTCATTATTCCCTACAATTTATCATATTTTATTAAATAAGTATTTTAAATTTACTGTTATTAAGATAAACATTACTTAATGACTCATATCTAAAAATATTAAATAAGTTGAAAAAATTGATGTTTAAGAAAAAATGTTGTGGGTGTGAAAATATGTACTACTAAGTATAACCAAATAAAAAAAAATTGTTTAATTGTTTGTCTCTTTACAAGGATATAGTGTTTTTAATTAGCGTTTCCAATGTTTCCACATGATATACGTTTTATCTAATAATTAATTAAGAGGATGTTATACTCGCATTTGTTGTCTCAGTTCAACTAATGGGCTAGATAGCAAAATCTACCTTATGCACACTATGTAGAACTCGCTTAATTATGGTTTTAAAGTAAAATCACCTATTATAAAATTAAAAAAGCACAATATTATGGATTACAAGATTATATGCTTTTCATATTATTAAAATTATTATTCTGAAAATAAAATTCAAAACACTGTTAAGAACTAAAGACTACTTCGTTTTTTTAAACAATAACATTTCACAAAATTAAATTTAAAAAACACGTTCTGCCCTATGGAATAACGTCATTTTTAAATTTTATAATAGATACTTTTATTCTAAAACCATAACTAATTGAGTCCTATGCAGTCTGCATAGGGTAGATTTTGCTTTATTATGTGTTAGTTGGACTGAAACTACATGTGGGTTTTAATTTTAATATTGACTATGAAAATTGGATATTATTTTTAAATATTTTAAATACTCTTGAGTAGTACTACACTAAAATAATCATATCAACAATAACAAGGATAATAATTATTATCTTCGAATCAATCATTTAAAATAAGCCATTAATACTAGCTTACCTATAGATACCACCACACACCTAAAATATGTGTTACAGCCGCAACACATAAATGTAGGGTACGGCGTCACTATAAGGATTTACATGCTATTTGCAAAAATGTACAGCGGTATCCTCAAAAAAAAGAAACCTTTATATTAGATGGAACAATAATAATTTACCTTCTCCTAATAAAGCTGTACATATCGAAATGAATACGATAAGAAATGTATCAGACCACATTGTTCAAACAGTTTAATGTATAGAATATTGAATGTTTTGTGTATATTTATTTACAATTTAAACGGTAAATAATAAAACGGGTCCGGAACGAAAAAATAATAGCTGAGTACCGGTAGCTGAATTACAAAACGTTAGCGCATTTTCATAATAATATCATAAACTTGGTATTTTCAAACTACTAACCATAGAGTAATACTCTAATCTTTCTAATCGTAGTTCGTAATCATGTCCGGGATTTACAGATTACACGTCGAGTGACGAGCTGATACCGAGTATTGAGCTAATAGAATAGAATTAAAGGTGGGTTTCCACTAGACCGTTCACGTGTACGTGCACGGATGTTTCTGTCCTCTGATTGGACGGTTAGTAATGGTTAGTGCGGTATTATTTTAGTTCACCAAAATGTTTACGCGTGTTTATCACACGGGATACCGTGTTACCATGAAGTTGGATGAAGTTCAACTATTTCCGTTCAAACCACGGACTAAGCTATACTATACACGAACTAAGTATATCTTAGTTTGTGGTTCGAACAATCTGGTGATAGCAGCAATCACAGATTTGAAAATTGAAAATATATTAATGTACATTATTATTTAATTCATTAATGTTTAAACGTGCACGTACACGTGAACGGTCCAGTGGAAACTCACCTTAACGCCCTTTTTTCATTGATTATTTTTCCCTGATGATCGCTAATCATGGAGTAAAAGATTCACATTAACCACCGCAAGGCAACAAGCTGGTCGATGTGATAAGTTTTCGGTGTAACCTGGCCAACGGTGCAAAATGTCATGACCTTTTTTTTTATTCAATATTTATTATCATGGTATTTTTTTAAATTCAATCCATATTTTATGAATTTATAGTTATATTTTTATAATTTCTATTAAACAAAAAATCATTTTTATAAATTATTTTTTGTTTGATTATACTTAATTTTACTCACAACTTTTTTCCCTGAATTTCTTATCATTTATATTATCATATTTTTTTATCATTCACCGACATCCGTCCGGTTCACCGATTTGTAATTATTAATTTATGATACTTAACACATTTTTCAATGATTGATTGAGAATATTTTTCGTAAGGGTTAATATTGAAGGAACAAATCATGTATTCTGTTTGGACACGATATGGATATATCTATAGAAATGCAGTAAGTGTATTTATATTAGTTCTATAAAGAAATTATTACTTAACATTAAAATGCTAATATAACAGAAAATACAATTCAAAAATGTGCTTTTCATAAGTAATTTTTTAATTTTAATTTTAGTAGCTAAAAGTTTTATAAATATGTACATATAATTTTTTGATAAGTGATTATTTGAAGTATTCTAACTTTATTACTAAACAACTTTTTACTTATAGATATTATAATGTATTTAGGTTAAAATCATTATTTTTGATAAATATTTATTGATTTTAAGGTACTCTTTTTAATTTATTTAAAGTTCTTGTTTTTGCACCATATCATGTGGGGTTACCAGATGCTAGTTACAGTGACAGTGATTTAGCTACATAAATTTTTCAGGAAATAGTTTTAAATTTAACATTTGCATTATATACGTCTCCCATCAGGATTTAAGACTTCTTGGTTTTCAATATTATAATTAATAAATTATATTAAGAAAATAAAAACATGTAAACAGCAGAGCTCTGTCACAAGTCATATTCTCGCCCCAGCACATTTTTTGTATTATAACCATTTCTTTGTAAAACAATAAATAACTGAACACTATAATAATACATTACTATACTAAACTTCCAAAAAAAACAATGAAATTCACTTTTTTGGTTGAAAGTTGAAACTCTTAAAACACACACCTTTGATATCATGCATACAAATTGTTATTCCCCTGGCTTTATTCGGGGATTCTTAGGGGCATTCAAAGCTATAAAAACACCCTTATCCTATAATAGCATAATGGAATCATATAGAAAATCAATCTAATTTTTATCACTTCAATCCGCCTATAAAACAACTAACTAATTTGGTACAGAAAAGGTAGCTAAAAATGTCCTTAAGTAACAGGAAAAAGGATACAAGTATCTATATTTTTTAGTGCCAGGAATTAAGGGCTTCAGTAAATTTTGTATAGTTTTTAATACTAGTAAATGAAATTGTGAAAATAATTTTACATTACATACTCTAATTTTGAAAATATATACGGAGACAATTAGACAAAATTATTTAAAAAAATGCCAAAAATTGACTTATTGGACTAAAAATGTAAAACAGACTATATACGTTCCATTTTCGGAGGAAAATTTTACAAAAGTGAGTCACTACAAACATCTTTTAGCTTATAAAATTTAAAATGTCATTTTGGGTGATAGGATAGGGTTATAATTCATTAAAACCTGATACATTGACTTTTCTGCCAGAATACTTGCTCGGATTTCCAAGTTTAGATGCTTTTCTGAAAAGAAATCTTTGTAGGGAGGTACTATAGGGATGTCATTTTTTGATTCTCTCTAGAGTTTTCTCATCAAATTTAAAAAACCGAAAAAAAAAACAACTAGAAAATATAAGAAATGTAAGTATTAATTAAAATATATTACAGCCTTCTTTTTTTCCTGTGCATAACTTTTCTACCAGCAATTTTGCTCCAACTTTAAATTATAGCAATGTTCCTAAAAGAAAATTTTACTAGGGAGGTACTTTAGAGTAGTTATTTTTCGATTTTCTCAGGAGTTTTCCCAGCAAATTTTAAAAAACCGGGATAAAACATGAAAAACTTAGGAAAATTAGGAAAAATGGGTACAACATTAAACAAATATTACTTACAGATATACATTAAATAATCTATAAAAGTGGCTTCACCCCTCCTCGTTATTCCTAGGATGTTTTTTTATAAATAAATATATGTAATATAATATATTTTTGTCTAAATTTTTTATTTTTACTATGTACTTACGGTGATATGTTTAAATTATGACATTTTTTTTAAATTATCATTTACTTAATTATAAGTTATTTATCTAATGATAAAGTAACATACCGTTTGTTTATCTATAGTATAATTATAAATACAATGAAATATTATATTATCATATTTATTTCATCCACAGAGAAAAAAAGTATAAAGAATACCTAGCTAAATTGTATTATTGACTAAATTTGTTTTATTATTGTTATTATTATTTGATACGTGTCTGTGTTAACCATTATTTTTACTCATTACAGCATTGTTTAAAGCATTATTCATCATCACCTCCACAAAAATCAAATTTTTTTATGCGATTATTCAAAAATATAAAAGATGAAATTGCCAAGAACAAAGAAATGAAACAAAATTTAGAACAATTCCGTGCTGAAAAAAAGAAATTAGAAGAATCTGATAATTTAATAAAAGCTAGGTAGTAAGAATACAATCAATTTTTCATTTTGTAATTAATCCAACCAGTATTTAATTAATAATATTTGTAGACAGAAAATAAATGTAATAGAATCAGAAACATTCAAAGTAACCCAGCAAGCCAAAGTTGTTATAAATATTATGTTTTCTAAGGTTAAAAATGCTATGAGCCAAGCTAGTGAATCTGATTTGGCGAAAAAAGCAGGTAAATTTATCATGCATTTTCTTATTAAAATATAAACATATTTGTATTTTAAATTAGGAAAAATAAGTGGGAGTATAAGTAAAACAGTTATTGAGGGTGGAACTAAACTTGGTCAGTCTGGTCCTGTGAAATCATTTTCCAATACCGCAGAAGCAATTTCAGCACAAATTGAAAGTGAATCTTCATTAAATTCACATGTAAGGTTTTGTATTTAAAACTTTAAAATATATGAGTTTTATATAATTTTGTTTTTAACATATTTAGGTTTATAAAGCTCCAAAATCTTTAAGAAAACGGTCTGAATTGGGTGACCAAAGAAAAGTTGTTCCTAATGAAAAAGAAACTGGTTTGACTCTCCACAAAGATTCAGCGTAAATAATCTATACTTAAATTATAATTACAAGATATTTAAAATTAAATCTTGGATTTTTATGACATGATTAATCATAGAATTAGTTAAGCTTTATTTTAAAACCATTTTCAATTTTTACCCCTACTCAATATATCTTAAATAAGTATATCCTTTTTTTTTTTTCAAATAAAAACCTTTTTAAACACAGATTTGAATAAATAATATTTTTCTAGATATTTTGATATGCATAACACTGATATCAGATTTACAATTAATGAGTTATAGCCATTTAAAAGTTTAGACTGGAAGAGTAGGGAAAGGTAATAAATTGCATGATTACATTCTATCCTACTTATTTGCCATGTCTAGAAAAAGCAAGTATAACTTTTCTGTCAAAATTTCAAATTAATGAATATTTTTAATCTAATTATATTTAAAAAATAAAGTTCTTTCTACATTTTTTTTTTCGATTTTGCTTAATAATTAAAATAACTATAGAGAAAATCAAAAATGACTTTCTATGTCAGAGGAGAAATATTAAAAGGAACAAAATTGTAAGTTTTCCATTGGAGAAAAATTCTGGTAAAAAACATTATGTAAACAAATTAAAAACAATGGAAATTTTAAGGTTTTTCATTTTTTTAAATAAAAGCACTTAATGGGAAAACGTAAAATTTCACGATTTCATTATTTTATAAAAACATAGAGAATGTTTTCTACCAGAAAAAATGATTTTATCGAAAAATCACAAGACTACTTTTTTGTTGCTTTTTCGATTAACTTTCTAACAGTATTATCACCAAAACTTTTGAACCACTTTTGAGCTTTTAAGGAATTTTAATTTTTGGGAATTTTTTTGCTGTAATTTGATTATTAATACTTGTAAAGACTTGAAATTCGATAATAATAATTATATTAGACTTACCTAGATATGGTAAAATTTCTAAAATCATTGGACAAATTTTTATTTTTTTACAGTGGTATTTTTTTTTTTATATAACTATATCACTGTTATCCTAAAAAACTTGCTCCGATGTATGAGTGTAGCACTTATTCTAAAAGTTAATTTTATATACTTGTAAATACATAGGTCATTTTTTGATTTTTGAACTGGTATTTAAAATAAAATGGATTAACCAGGAAAAAAAATTGATTTTTTCATGATTTCATTATTTTAAATAAGTACCTACCACATTTTCTAGCACAAATATGGCACCAATTGAAAAACAACAAGAGACCTTTTTTTCAATTATTAATCTTGTTTTTAATAATGCAATCAGTTTTTATAATAATTGGGAAAAATGTAGGAAGAACATACAATTTCACTATATCATTATTTTATATTAATAAAGAATAGGTTTATTATTAAGAAAAGTGCTTTAATCGAAAAATGAAAAGAAATCTTTTTTGATTCATCCCCAATATCAGCTCATTTTATTATTTTTTTATAATTATTAAAATAAAAACTTTTCTACCAGAAATCTTGCTCAGATTAAAAAATAACAAGAGAACACTTTTTGTTGCATTTCGGATCTGTTTAGTACAACATTAAAAAATTAATTTTTTAATTTCCATTTTATTTTTACATTGATTAGGAAAAACCTCAAAAATAAACATTTATATAAGGCAGTCAACTACTTTAGTAATTTTTATTATTTTTAATTTTTACTGATTATGTTTTCTATAAGTTATGATCTAAAATTTACACAACAATTCTTGTATTAGCCTTTTCCAAATATAGTAAAATGTTCAAAACATTTAGTAATTTTTCAGCCATTTATAAGCATTTTATATTTAAGAATTTATTTATTAGTTTTGCACACAAATGCTTGAAAATTAAAATAACAGGTCTTTATAACTTGAACTCAATGTCCAAAAACAAAAAAAAAAATGAACTTAATGTCCCTAGTAAATACTAGGATATTAATCCCATAAATATTAAAGCATTTTAAAATATACATAACTGAACTTAGCTTAGAATAGTTTTTCATTAGCAATGATTTATCATTATTTACAGATATAAATTAAACAAATTTATATATCTTATCTTTACCAACTTCTCTGCAACTGTGGAACACCTATCAGCAGTATCAAATTTTTTAGTTTTTATTTATTTAAATAGGCAAGGTTATGTAATAATAATAATAATTATTGTAAATAGGCATATATTATGAGTTAAAAACACAAAATATAAATTTATCAAACACTTTTTTAAAATGTGTACCATAATTTCTCTATAAGTAATATACTCCAAAATAATAATGATGATAATATTATGAACATTTTTTGTTAGCTATTAAAATTGTTGTTTATAATATATTAAGGTTTAAATGAAGGCAAAAAAAATAAATAAAATATTCAAATAAATTAATAAATATTGCAGTTCTTACACTTAAAATCTTTATATATTTTCAATATAAAGAACATTTATCTTATTTTTATACCTACTATAAATTATTAAATTTGTGACTTAATTATTAATAATTATGATTTTCTTTTTATTTAGGTTATGGGAAAATTGGAAAAAGTTCAAAGCTGAAAATACATTAATGCAAAAATTATCAGAACTTAAAGCCCTATATGATGACAGCGATCATGTTTTAGCTCGTGCTTCACGTTCTGTAACAGACACTTTGTCATCAGTGTTTCATAATGCAGAAATGTCAGAAGTTGTAACGGAGTTGTGTCGTGTTGAACCAGATTTTAGTTTAGTTAACTTTATACGACAGTGTGAAACTGATATAATACCAAATGTACTAGAAGCCATGGCACAGGAAAACTTAGAAGTTCTCAAAGACTGGTGTTTTGAAGCTCCATTTAGAGTATTATCCCATCCTATTAATGAGCACCACCAAAAAGGCCATCAAACGTATTGTAAAGTGTTAGATGTACATAATGTAGATGTAGTCACTGGAAAATTAATGGAACATGGTCCTGTACTAATAATATCTTTTAGTGCCCAACAAATCATGTATATTAAAGATATAAATGGATTAATTATTGAAGGTGATCCTCATACTGTAATCAGAGTGATGTATACTTGGGCAATGTGTCGAGATATAAATGAAATACATCCCAGAGCTGCTTGGAAATTATTAGATATTGCAGCTAATTCCACTGCACAGTTGTTGTAAATAGTTTTTTTTTTTATATATATATATAGAGTATTGTATTTGTGACAAAATTATTGGTTTATAAACTATTCTTAATGTTTAAGTTAACTTATGTTTAATATGTAATCAATTTTTGTCCAAATCTAAAGTCTATATTATACTAAGGTTCATCCTTAATGTGTTATCTAGTTGAACACAATTTAGTTTTTAATACTTCAATATTGGAAAAAAAGAAAAATATTATTTTTGAGTATCTATCTACTAATTTTAAAAATGTTCACTCAATTTATATCGCCATCATGTTATTATTACAGAAAAACATCAGTCCTTTATCATAGTTGTTCATTATAGTTTATAGTTTGAATTTTTTTTTAATATTTTAATTTTTAAGTCATATTTGATTAAAATATTAAACATATTAGTTATTCGCTTGGAAATTAAAATATTAAAAGAACCATAAACAGACAAAATAGGTTTTTATATACAAAAAGTACAATTATAAACATTCATTGATTATTGGACATAAGCCATATTATTAGTGGTTCAATTATTATCTTTTATAGCACCACCTATGTGGTGCAATTAATTCATATTTTATTATAATAACCTTCACTACTTTTAGTTAACTACAAACATTTTTTCAAATTACTGTTATGCTTAGTGTACAATATTATTTGAATGTTTATTTTATGGTTACTCAGAGGTAGAGCCACTCATAAAAATATGGTTTTCTAGAACAATTTAAAGATATATTAACATTAAATGGTAATTTATTAGATATACAGTTGAACAAACAATTAATTCACAAATAGTTATTAAAATGATTTGAAGATATATAAAAAGGTACAAGATTATTAAGTAATAATTAATTATGGTAATTATAATTATACAATTTTTTTTAAAATTTTAAATATTGCTTATAGTTATTATCAAAAGAATTGGTTTTCTACTTTTTTTTATTTTTTACTATGCAATTTAAAAATATAAGACAATGAATATTAGATATAAAAATAGGCATAATTCATTTTTAATACCATGATAATTGATCATGTAAGTATTTAATTTTTATATTTTCTACCACGTACAAAATAATGAAAACATGACACAAAATTATGAGTAAGCCATTGTTGTAGGTAGGACATTGGAAAATTACAATATACATGGCAATTTAATTTAAATCCTGAATGCAAGTATACAATGATAATTGTAAATAAAAATTAATTTTGAGTAGAGTTCAGTAAATTTGTTTTACTATAGTTATATTTAAAAATTTTAGACTATTTATATATCCTAATAACGCAGCTAACTAGCATTAAAATTTGACAAGAAAGCTTTTATAAAGTTTTTGACCTAAATAAGTCTTTTGATCAAAAAAATTCAGACAGGATCTGTAATCATAATTTTGTTTTTGTTAAATATGTCGTTCCAAAAATTGCAAATTACAGTGGTTAATAATTGAATACCTAATATTAGAAGTTCAAACGGAAAAACTGGAAAATTAAAATGACCACTCGACAATCGGTCGTTTTCACGCGAGCTACAACGGTAGAATGTAAATAAAGGAGAAGGAAAAAAATGACTCCATAAAACTGTATGTATACTTATTAAACGTACCGTCTGAGTAAAACACAATAAATAAATTGAATACTCAATAATAATAAAAGTATTCAATTATAGATGTGTAAGTAACCAAATTTAATTGACTTTATTTCATTCAATAGTTCAATACCGAATATTTGAATTAATAAAATATTTTATTTTTAAAAATTAATAATCACTTGGTTGTGGTCAGTGAGTACCTACTACCTATGCGATTAGAACGGCGCGGGGCGGGGGGTCGTTATCTCGAGAACCGCGGACGGTCGTCGAACGGTTGCGCAAATGACCGCTACAGAAAAAACTATACACATAGCTAGTACTATTTATAAACGACAACAAGTTGAACTACGGTCCACGAAAATATATTATTTCACTATTGCAGAGACGCCTGGTTATATTATGTGCGCGCTCGTACCGATGTCGTGTCCACCGTATCGTAGTCGTACAGTTTGATGCAATGGGGTACCTAAGGTTGTAATATTGTTTATGCTAGGTACCTATAAATACGATTTCGCGTTGGTTTTGTTTCGATTATTTCTTATTCTCTCTACCTATACCGCTCGTTAATAAATCGTTATCGCGCGCTCCAGTGTACGGCCGCTATTACCTACCTACCTACCTACTTAACCAACAATAATAATATTGCACAGTTCAGTTAACAACGACGACGACCGGTTTTCGAGAGAAAGAAACAAAATAATATACACAATATTATTATAATAATAAAAATAACAATATATATATACAGAAGAAAAAACCATCGTCTGTGACGGCCGTAATGCGATATTAGGCCTCTCGGGTCGGTGCAGTCGCGGTGCCCAGTGGTTATCGCCTGATCAAAAGTGTATAACGAAATAATAATATTAAAATACCTACGCTTATTTATTATACGTGCCCGTGTACGCCCAAGACCCGCGTTCCGAGTCGTCCATCGCAATATTTTTAGTAGCTGCCTGCAATAATAGTTTTTTAAACGCGTGCGAGTACCCAACGGGCTGTGAATAGCGCGAACTTATTGATATTTATTTCATTCCTCGTTGTTCCTACAACAATATCGAACATACTATTACACTTGCCTGTTAACTCGTACTTACCCGTTGTTTATTTTCTTCCCCGAATCCGTTTCAACCATCCGCGAAATTATACCCGGCTACGAGCCTACAACAGTCGGTCAACTACAGTAGTCGCGGTACGTCAGTCAGTGATTTTGACAATTCGTATACCTGGCCACACCTGAGTGTACCATCTGTTAATCCGGTAAGAAAACTATGATACATATTTATTTGATTCCTTTATCAATATAGGTAGACTTTTCACAACTATTCATAATTAAAATTAATTATAGTTTATTAAAATTCAGTGGCGGTGCAAAGTGTTTTTCACTTTGAATCACCAATTTAATTTTCTATCCACCTACATCCATCAAACTACCAGGTTTCCATGGGGGGCCTTATTGAAGCTCATAAAAGTTCCGCAGCACCATACTTTTAATAATTTTTCTCATGTGCATACATTGTATATAAATACTGGTGTATCTGTCCAGAAAACGCTTACTTACTTAAAACCCATGCGTTTTGTTACCAAAGATTGTAATGAATTTTGCAAAACCATAATAATTATTTTGTTATATTATTTCTGGACACCCAATTACCCAAGCATCCGCGTCTCGCCCACCCATTTTTTCTTTTTAATCGCGTGATTCAAATCTCTTCACGCCGCCACTGTATTATGTAATGGGTACCAAATACAAATATAGGTACTGTTTTATGACTATTTATTAATAAACGCACGCGCCCGCCGATGCCACTTATCTAATCTCGTCCAACTAAGAGGTGGGGCGATGAAAGCGATTACTCACTCGTTCGCTCCCTAATATACTCTATTTTTTTTTTTTTATACTATTTGATTTAAATCACACGCGTATGATTTTACATGCATACGTTGTATACGTTTTAAAAATCGCCCCTCCCTACTCCCCGTTATATTGTCCTGGATCCGCCCCTGCGGTCGACACAATAATTCGTCGTATGGTGTCTGTTTTCAGAAAAGTTTCCCGCACTTTAAAATATTAGTTAAAAAAAATGCGTCTTTGTATCACACCCATTCCGTATTTTAGCATTAATTATTCGTGAAGAAATTTAACATATCTCAGAATTTAGTTGGTCCAAGTAATGTTTATATGTACCTATGATGCCTATGACCTACCTACTTATTATTGTAGTTTTAGTGTTTACATATTTTGTTAAATATAATAATCGTCTATATAAAATAGTGGTGTCTATAACTACGTGCGAATTATTTCACGATTTTCAAAAACGATTAGACTAGGTTAGGTTATTCATTTAAACAATAAATAAACATTCGCCCTAGTAGGTATATATCTCCGAATTATATTTCAATAAATTCAAAGGTAGTCATACCCATTGACGTAACGGGATGGAGGGGGGGAGGGTTAAACGAAACTTCGCTGTTTTTCGACTCCATACAATATGTATATTTATAAATCTATAAATGTCATGTTTTAACAGTTTCGAGTATTCGAACGAAATGGTTTTCTAATTTTAGATTCCAAATTTTGAGAGTAGAATATTGAGTTGGATAACAGTTGGTTTTTTTTTTTCATTTTTCTTACGAACATTGTATACATATCGAAGAGTGCTCGATGCACTTCAAAATGAAAACTGTAAAATCAAAACTACATGAAAAATATCCAATCTAAAAATCTCGCAAACCTAAATCTACATGACATAATATTTCTAAAGATTATAAATGCATTAAAGAGTTTAGGTGTTTTTCAAATCTATTCGAGACATTTTAAAGCGATTATAAAGTTTACAATTTCTCTGAAATAAATACAAATAATAATAAAACGAGTTGGTACTGGGGACGGGTGTGCCACTGTTGTAGGCGGGAAGTTGGGAATGTAGGATATATAAAATTATTTAATTTCTATCTGTATGAAGTTCGATTAAATACATTTAAATATAGTAAATAAATATATAAATAAAAAATGTGTATAAAAAATAAATAAGTGAATAAATGCGTCGCCTGGAGTATTATGATAAGTGTATTGTACGACCGGTTGTACCCGATGATGAATTTTAAATTCGAAACCGGTCGTATAATACACTTATCAGTTATCTTAATACTCCAGGCGACACATTTATTCAATTATTTATTTTTTATATTAATTTATACATTTTTGATTTATATATTCATTTACGAGTATTAACCATTTTAATAATTTTGTTTTTACTTTATTAATTTATTATTAGACACATTTTCTGAAATGCTGTAATATTTACGATTTCCGTCAAAATTTGATATTAAAATTCTTATATAAAAAAAAAAAAACTAGGTAAATATTCAATTTTTAGATTCTGAGAGTTTTTTTTTTTTTTGTTCCACTATGTACGAACTATAGTGAATCTCCATTATTTTCAATAATATTCAAACATTTCTGTCTTAACAATTGTACCCGTCACAGAGTACCTACCAAATAAAAATTACGTAAAAAATGTCTATAAGTAGCTCAATAATGGCTTGAATTTTTTTGATCATTTTACCGCGTATAGAAAAGGCAAATTTAAGTTTTCTGTCAAAATGTCAAGCCTCTACAAAGACTTTTATCTGAATTATACAACAAAAAAACAAAATTGAAAAAAATAAAAGAACTATTTTCGTTAACTTACCCGTTCTTTCTACGTTTTCTGGTTTTGCCTAATAATAATAATAATTAAAAAAAAAAATCTAATAGGAAAATCAAAAACTACTTTTATGATCACCAACTAGATTAAAAATGCAACACAAATGGTCAATTGTCGTTTTTCTATTGGAGCAATTTTTTTGGTAAAATATATAGTTTGCAAAAATTAAAAACAATAAAATCGTGAACACCGCGGTACGCTGTAAATATTTTCAGTTATATACCTACAATTTTATTCTTCGGTTTTTCCCAATTATTTTGAAAATCCATTTGTAAATCAAAAAAATTCCCTTTTTAATGCAACAATTAAATAAAATTTCCTTTCAGTAAATATGTTACAATATGTACATCAGAGCAAGATTTCTTTTCTAAAAGTTGTTTACAGACAGAAGAAAAAAGTTTTAAAATAAATACACAACCATGCTGCGCTTTAAATCCAAAATAGTGAACAGTAAAATATACGTCTCGCTAATAATTTATTTGGAAATCATTTTGATCCTATTATTGTAAGTAGGACGTATTCAAACAAGAAAAATTGTTTTATGAAAAGAAGTATTACCTATACCATGTAGCGGGTTAGAGAGGGAAGTGAAAGGGACGATTGCCACTCTCGTTCTCTCTTCATTATACTCTTAGCCCCATTACACTCTTCATAACTCGATCCTTTATTGAGGTCATCATAAACTAATATTAAGGTGAATATTATATCATCTTCCATCTTATATGAATTTTCAAATTACCTCTTCCCCCCATATCGTATCTTGGATCTGTATCTGCACCTACCTATTAAGTATTGAAATTCTCAAAAACTTAACGAATTAATATTAAAATACTTATTGTAATTACTAATATGTAAGTTATAGATATAAGTATTAAAAGTATTTAATATTTATCTTGATTATTTATTTTCATATCTGGAATAGGTCACCCAGACACTGGGAAATCTCTCGGTAAGCCGTGGTGAAAATATACGTTAGGCAAATCTGGTAAGGTCAGATGAGGTAATTAAATAACTGGATATGTGACTCTTCGAATTTAATGCAACACAAAATATTGTTCTGTTAAAAGCTGTAAAACAGGGGCGTCTCCAAATCATAGACGTATGATGCGGAGAAGGCTAAGGATGTTATAGCTTCCGGAATTTCCTCTAATCCCCTCAACACTTCTTATAGCTTCCCTGAAAATGAGGATGCATTAAAAGGTTTTCTAGCTATCCTTTTTTTTTTTTTTTTTTTTTTTTGCAAAAATGTACAAAATAAGTGCAGTTTAGTTCCTCGCATCCTACGCCTACGCTCTAACCTTGTCTATGGTGGGGGTGAAATAATTAAACATGTAATATGAATGTACACAATATTCAGATACAGATGGTTAAACCATTTTTTTAATCTTTTAAAATTTAGAATCTCTCCCCTCAAGACATATTTGTGTTACAAAAATGTTTCGTGATTAAAAATAAATCATTATAGTAGGTACTGTAGATATATATGGTATAAACATTAATATTTTTTTTAAATTTACTATAGTATAAAATCTTTATCTAATTGTTTCTCTAACCATGATGTAATCGAACCCCTGTTTTTCTGTTTGTTCTCGTTCATTATTCGTAATTATTACGAACTTTATTCCAACTGAAACCTTACTTAATCATGGCCGTTCTCACCAACGTTAAAAATTGATGTTTATGTTGATGAAAACGGGTCTTAATTAGAAACTAAACTAAACTAATATAACCTATAAAATATTTGAACTTAATATACACACATTTTATTAACTTACCATTCGATGGTAATGTATGATTATACTTACTTCTACTTCTAGAACAATGATTATGCCAAGTACCAATCTAAGTTCACTTCTCGGGGGGGGATTGCTCCATCAAAATAATTCAAAATAAATTCACATATGTAACATAATTTATAACAGATTATTTTTAAGCATATATTATATATTACATATATAAAATTAATAACTTAAAAATACATTTCAATAAGTTTAATCTTCGTTTTAATAGTCGATTGGATTTTTTATGATAATATACCTATAATAAAATAAATGTATGCAACTAAGTGTGTCATAATGATTATGTGCCAAAACTGATTTATAATAAGCATTTGATGACTACAAGTGATAGTAAAAGTAAAAAGTAAAAGTTGAAGCTTTTAATTTGAATTTGCTTCATAAAAGTTATACAAACCAATATAAATAGTTTTTTTTAAATTAAATTCGTTTAGTTTTTTAAAATATAACTTAAATACCTACCGATTAAATAAGATTATGTAACTTAGACATTTAACTTTAATTTTCTGGAATATTTCGCCAACTTATACAAATTTATCTAACGGTATATTTTTTTCTTTAAAATTGTTTTTGTATTAGCCAATTAAATTTTCTTAAAAAGTTTGTAGAGTTTTTTGCTCGGCTTTTATTAATTTAACTCTATCAATTTTTACGAGTTTCGTGATTCGCAGTTCTATTTATTGGCATAATATATAAAATATAGTTGCATCAAGTGTGTTAAATCAATGTTGGTAACTTATTGAAGTTTTTAGATAATTATTTTAATTATAATGATGCGATTACCTGATTATTGGAAATTAAGTAGACCAACTGCCCGTATAATAATTAATTTTCAATGTATAGTTAAAAAGTGTAGGGTAGGTACGCATTTTTATTTTTTATTGTCAAATACTTAAAAATTAAATAACACCTAATTATTAAAAATACATTGCCAATGAAATACCTAGGTACATGTTTAATTCAATGCAACATTATTACGCAATACATTTAGAAAAATAAAATAAATAACCAAGTATTTTCATTGTTCCTTAATGATATCACGGCTGATATACTCGTATACTATGTTAGTAGATAGGTAATAACTTGAATCATAACATGGTTGTTTTATCCCTATAGTATAAACGGTCAGTTTATTAATACTGTTAAGTATTAATAAGAATAAATTATCAATGTTAGACTATTAACTAAGTTAGCACCTATATAGTAACAACCATAATAAACAAAATATGACGTCTTTTTGAGCGGGTCAAAATTATATCTACATATTTTTTTTTATTAACCTGATAAATAATATACAATTATCTATAACGATAACAGTTCAATTAATCCGTACAAATGTGGTCAATAATAGAAGACCTTTACTAGTCATATTATATAGTCTACATCTCTATCAGCAAGTGTGAATACAACTAATATCAGTAAAACGAGGACTATTTATAGATTTGATCAAATTACACCTATTCTATTTTTTATACTAATAATAAATAATAAAATATGCTTAAAAATACGTTCAACTGTAATAACAATATTTTTGACATTTTCAGACTACTCCATTAAAACGACAAACCCCCTAAACTACAACTAAACTATTTAAGTAATTATTAATTAATATGTCAACCTTATAATACATTTTCCTATGTATTTTTTTTATATTATAACATAATATTTAATATATGTATACAATTTTTATATTTTCTTAATAGTTATAGTCTGATAAATATTCTCTTAAAACATATGATATTAATATTCTGTTAAAAATTAGAAAACATACAAAAATAATTCATTGTTCATCAATATAATATGCTTTGTAATATGTATTTTTTTTATTTTTCACTTTATCAAAATAATAAAAAAAAAAATATCTACCGTTATGATTGTTTAAAGATTTAAAAAATATTTTTTTTAGATAGGTTGGTACATCAAAATTAAAATTAATATTAATAATAATTTGAAATTGCAATCATTTTTTTTTCTAATAATTTATAAAATATACTAAATATGTTCTAATCTTTAAAATATTCTGAAATATGAAAAAAAAAATAACTTTCCTGTGAAATGTATGTTGAACGAATCGTCCACATGTTTTACTCTCATAAGATTGCATACACTCAATCACAATATTATGTACAAACACAATCATCCGGCCTCTAATTATAGTTTTTATGACATCATAAAATCGCTATGTTAATTAAAAATTAAAACCTATAAATTAATTTGTCTCCTTATTTTCGAAATTTTAGATCTAATATTTTTAGATGCTTAATGCCAATATTTCTAAACCTTTTGATACAAATAAATCCGTTATATATTCGTTCAATATATTTAAACTGACAATTAGGTGTAATATTTTTGAATGTTAAACCCATGTAATAGTATACATTATACAATCAACATAATGATACGTAGGCCTCCACGGGCTGACAACCCCTGGTTCCTGGCCCAGCCCTGTATTTTATTGGTGTGGAGAAGCCCGACTTCACCCAGATTTTTTGACGGTGTATAAAAACCTGATCCGGCATTGATTTTTTCTTATAATTTTCGAATAACTATATCACGCCATTCGTATCCCTCGTAGGACTTGTGGTATTAGGTTAAAAATATAAAAAAAATATGTAAGAAACGGTCAGGAAATTTTTGTTGAAAATAGTCCAGCCCGGCCCTTGCAGGTCTTTAAAATATATAGGTGTAGGTATTATTTGATTATTTCCAAATTGGAAATATAAAAAAAAAAAAATCATATTATTATTACGATTATTTATTTACTACATATAATACATAATATTATATTATCATATTATCTTCTAGTTTTTTTTTTATTATTAAATATTATAAGACGTATATAGCAATAGTCATCTGTAATGCCAGTTATAATGTATTATTTTATCGTCTGACCGTTGATCTGATCTATGGTTACCGACGTCATAATAATTTTATTTTGTACATTCATTCAATATAATACCTGTGTTTGTGAATTTTAATTGTGTATTCAGATCGTAAATCTGCGAATTTTCTAATTATATAACCTTTAATAAATATTTCATTCTTAACCACAGATTAATAATAATGATCCTTTCGAATGAGATACCAGTGAAAATGTATAATTTAAAATATATAAGTTAGCTTAGGTGGAGTTAAAAACCAAGCTAGTCATTTTGCATGAACTATATGCTCAGAATTTTAAATCAATTACAATTTTCTATCAATTATTAAATTACCTAATTAATTAAATTATAGTCGCTTACTCACTTATACTAGAAAAAACATGCCATAGAAATTCCAAAAGTGCCTATAGATAGTTGATTTAGGGGGGGGGGGTAAAAGCTAAAGCACCAAACATCCCGTGAGTTAATCTTTTATTTTGATATGTTAACAAAATCGTATTGTATAGCTGGATGTCATCATGATTTTTGGATTATTCATTATTAGTTATCTATAGGTACCTAGTACATACCAAGGCGATTGCAGAATACAATATATACATTTATAAGTAAGTGCCTAATGAAGAATTATTAGCATTTAGCACCCACCATAAAAAGTCCTAGATCCACGTTTGTAGATATTTCCTACAACCTAAACAAAATATTTGATGAGAACATATTTTATTAAGGATTTATCGATTTCGCCGGCTATCGACTTAATATACAATAAATATAAGAAATAAAATGGTTAGAAACCTTGAAAATTGAATTTTTTTAATAAATTAGAGAAGAAACTGATCCACCTATGAAGAATTTTTGAAAATTTTATCCCTAAAATATGTAAAATTACAATGGGATGAAAGCCAACGTTTGGGGACAGGAAGCACTAAATTAGACCAAAATATACAATGTATACATACACTAAACTATATAGAGATAAAAACAGATAAAATCGCGAATAATACAGATAGTATTATATAATAATATATAATATTAAGTAGGTACTATTTATATTTTAAATCGTGTAACCAATAATATTGAATAAAAATGAAACACAATAAAACGATTGGTATTAAAAAAGCTTATTAAAGTTATAAACATGAAATTATTGACTTATTTTAAATATTAAGATTATTGTCTTAGGTATTCTATCAGCTATATTGGTAACTATACAAAAAAAATTTGTAAAAATCTCTAAAGCTGTCAGTGTAGCTTATAGCTTTTTAAAATATTCTAAATTTTGACGTTTTTTCCCTAACAAGGAAAATCATAAAATTACCAAACATCGTGTAAATCATCATAAAATAACATGTAGGAAAATTTCGTTTTAAACTTTTTTTTTATAGTATATCATTTTCGTGTCCAAGAATGTTTTTAATCGTTTTATAGAAGTTTTAGTATCCCATTTTAATATTTGAAATCAAGCCAATTGATTTACTTTTTTTTTAGAGTTCCGGGGGAATTTCATAGAGTACAATATTAAATATTGTTAATAATTTTAAATAAAGAGAAATATTATCATTTGTAGGAGGGATGTAATGTTTTCAACTCGGAAGACATTTTCGTGTTGCATGTTTTTATCCCCTGCTTACATTACTTACGTATTATAAGTCCGTTTCATAATATACTTGTAAATTATATACAATTTACTAAATTAATAAATAAATAAGTAAAATAATTAATTAAATTGCCTCCCTCCCTGAGTATTTTTTTAGAACATAATATATATTGTGTTATACAATATTTACTTTTAGATATTAGGTAGGTACTTAGGTGTACCTACACAGAAAATGTTTTTAATAATTATTGTATGTGCTCTAAATCAATACAGTTTAGTAATATAAACTATTGTCTGAAATATTATAATGCCGATACTTAATTGTTAATTGCACTTAAAAATAACTATCAGACACTATTTAAAGTCGTACGATAATAATAATAATATTAATATAATATTAATAATAACATAAGAAGGTGGATTTTTAATAAGGAATTTCTGTGTAGGTAGTACCTATTTAGAAAAAAAAAACCAAATCAATTAGATTAAACTTTGTACAGACTCTATAAAATATAATTTTTATACTATATTGTAATATTGCACATTATTCTTATGACGTCGTGTTGGTCAAGTATATTGTAATAATAATTAAAGACCAGATTTAATTGATATTACAACTTTTTTTACAATAAAGATAAATGAGATCCGATTAAATATATAGCCGATATATACTAAAAATATTCTGCCTATTTTATTTTATAATGCAATTTTTTCAATTTTCAACGTTTTTGCAATTTTCCCACGTTTTTAAATCACAGGCGTTTATCATTCGTCTAGAATTGTCTAGAAACTTGGAGAGCCCAGCGAGCGATAAGCGTCTATTTATATATGGTGGCACTATCGAAATAAATAAATGCAAAAAAAAATGCCGGATGTACCTTTACCACCCGAACCTATTATTACAAGATGGGGAACATAGTTAAATGCTGCACTTTTCTATGCAAATAATTTTGAAAAGTTTAAAAACCTGATGGAAAGTTTAACAGATGATGCTATACAAGTGTCGACAAGCTTAAACAGCTTGCACAAAATAATGCAGTCAAATGAAGTTTAGCCTGCATAAAATTACACTTAACCCAGGCATCCATAAATATTAAAAATTTGGAAGAATCAAATAATGAACTACTGAAAAGCATGGATATTTTTAGAAAATTTGAAGATATTTTAACAAATATTCCTGGTCCAAATGGGGAAAAACTTAAATAAAAACGTATGTATGTAATTTAAAAAAATGAAGGGTATAAAACTTTATAGTCTTACTATGATGTCATGTCAGGTAAAGCAAATGTTAATTTAGATAATACTTTATTAAGTTGTTTTAAATATCCACCAATAGCTAGCGTAGTCGTAGAACATAGTTTTTCTTTGTACAAATATATTTTAAGTAATAAAATATTTAATTTTAATGAAAATAATATAGAAATGTATATAATTAAAAAAAGTAATATTTATTTAATTATTTTTATATAAATTTTGCTTTTTTATAGTGCAATTTATTATGCAATTTGTGTGTGTTTTAAATGCAATTAAATCCGGTCTTTAGTAATGATATTATATTGTTATTTTTGCTGTCGTATAAATCCTATACGTAGGTAGATATTATGTATTATACAGCTAAACGTAGAAAAACATAATTTTAACATTCTCATATTTTCTTATCTGTATGTATAGTATATAATATTATTATATACCTACCTAATATATTATAGTATACAATATGTAAAAACTATAAAATATTACTAATAGCTATATTTTTATTATTATTATTATTATTAGGGGTCAATATATTAATTAGCTTTACCGCAGCAGTATGTTTGTTTCAACTCTCACTATGTATACCTATTATATATTATTATCAGCATAGTATAGGTCTGTTTTTTTTCTTTTTGCCTCGGTGACCGTTAGACGCCATTTCGCTCGTTTTACGTTTAGTGATTAATCTGTTCGGGTTGTATGGTGCTGTTGAACGTTTTTCTTCTCATCGTACTGCTGCTACAGTCTTATAGTGTCGTTGTGTTATAGTTGTTCTCTGTTCTTACGTGCTTGACGTGTTTTTAAATTAACAAGTTCGTTTTGCATGAATAATCTGCAGGTATAATTTATTGACGAAAAATATATTTTAATAATATGTAGGTAAAAAACGTTTTTTTTTTTTTTTAACTATTATAGTACCATTGGTCCCAGATAAAAAGAACTTTTTAAACTTTTTAACTAAATCAATTTTGTACACTTTTCTTTTTTAGCAAATAAAAAAAATGTAATATTTTTAAAAATACATATACTTGTTAATAAACTAATGCTCACATTTTTTAAATAAATTCACTAGTGCAATTTAGACCAGAAAATAGAGAGATAAAAAATTATGGTTTGACACATATCCTTGAGAACAAAGATATAAAATTACCTTATTATATTATTATTCTCTTTTCGGCCTAAACAAAAAATGTATTAGTTAAAATACCTAATTAATTACTAATTAGCCTAGTTATAATAATATGATATATACCATATATTGTATTATTGACAAAGCTACACTATCAACTGAATTCCGCTCAGAATTGTTTTTCGTTAACAATGGTTTATCGTTGCTTACAGATATACATTAAATTCCCGTCTGATCCTATCTTCCCAACTTCCCACCTACAACAGTGGCTGCACCCTCATGTGTATATCCATCCTTTTATGTCCTTTTTTATAATTTTTGACTACTAAGTACATACAACATATAATGAATCTTCTATTAAATTTTCAAGTATTTCTGTTTGTCAAACAATGATATTCACGTATAATACCTAACAAATAAAAACTACTTGAAAAATTCACAAACATAAAATTCCTACAAGTAGTTCAAAAATCTCTGAAACATTTTTAAAATTTTATCTCGTATAGAAAAGATAAATATAAGATTTCTACCGAAATTTTAAGTCTAAGAATATTTTTAACTGAATTACAACAAAAAACAAATTATGAAACCATTACTTCCGTAAACTTTACCACTTTTCTCTACCTTTTTTTCCGGTTTTGCTCAATTATTAAGAATACTACAATCAAAAAACGACTTACTTACTTACATCAAATAAATAAAAAATGCAACAAAAAAGGTCTCCTATTGTTTTTCGATTGGAGCAATATTTCTAGTAGAAAACATAGTGCGTACAAATTAAAAACAATGAAGTTGGTAACGCTGTGGATAGGCCATAATTTTCCAGAATGATAAAATATCGGGATTTAAAATTCCGGAACGTAAAATCATAAATCTCGATAATCCAGAACATAATATTTCGGAATCTACAACTTAAAAATCCGGAGTATAATAAGTCCTAAATTTAATATTCTATACTGTAAATTTCCGGAACATAATTCGGAATGTTCGTAATTAAGTAAAACCAATGGACAATGGTTCTAAAATGGTAACCTCCAGTATTTTCAATATATATATATAAGCATATGGCTTCGGCATAATTAAATAAATAAATAAACAAAACACGATAAATAAATAGATAAATAGATAAATAAATAAATAATAATAGCAATAATAAATAAGTAATAAGTAAATAGGTAAATAAACAAAAACGGTGACTAGAAACTAAAGACTAAGAATTTGGTAACTATTGGGTTAAGTTGTCTCATAGGCGAATAATCAGATTTTCCAGCCATTTAATCGCGTTTGCACTGCCTTCATGTATACCTCTCAAACCCCCATCGTATTTAGTTAAAGGGCATGTCTCAACTATATGCTTCGTTGTTTGGATATTTCCACAGCTACAAAGAGGTGACTCACTCATGCCCCAATTATGGAGTAAATAATTGCAACTACCATTAGCAGTTCTTATTCTATTTATTGTAGTCCATAATGATCGTGGAAAGTCAAATCCTGAGAGTTTCTGGGTAGGATCTACTACTAACTCAGCATNGTTGATAAATGTCCTCGTATACTGGGAGGTTTGGGTTTTTTTTAATTTTATTTAACAAGGAGTGGGTCGCTGCTTTTCTTCTCAGGTCAGCAGGAGCAATGTTTGCAAGAGCAGGGAGCCATTGTATTTGAGTACTTTTTACCGTTCCTGAGATAATTCTAATGGTATGGTTTAACTGCGTGTCGATTTTTTTACTGTGAGTGTTCCTTGTCCAAGCTGGCGCACAGTACTCTACTGCACTATACACGAGCGCCATGGCTGAGGTGCGTAAATCATTTGCTTTACAACCCCAGGTTGTACCTGCTAGTTTTGATATTATGTTATTCCGCGTTTTTAATTTATTTTTTAGACCTTCCAGGTGAGGTTTGAAAGTAAGGGCTCTGTCCAACTTTACTCCTAGGTATCTGGGGAAGTCTTCATTTGATATAACTTCCCCATTCACATTTACCATGATTTTATAATTTGCTAGTATTTTCAATTATATTTCGTCAATATCAAATTTTTTCGGTCGGCCTTTTCTTTTTGCCTGACCCCCTAGATCCAATGCAATTGTCTTTTCTAACTATTTTGCCTGCTTTCCCAAATTTTCCATCAACCTCTATTCTTCTTTTACGTTTTACACGTTTATTTTCTAGAAACCATTGATATTTTTTCGGAAAAATACAGTCTGGATTCTTATGCTTCGGGATTTTCCAAAATTCAACAAAAAGTTCTCTTATAATTTTTCAATTGTAACAAAAAAAATAAAAAAACACTTAGTAAAACCAATACCTCCCAAAGGCTCCACTCCGAATCTAAAATTGAGTCGAAAACTAAAACAAATAATATAATGCGTTAAAAGATTGGGTTGAAAATTTTGGTTTAAACTTTAATATTAATAAATGTTACTCTATGTAAATTTCGTTTTCATTTGGAATTTATTTACTCATTGTGTGACACTTATCTTGGTAATGGAGGTACAAAGGTCAATGATCTTGAGTTATTTATGATTGTAATTTGAGTTTTCCTATCTATTATATTGGTGGTACCTGCTTTAAAGCTTTAAAAGCCCTTGGATTTCTTAAACGGGTTTTAATGAATTGAAATTGCTTACCTCCTTCTACTAAAAGCCTTTATACATTAGTTAGATAGATTTTAGAGTTTTCTATTGTTATTTGGGATCCGCATACTGTTAGTGATATGTTTAAACTTAAAAGAGTTCAACGAAAGTTTTTAAATTATGTAGACTACTTGTTAAAAATTGAACATGGATCTCATAATGATTATGAGCTGGTGTCAAATAGATTATGTTTACAGTGTTTAATTGATAGGAGAGTATTAATGAACAAGGTATTTCCTACGTAAAGTTTATAGATTGGTCGATTGATTGTCCTGTGTTACTTTTAAAGGTTAATTTTAAAGTTTCTTGTTTCAAGATTCGTTCTCCTTATCCTTTTTTTTTGCCACTGTGTATGTCAACTTATTCCCGTGACCGACCAATTCATCAAATGATGCGTATTGCCAAACCCATCTGCTATATTTTGTTAACCATATTGTATTGCTATTCTGTGTTATCTGGGCGTATTCAATTGTATGTTTAATTTATGCAAATATTGTACTTCGGGCCGTGGCCCGTATTAAAATAAAATGTTATTAGTATTATCTTTTGTCCGATCTTAAATAGTTGGGACAAAGGCGTAGGAGAAGAAGAATAAGTATGACCTATCAAGTTTTAAATTTATTTCGATCTTGAAAAAAAATTTAATATTGTGTACCTAATATGAATTTTATAATATGTTTTTCAGCGCGTGTGTTTAAAAAACTCAATGTTACCTATAGATAAAATTACCTACACCGGTATAAATTAAAAGTATGTATTTTATTTTATTATTTTGGAGAAATATACTTTTAACTTATCGGCTAAACCATTTAAATTTAAATTGATTAATTTCATTACCTACGTTTAAAACATTAGGTACCTATATTGAATGTTTTTTTTCTTCTAAAAGCGCATTACGATATTATTAATACTTAAGTACTTAAGTAACATTTAATTATTATCATCTATTAAACATTTTTTCGGTAAAATGTATAAGAATATTTACTATCCATTCGGTGGACAAATTGTGTAAGTGTACCTACCTATATCATACTATCATATTATGAAAATATGAAAATAACCTTAAACGATCCCGTGTCCTATAGTTGCAATACTATTATCTATTCAGAATAACAATGAACTTTGAACCACTTGCTTATATTTTGATAATTTATAACCTGCGGAGACCTATATATTATGTACATATTAACCGCGATTATTTATTTCGTTATATTAATAGGTGCATTATTATATTTATCATTATATAGATAACGGTTTGCCGTGTGTACATACCTAAATACATATTTGTATACAATTTTTAATAAGTAATATTATAATATTATATTTATTCATATTTCTATATTTATGGTTGATATGAGGCGTCGACGATGAGGGAAACGGCTATTAGTGTTTTTTTTTTAGTTTAAAGCACATTAAATTTGTTGACTAATTTTATTATAAACCTACGTGATTAATTAATTTATTGTGCATAATATTGTGTTTATTTTTTTCATTTTCCATTACATAATATTCATTTTCACGTATTATCAATATTATTAGGCATATTAATATTTACTTGTATATTATTTCGTTGGATATTAGGTACCCCGTTACTAGTATAAGTAAGGTATACAAATATTATATTTTGTAATATTTCATCATTTGCATGGCGGGTAATTCTGATTATATTCAATTTTACTTTTATGTATTTGTAAAGTCTTGTATTATTATATTTTATTGGCAACATAAATGTTTGTCTGATGTTGTTTGCCAACTGCAATAATTATGTTGCCAAAGGCTAACACTTGCTCTTGAACTAGGTCCGACTGTCACTATTCTAGGGTACTAACTATACAGATCTCGATAAACGATATATTAGGTACCTACTTATAATGAACGTATTATTTGCCCATCGTTTCGCAATTTAATTTGACGTAATAACATTAATTTTGTTTTTCCAGACGCGGCCATCGTCATGACTAAAGATCACGCGAGTAAACGTTTTTATCGTGTAGATAGTAATTATGATTTTACTGCGTTTATGGACCGGGGACAATCAGCTTCGTACGAAAACCGATGGGTTTTCGAAACAGCTTGGGAAGTTTGCAACAAAGGTTTGTTTGTAAATACCTACTTTTATAATATTATATCTACTTATTTGAATAATTTAAATACTTAATACTAATAATGCAGTTGACTACAATAATTATAAGATGATCGGACGATTATTTATTTACGTATTTTTTTTGTATTAATATATAAGAGGGTACCTACCTGCTGAATTTGTCTAACTCATCGATTTTATCATGTACAGGGTAATGAATCTATCGTAAGACACTCGTTATCTCGGAAAGTATTAATTTTTTCTGGAATTTGTTTTCTAAAATATTTAAGAAACAAGCTGTTTTATAATTTTATACATGTTATTTTTTTGTCACCCTTATTTTTGGGGGTAAAACCACTACCTACTTTTGATTTTCAAATGGCAACTTATATTAAAAATTCTTTAAATGGATAAAGTATTAGTTAAAATATATTTTGATGTTGACCTGTTTGATTTCCGTCAATCCATTAACGAGATTTTCCACTGTTAGGAGGAGAATAGTGGCGACTCATTTGTGTGGCGGTACGGCGCGCGGTCTTAATAATACTCCACCACTCTCCCCCAACCCAAACTTAAAAGTGGAAAATCTTGTTAATAGATTTACCGAAATCAAAAATGTCAACCCTTAAATTTATTTTAAATAATATTCCATCTATTTATGGAATTTTTAATATAGGTCGTTAGTTAAAAATAGGTAATACTTTTACCCCTAAAAATATAGATGACAAAAAATAACATAAATATAAAATTTTAGAGCAGCTTGTTTCTTAAATATTCTAGAAAACAAATTCCGAAAAAAGTTAATACTTTCCGAGATAACTAGTGTCTTACGATCACGGTTATAAAGAACAGGTTATGCAACGCGGGCTGAATGGGCGGTCAGAACTCGTTACGGCGTAGTTTCATTAACTGTCGAACACTACTAGCCAGACGTGTTAAATTTCATATTATAATGAATTTATCTGTATAATGTATCACAGTCTGGGAACAATTTCACTTAAGTTACCAAATTATCACTTGAAGTCCGCAGTTGTCCGTATTTATAAATATTTTTTTAGGAACATAAGTATTTGAATGAATGTATACATAAATTTGAAACTAATGTTTCTTGAGGTTTTTTTTTACAACCAGCTTAAAAGTTTCAATTTATTTAAGTTTCAAAGAAAAAATGTTTGAAAAAATTGTGTGATATTATGTTCTATTGCAGTGCAATTATATCATAGTTCGTATCAAATACTATACTTTTTCTTCGTATTTGTATTTAATTTTTATTTAAATAATCTGTTAGAAAAAGAACAAATACCATTTAGATAAGTACTGTGGTGGCTTGAACTTTTTTTTCCTATGAAGTTACTACCTTAAATTAGTATATGAAACTACGCCGTAACGAGTTGTGACCGTGCAGTCGTGTACAAATCGTATTACCGATGACTAACCTGGTCTTTATAATTGTGCTTACGATAGATTGATCACTCTGTATACCTACTTATAATAAAATTATGTTCTGATGGTGAAAGTCAAATAATCTTTTATACATTTGCTATAATGACAAAAATCAAAAGTAGGATGCAGAAGAGATATTAAACGAATTTAATGTATTTTATGGAGATAATTTGGTCTCCGGATCATTTTTGCTTTTTTTTTTGGGAAGGGTGTGGAAGAGCACATAGTTTAAACACTAATGATTTTTCTATGCTATACTAAACATAATAATAACTCTTGTAGAGTATATCGACTGTCCTTAAATGTGTGTTAGGAGTTTTCTATAAATGTGTAATAATGTCTATATTTAGTTTTATATTTAGTTCCGAGCAGAGCGAGAAATGTATTGGTTTTAAAATGATATTTATTTTTTTTTATCCGTGGACAACTTTTCTACCAACAATTTCGATTCAATTTTCAATTATAACACTTTTTCTGAAAGAAAATTTGAATGGGGTGGTACATTGAGTAGATAACTTTTTGATTCCCAATAAATGAGAAAAACAAAGGAAAATGGAAAAATAGGTACAATATTAAACAAATATTATTAAAAAAAATATATAATATATTTGTAATTATTTTACCATAATATGACCTATATGGCTGTTTTTTGTTTACAAAACAACACTATTAACTGAACTCTGCTCAGAATCATTTTTCTTTAGCAATGGTTAATTGTTACAGTTATACATTAAGTTTCCCCTCTACCTTGCCAACTTTTCACCTACAACAGTGGCCCACCCATTGTGCAAAAGTATGTCCGTATCTGTTTTAATATTTATTTCATATTATGAACGAATTTCAGTCGGAGGGATTTACACAGTTATCAGATCAAAAGCGTTTGTCTCTACTGAAGAAATGGGAGAGCAATATTGTCTGTTGGGTCCATATAAAGAAAACTATGCGAGAACGGCTGTCGAAGAATTAGAATTCGAAGAGGGATCTCCATATCACACTGCAGTAACTGTACTGAGAGATCAAGGATTTAGGGTATGCCATATCAATACACGATATTAGTGGTGGATTTTCAACATTTTTCTGGTAGGGGTCCTGAAAAATAATATGCATTTTAAAGGTATCTGTTATTAGGTACCTCATTTTAGATGGCATTTTATTGAAATTAAATTTTTGTTTTGGGCCCCCACAAACACCTTGGACTCCCCCCTTAAATCCGCCACTGCATGATAATATTTATTTATAAGGACGGGAGCCAGAATTGTAAGAATATAGTATAGGTAATGCATTCTATAAGGAGATTTTCTGTGTCCAGTTGGACACACAGTAAAATCCATTGAACACCCAGTAGTGGAGTAAGTTTTTGTTTACTGTGAATACATTAGTAAGTATATGGTAAATAATTGAATTAGTAGATTTAATAATATTATATTTTTTATAGGAAATACTATCACTGATTCAAGGCCCAGATTGAACCCACGAGCTACTAAAAAAAGTCTCAAAATTATACTTATTTTTAATTGAATTAATGTCAGTTTGATCTATTTTGTATAGTTTTGAGCCGTGAAAATCTTAAAACTTGGTGGGCTGCTACTTCCCTTATCTGGTTCTAGTAGGGAAAGGGGTAACTGGGAATAATCTAAAAGTTAAGTTAAGGTGAAATTCGGTCAATCTGCTCATGGAAATTTATTTTAAAGGGAGGAGGATGGATAATAAACACAGTGTACTATTCATCAATAAATGTTTAGAATTGTTTACAATTTTTATAATAAAAGTATTGCAGTGATTTTAATATTTAATAGTTGGGATAAAACTTTCCAAATTTGTCCATTGATGGTAAAAGGAATTATTTACTAAAAATAATATAACAATAAAAAATATTATACTCTCTCAAATTGTGTCCCTCATTTACATTTACAAGCATTCAAAGAAATATGTACCTACAGATTTTTGTAAAAATTAAATTGTGTGTTAACATCTTATCCATGGGTGCATAGAAATCAAAGATATATATTTTTTTCGATATTTTGACATGTTTACCTTAATTTAAAAGCAATCAAAACCAAAATTCTGATTTAAATAATGCAAAATATTAAACTGGAAAAAATTCTCAAGTTAACCTCCCTAAATGTTTGGCTTAAATACCTTTAAATGACACTGAATATTAGTAAAATAACAACATCAAAATAAATTTTAAAAAAAATCGAAAGAGGAGAATTCAAAATATTATATTATTATTTTATTTTTTATACTACCTAATTATTTTTAGTTTTATGTAATACTGATGCGACTGCATTCAAATATATTATTTACACTTATATAGATTTCTGTACCAATGACTCTTATAAAATACTTTGTTTAATTCTGTTTATTGTTATGTTCTTCTTCTTCGTCTTCATCCTAACTATTTGATGTCAGCCATCCTAGTCCTAAACATCCACTTGACCCAATCTCACCTAGCATACACTGACTTTTCTCATATCATTTACTATCACATCAAATCTCCTTCTTTTCAGTCTCTTCCCCTTTTTCCTCCTACATCTATTTTCATTACAGTACTTGCTGTTTCAGATTCCTATTTCCCATGAAATGCCCAAACCATCCAGTTTATTTTTTTAATTTTACTTATTATAGAAGCCACACCTAAGCCACCTCTTATGTACTCTCATTCTTATCATATCTTTTCTCATCTCTGCTACATTCCATTCACTGTTTTATTTTTTTGTTTACTGCCTAAAACTTTAAATCATACAACATAGTTTCACAACACTTTTATAGAACTTTTAATCTCATTGGAATTCTCTTGTCACATAAAAAGCCTGATGCTCCTCTCCTCATTATTATATATGATATTCTCCTCCAAACATTGTTCTTTTGTACAAAACATCCTACCTAAAAACTCTCAACATCACCACTTATTGTCTTTATTGTCCTGTTTCTCCAAACCCATAATGTTTTACTTATGCTTATCATTAGTCCCTTTTCTTGTCAAGCTGTCAATCTGGGGCAACCCTATTTGTAGCCTCTTACAAGTAGAGATACTGTGAGAGTACTATGATCCCCTCCCATGTAAAGAGAATATTTATTATTATATTTTTTTTTGATTTGATAATGTTTAATAATTATCATTTCGAAAATTAGAACTGAGCAACTTGTAATATGATATCTTTATTTTATTAATTGTATGATTGTACCTCCTATACAGTCATTATAACCTTTAGACTATAATACTTACATATTAACTATTAAGTAGGTACTTTTTTCTGTATCATATCAAATTATAATCTTAATTAAATAAATAAAAACAGTTGTTGACAGGTCGGTGGTTAGTGGATGGTAGTCCACAAGTTATATTATTTGATATCGGTTCAGCAGCGTGGAAATTAGACCAATACAAACAATCTTTGTGGGATACTTGCAACATAGGTATTCCTCATTTGGACATAGAAGCTAACGATGCTGTTATTCTGGGATATTTAATATCAGAATTCCTGTCAGAAGTAAGTACAGATTGTATATTTATGTTTGTCTGTTTAAGAGCATATGAATTATTATGTGATGCATATAATTTTTTCATTTAAAACAAATTATTTGTGAATGATTTTTCAATTTTATAATTTTCCATTGTGTATTTTAATAATGAAACTCACTAACAATACTCATTGATATAATGATATAATGGTCACAGATTTTTCAATTTTCTATAAAAATAATACCTCATAATTATTAATATTGCTTTAATTAATGTTGAAATACATAATAATATAGGAAAATAAATATTTAGTTTAAAATGCAACAACCCCTTAATTGTTCAACTATTTAAATTTTGACCTCCTAAAATGTATATAGGTAATCAAGAGAACCTAACTGTACCTATTTAAAAAGGATTTAATATATGCCTACCTATATTATTTTCAGTTTCGTACAGCTGCTGCTGCTTATGTAGACTCTACACCACTGGTTATAGCTCATTTTCATGAATGGCAGGCTGGAATAGGATTAATAGCATTACGCACCAAGAAAGAACCAATAGCTACTGTATTCACAACCCACGCCACGTTATTGGGCCGTTATCTTTGTGCCGGAAACACTGACTTCTACAACAATTTGGAAAAAGTACTAGTATTATTATTCTTTTTTTAACCTTTTACACATGGTTTTTTGCAACCGTATGTATAATCTTTCCCTATAATATATCTTTGCTGTCTTCTATAATATTATGCATATTGTATATATATATATACATATAAACATACATGAGTAGCAGAGCTCGAATATTCCTCATTGACTTGTTACTGGTACAGTGTACAATATATATATATATATTTTTTTATGAGTGTAGGGGTATTTAAAATTTTATATTTCTTGTGAAAATACAAAATTTGAGTATACAAATAATTACGGAGGGTGTTGAAAGTCTGTAAGGTATATACAAAGTATTGTTGGATACGCAGCAAAATACCTATACCTATACCTGTACCTTTATACCTATACCTGTTATTATTTATACAGTTCAATCTCGACGAAGAAGCTGGTAAAAGACAAATTTATCACCGCTATTGTATGGAACGAGCTGCTGCGCATATTGCACACGTTTTTACAACAGTATCAGACATTACAGGAAAAGAATCCGAATATTTGCTATCCCGGAAGCCAGACATTATTACACCAAACGGGTTAAACGTGATCAAATTTTCAGCATTGCATGAATTTCAAAATCTCCATTCGACGTCCAAAGAGAAGATTCACGATTTTGTCCGTGGTCATTTCCACGGGTAATATATATTCTATATCCTATATTAATATAATACATATATTATAATATTATAAGAATCTAATTGTTTCAAACTTTTCCGCTTATACAACTTTTAAGTTTTAAACAGCTACACTTTTGTTTTTGACAGGCATTACAACTTCGATCTCGAGAAGACGTTGTATTTCTTTACAGCTGGAAGATACGAATTTTCCAATAAAGGAGCCGATATATTTATTGAAGCGCTGGCGCGTTTAAATCATTACTTGAAAGTATGTATCTGAGAAATTATACAAATAATGATTTCTTTTAATATAACAATGGTTTAATAATGTATCATGTGCTGCATAGAAGTAGATGTATTGTATCCTAGTTTTGAATAAAGAATGAATTTTCAATCTACGAGGTATCAAGAAGTTTAATCCCTCCTCGCATTATTCTTATTAGCAATGTATCACACTAATCAGTGCGAAAAATATACACATTTTGGTCTTTTTAATTGAACAAATTATCTATAACCCGTCCCATCTTCTATTCCATCTTAACCATCTGAAGTCTTAAAATTTGATCGTATTGAAAAAAATGAAAAACATTATTATTTTTTTAACTAAATAAAGTTATTTCTTATTTCAAAACCATAATTCTATTATATCTTTGTGTAATGGCTTTTTAAATGGAATAATTTTTCAGAGTGCAAATTCAGATATGACTGTTGTGGCATTCCTGATATTTCCAGCTCGCACTGACAACTTCAACGTGGAAAGTCTTCGTGGACACGCCGTTACAAAAAGTTTACGGGATACCATACTAGAAATACAAACGAAAATCGGCCGTAGGATCTATGAAATATGTTTAAGGTAAACATGATGTTTTTTTTTTTATATACAATATGTATAATGAAATCGGTAAAATGTACGCCGCCACCTTGTTAAAGCTGCACGATACCCCGACTCTAAGAAGATGCCTACCATCGTTTACTTAATCCAGTGGCTTTCAACTGATCTGCCGCGATTTTTTAAAAGTTTTTATTTTTAAGTGACCGATTACCTTGCATTGTAAATATAGGTATGAAAATAAATAAGGTTCAATCATAATGCATCTGCAATATTTGAAGTAAAAAATTAAATAATGACCTAAAGAAAAAACAATTAACAAATAAGTTGTTTGTTGCCGAAACATATACCGTGAAGAATTTTATGAAGAGCCGTGTTGTCGTGTATAAAAAAGGTTTAAAACTGATTTATACTAACTCTCGGTATACCATTTTCTCGATTTTTGAAATGTACACCGAGTTATTCTGAACGGCTTAACTTAACTTAAATCCGGATTTCGAATGATCGTCAAATCTAATTTTTGTATTATTTAAAACCGCTTTAAAAGTTTGTGGGCTCGGGTACATTAAAAATAAAAATAATACAAATATTCCTATACAAATATTTATTATTCATTTTCTAATTACTAGTACCATATATTATCTCTTTTACGTGTTTTTTATTATGATGACCACGCAGGGGTCGAATGCCAGTGGAAGAAGAATTGCTGACTAAAGACGATACTGTTCGGTTGAAAAGGTGTACGTATGCTTTGCAAAGGAATGATCTGCCTCCTGTGACCACGCATAACGTTGTCAACGACTGGAGCGATCCGGTATTGAACACCATCAGAAGGTGTAAATTGTTCAACACGACGTCTGACAAAGTGAAGGTGAGGGCGGAGGAGACCACTTATATTATAACCAAATATGCCCACTCGAGATTCAAAATAATGGGCGTAATCATTACTACCATGTATCTTCTCGGTTTAGATTGTGTTTCATCCAGAGTTCTTGTCATCCACCAACCCGTTGTTTGGGTTGGACTATGAGGAATTCGTGCGTGGTTGCCATCTAGGAGTGTTTCCTAGTTATTATGAACCGTGGGGATACACCCCCGCCGAATGCACAGTCATGGGAATCCCGTCAGTGACTACGAATTTGTCAGGTATTATAATATACTTTTATTTATGTCATATCCATATATTGTGGCACAAAATAGCAAAGAGTACTATTAGTGTAATGGTAAGAAGTTTTTTTTTCTATGAAACAATTTGAATGTAAAATTGTAAACAACCACACAAGCACAGAAGAATCAGGATCTATTTCTAAAGCCACTAAACGTTCTTGTACTTCATCTGTATAATAATAATTTAATGATAAATGTCTCACCCACACACTTTATTTAATCAAAAAGCAACTGCTTCATAGGATACCCATTCACATCACCCCTGGTAATCTCTATTTTATTTTTCATACATTATTGTTCTCAACAACAAATCATTTTAAGAAATAGATTATTTATTAATTTGTCAAACCAAAAAATTATCTTATCCCCTTCCTCCAACTGTAAACTAACCAAGACATAATAAAACACCCTTGCATGTGTAACTATGTAGTGCCTGTGCACTACAAAAAAAACATCTATTAAAAATTAATAGTTGACAACATTTCGAAGCACAAGATAATGTGGATTAAAAATATACATTATATATATATATTTTTTCTTTGAAAAGTTGCATTTATTTTAGAGTATTAAAACAGTTATTATTTCAAACATTATGTGTTAATAGCAGTTTATTTAAAATAATGAAAAAAACCTGGCAGTATCTTGTGTCTTTTCGGAATGTTGTTATCTTTTAATTGTAATATTGGTGATTTCACTAGAAGATCAAAATTAAGTGAAATCAATTGATCTCTAAACAGGATAATAATCCTGTTTATATCATTATAATATTGTTCAGGTTTCGGTTGTTTTATGGAGCAACGTATTGCTGACCCGATGAGTTATGGGATTTATATTGTGGACCGTCAAAACATCAGCGTTGAGGAATCTGTCAGGCAGTTGGCCCAGTACATGTACGATTTTGCGAGAATGAGTCGTAGACAACGAGTTATCCAGCGTAACCGTACTGAAAGATTGAGTGACTTGTTGGATTGGCGTAATTTGGGCATTGTAAGGTTATCATAGTTTATTTTGACATAATAGCCCAAATATTTTTTGTCTTTTAGAAGTTAAACACTCACAACTCCCTCTCCTATTTGCACCAATGCATTTTGTCAAATCTATATACTAATAGAATTTACATGTTTCATGATTTCCAGTATTACAGGCAAGCCAGGTTAAAAGCGTTGTCGCAGGTGTTCCCGGATATGTTTGATAAAGAAACGGAAATGTTGTGCATCACAGAAGCATCGCGACGCCGATATAACTATCCCCGTCCATATTCTGAACCACCATCACCTACAAGCAGCCGACTCACTACACCAGGCGCTTCGCTGCATGGATCAGACGATGAAGATGTAGATGATGAGCGTGAGGTAATTACATCTAATCATATTGATATTTTATTTAATTCAGTTTGTATGGAAACGAAACAAATAAATCATTAAGCCATTGAGACAGTAATTCAGTTAAAAATATTTGTAGACTTGAAATGTAGACAGAAAGCTTTTTACCTATTCTAGGCATGGTAACATTTTCAAATCATATAAGCCATTCAATTTTTTGAATGTACGTATATTGCCAATTTAAGAATGATAGTAAAGTCAGACTATAGAGAAATTGAGCAGATTAACTTAACTTAGTGTTGAAATTCTGATATTATTTTGATATTATATGTGTTATGTTAGTCAATATTGTCATTTTTATAATATGTCTATTGTAGTCTTTAATGGTGGTACTTACTTGTGATTGCAGTGGTTTAGCTTTTTTTCATTATTATATTCTTAATGGGCTCTTTACCTGAAGTAAAATTAATTTTCAAAAAAGCGTTGTAAATATGTGTATTTAATAAAATTATTTTTCTGGTTTTTATCAAAAAGTATGATTGTCATTTGGCTCAGCCAAAATGGTTAAATAACATTTCTAATTTTCCACATAATAATATTATTATTATTGTATCTAAAGAATTTTTAATTGTTTACAGTATTAAAGTTTGAACATTTTAGATATTTTTCTATTATATTTAATTTTGTTTGGAGTCGCTTTACTCTATTAATAATATATTATTTTTTTCAGCTTGCAGAGCTCTCAGAACATTTGAGCCATTAATTGTACATATGTTATTGTTACAATAAATATTATATTTAACACTTAGTGCTTCCAAAGTATGTATATTTTTTGTTTCAAACTTGTTTCCCATGTGAAATGTTCTTAGTTAATAACAGAAATAAAAATATATATTTTTTACTAAAAAATTTCTTTATTTATAAGAGTTAAATTGTCACTCAGTTTTTAGTATATAAAAATATAATTAATTAGTACAATATAGTATTTGTTCAAATTGAGAATCAATTAATTACATTATATAAGTCTTTAACAATCTTTAAACAATAATGTTTTGTTATGGCATTGCTCAGTTCACATTAAAGGAGGAAGCAATTATAGTATACATATTACTTAAAAATAAAAAAATATTGACAAACAATAATGAACAAATAGTCAATTGATAACTTATTCTAAGTAGGACATAATTTGATCATATTATCACATATAATCAATTGAACAAATTCGTATTTTAAAAAAAAATTATTACAAACAACGAATAAATCAACAAATTGTACAACTTGTGTAGTAAAAATTTTACTCATAATTATATAAAATAATAGTAAAAACAATCCTTATCTTATATAATTGGATCCCAACAAATACAAATGTATATATAAATGGTTATGTAAAGTAACTTTGAAATTCTTATAATTTACTTCTTAAATACTTAAGACATTTATTTTATTACTAAAAACTTCATTGAATAACTTATTCAATAATAGTTAAATCTTAGTTTGTAAGTAAATATAATCCATGTTTTTAATGAGACTATTGTTTGGAACTAAATGATCCAATTATTATTGATAAAGAGAGTATGGTGTAGACACTAATCTCCTCTAAATTATTAATAACAATAAAATGTTTAACAATGTCTTAAACAGCTATTAGGAGAGGGTGGTGGTGCATTAGGGCTAAAATAAGTACTTGAGGAAGGCGAATGTGATCGAGGAGTGGGAGGAGGAGGGCAAGGTTCAATAGGCAATGCAAAATCTGAATCATAAACATCTGTAGGCACATCGGTTTGTGAACACAATGTGGGGCATGGAGGTTCATATCGCTCATCATATCGCATATACTGAGTTGTTCGAATGTAATTGTTTGTTTGCATTGTTATGGTCGTAGTGGGACTGGGTGGAGGATTCAGAGGGCTACAGTTTGATGGTGTGATCATATCAATATGTGTACCATTTTGCATTGCTGTATAAGCAGAAGTTGAAGAATATTGTCTGGGCATCACTGGTATAGCTGTGTAAGTAACTATATGGTTATTATTACTTGTCATACTAGGAGTACTATCCATATCACTACAAAAAAAAAAAAAAAAAAAAAAACACTTAATAATAACACACACCCACTTTTATAAGGGAGACAATCATAAATGACATACCTTTTGGCACAGCGGTAAATAATCACCAACAGCAAACTGAATATTGTCATAAAAAAAATTATTGTGAAAAATAGAGTCCCTTTGAAGGATTTATCACCAGCAGCAATAATATTTTGGCCCACATTTCTTATTAGCGAACATGCCATCTCTGTTTCATCTGATCCATCAATACACTGTTTCCAACCATCACATACTTCCTTAATGGGAATGCACAGACCATTAGAAATACATTGGTATTTATCATTAGACAGTGAACTGGCTTCGCAGCACCGAGATTCATCAGAACCATCAACACACTGTTTTGTACCATCACACACCCATTTTTTATCTGAAAAATGTACCACTATTTATGAGTTCACTGGGAGATATAATAGAAAAACAATTGTTTAAATTAAATAATGAAGCAGTTCATTGATTTTTACCAAAAATATTATAAAGACAACAATTAGTTTTTAAATTATTAGTTTTGTATACAAGAAAGTGAAACTAAAGAGAATGAGAATAGTCCAAAATAAATTTCATATACATTTTTACCAATTGATTATTAATAATAACAATAATAAATTATTAAAATTTAAAATATTAGAATACAATATTATTTTACTATACAAAATGTGTTCATTATTCTTTTAGTTTTTTTTGTTAAAATTATATTATTAATTAAGCATACACATAGAAGCAATAAATAAGGAATTTTGCCCATTTGAAATATTTTCTAACATACTGCTCTGAGAAAGATCAATACAATACACACCTATACAATGGCCGTCCAAACATTTAAATTGATGTCTGTTGCATTCTGAACAGTTAACTTCATCTGAACCATCATGGCAGTCGGTTTGACCATCACAACGCCATATCATTGGCATGCATTCTGGGCTCAATGAGTTACATATAAACTGTTCAGGACCGCATACTGGTACATTGACACATTGGTGGTCACTCATTATTAAGCCTAATGGACAAGAGCACTCATAGTTGTTTAATGTTGTTTCATTCGCTGGAGTCACAACGCATATATGTGAACAAGCACCATGCTTGTTCATTGAACTACATGGATGTGATGCTAAAACCTAAAACAATAATATGTTATTTTATAATATTATAAACAGTAAAAATATTAAATAACTAATTGGATATTCATATCACTAAGAAACTATCAAATTGAAAAAATTAAATTGCAATGAAATATGGAAAATAAAAATAAAAATAATGTGTATTGATATAAATAAATCACCTCTAGAGTAGGAATATATATTGCAATAATATCAATTAAATGTGGAGTTTGGTGCATTACAGTACTTCCTTCACCAAGAACACCAGTAGATTTATTAACTCTCTCCACAACTTGTCTTTCCTTATCGATCCAATACAAATAGGGTCCAAGAACAGCTACATTAGTAATAAGGGCACCATCCAAAGAAATTAATGTCCTCCTTGAAAGCCAGAAAAAAAATGTATTAATAAATATTATCTAAAATGTAAAATTGGTGTTTAAAAAATTAAAATTACTAAGTTTTGGTCTGTGAAAAAAAAGTGATTTTAAAATAAAAATATATTAAGTTGAATTTCTCTGATTAAATAAATGTATACAAATAGGAAACTAAAAAAAATTGATAACTTAATTTTCCTAATTCTATTTTAAAAGTATAAGTAACAAATTAATTTATTACCTTTGATAACCATGAATATCACAAACATCAACTTTACTTGAATATGAAAAATACACCATATTTTGTACCCTATCAACAGTAAGAGCTTCAAGAGATAACAAATCAGATGCAATAATAACTCTGCTATGACCATCAATACGAGCTCTTATTACTCTGTGTTGACTTCCCAAATCAGTCCAATAAATATAACTTTATATATAAATAAAATAAAAACAAATTAATATATTAGTCAACTTGGAATTATAAAAATATGCATACTAGTGACTATAATATTATAATGAATATATTACCCTTTTTCAGGATGCAATGCCAAATTTCTTGGTTTTTCACCATCATAACTTTTATATATTGATCCTTGAAAGCTACTATTTGTTAATTTGGTCATGTTAATTGTATCAGTTGCAGAGCAAGACCAAAATAATAATCTATTGAAGGGATCTAAGGCAAGATCATATAAAATGAATGTATATCCATTATTTCCAATAAACGTATTAGAATTAGAACCATTCTCGTGGCAACGTTTTATCATCTGTGTCCTACCATCAATCTATATTAGTTAAATAATGTGTAGAAAACTGTTATCAGGGTTCTTTAGAAATTAATAATAGTAATTAATTTTACCCAATATATCATATGCGATATAGGATCATATTCAACAGCTTTCACGTTTTTCAATCCAATAACAGGCAATGATGAATCAGAAGAATCTTCTATGTCCATAACTACTCTATAAAATGTAGTTTTCTGTGCCACAATTAAAAAACTGTTTGGTGCTACATAACAAACCATATTAGTTCAATTATTTAACTTATAAATATGTACTTGAATTTAATTTTAAACACTTTTTATTATTATTAAATTGATCTTATTTACATACAAGTAAAAAATATTCTTTACCTGAACAAGTGTTATTTTTAAATAGTGTGAAATGTGTTTCACATGAACACTGATAAGACATCGGTCCATACTCATTTAATGAACCTTTCACAAGACACAATTGTTGACATCCTCCATTGTTTATGGCACAAGGGTTTGTTCCTTGCTGACTTGATTTATCGTATGTGATTAAATCAGAAACACGGTCTAAATTTGTTTTACTCTGTTTTAAAACTATACCACTTTGAATATTGATTTGAAAATAAGTTCCATTCAGCCAATCTAGCCAATACAATGAACCCTAAATTGTCAAATAATTATTATTTTATTGATAATATTTATTTTGTATTGATTATTCATTTTAACCTTAAAATATGTTAATGCGGAAGGATACCCAAAAGTGATAGATGCAATTTTATTTTGCCATCTTCCTTCTAAATCAATACTTTCAATAGATCCAGTATTTGATATCAAGGTTGACCAATAAATAAGGCCATTATCATAATCTAAAGTAATACTAATGACTCTGCCAATCTTATTTACTAATGAAATTTTGCTCTCTCCATTCATTGACGATTTTTGAATTGAACCAGTTACGCCATCATATTCACTCCAGTACATATACCTAATAATTATAAAGACATTATATTTATATGTTAATGTAGTAAATTTTATTACAACAAAATATACAATTTTATTTTTTAGAGTTAAAATAAATTATTAATATATTATTCTTACCCTCTTTTAGGATCAAGCAATAAATTTTTTGGATATTTGATATCATTCCATAGTAAAACTTTACGCATAGTCCCGTCTAATCTAGAAACCTCAATGCGTTTGGTTCCGGAATCACACCAGTATAAGTTTCCTCCAATCCAATCAACAGCCAATCCTTAATAAAATACATAATTTGAGACAAGATAATTTACAAGATATTGACTAAATATTTTAAATATATTTAACAAAGACAATTAATTTTAACAAAATTACCTTCTGGAGATTGAAGGCCAAAAGTAATTATTCTCTCTGGCATTGACCCATTCAAAAATACTCTATTGATTGTTTTTAACTTTATATCAGCCCAATAAACTCGTTTATTTGCAATATGTACATCAACAGCACTACATAAATGTATTATATTTAATAATAATAATGATAATAATAACAAACAAATTGAATAAAATTCACCTGGCTTCTTTCAATCCAGCTATAGGTATAACATCAGAATAATGGATATTTTCTGTACTTAATATTCCAACATGCTCAAGTCGAGAATAAATTAAAAATGTTGTAGATAAAATGCAAGTTTTATTGTCTAAAGCCAATTCATAATCTAGTTATAAAACAAATCAAATAAATATATTACGTTTGAATATAATACTACACTATTATCTGCTGTTTCCATCTTACAAATGTAAACATCAAATTTATGTTTAGGACATATTTTATGCCATTAGTTGTAATATAAAGAGGACAGTATACTCCCATCTACTGGTCTCAATCTAACTACCAGGTAACATGCAAAACCAATATTTTGCAGAATAAGTAAAACTACATTAATTTTGATTTTAGAGTAAAGTATCTATTATGAAATTTTGAACACCATTTTGGAGGAAATATCATAGGGTTTTGGTATTATTAAAAATATACAGCTTGATATACAAAATACAAAAACCTTTATATTTTTTATTTTTAAATAACAGTAATTTTTTTAATAGTTCATAATTCAAAAAACAGTCATGACATTTCCTCCAAAATATTGTTCTTTATAAACTTCATAGTAATTAATTTTAGTCTAATATCAAAATTAAGGTAGTTTTACTTATTCTGCGCAAGCATTGTTTTTGTATGTTACCTAGTAGTTGAACTGAGACAGTAGATGCGGGTATATCATATTAATACAAATTGATTTAAGACCAAGATTAATGGTAAGAATATGTGCCCTAGCATCAGTTTTTTTTTTCGATATTTTTATTTTTAAGAGATGAGTATGTAAAATATCACAATTTAAAAATGATTAAATCTTAAAAATTAAAATATTGAAAAAAAAAAACAACAACAAATAAATGCGGATGTCATCCTTTTAAAATAAATTATACCAGTAAATACATTAATAAAATAAGTAACAAAAAATGTATATTTTATTATTTTAAAATAATATAAATAATTTAAAATTAATCAATAATTACCTATTTCACAAGCACAATAGAAATCTCCTTTAGGTAGGTAAAAACAAAGTTGAGAACAGTTGCCATTATTATTACTGCATGCATTGCCATTTGAAGGTTCTTTCAAACTAACAGCTTTTACGCCCATTAAATTTGGTAGTTGATCGATAATTACTTTACGGTCCGATCCAGTGTTTTTATTTATTCTGTCAATGGTACGACGCTGCCAGTCTGTCCAATAGAGATAATCACCTAATTGGGTCAAACCAAACACATGGGGCATATTTTCACTTACAAGTTCCCTGCGTTCTAATCCATTCATATTTACTACCTGTGAAATAAAACTTATTTTTAATAATTTTTTTTTTAACTTCTGCTTCAGTATTTTAGAAATTTAGTTATTTACATTTATTAAATTAAATTCAATTGCAGTTTAAAATATATTTTGTTTTTTATCCAACTTATATATTATTTTAACTCAAATTTTAAAATTAATCAATTATTTTAGATTGCATGTATTCATTTGTTTTTAAGTAATAATATATTATAAAGAATTGTTTAAACATACTTCTATTCTGTCAGTTTTAGCATCACAAAAATAAAGATTTCTTGAAGGAATATCCAAAGTTATTCCATTTGGCCATCCTAAATTGTCTTTAAGTAAAACTATCCTATTGCTTCCATCTAAATTTGAACGTTCGATTTTAGGTCTTTTATCATACCAATCAGACCAAAAAAGCCAACCTAATTCTGGAGCAATAGCAATACCACGAGGTTCCACCAAATCATTAGCAATTATAACCTGAACCACAGAAAACCAATGTTCCATCATATAAATTTGAACAAGTACATGAATATGCATGAATATTTTAATTACTTTTCTATGTTTTCCATTTAATCTAGCAACTTCAATTCTATCTGTTCCTGTATCTGTCCAGTATATATTTCGAGCGGCCCAATCAACTGCTACTCCGTCTGGATGATATATTTCATTGGAAATGACAACTCCCTGGTGACTGCCATTCATTTTTGCTCGTTGGATCATCTTAATCTAAATTTAATGAAAAATTGCAATTATTTGATTTATCATTATTTACGATATAAGGAACAATATAAAATTAAATAATAATTACTTCATCATCAGTCCAATAAATATTTCCTTCAATAGGATCGTAATCAATTGCAATAGCATGAGCCAATCCAGTAAGAGGTACAGCAATAATAGAATGATCTGGAGAATCTAGCGATATTTGACAAATATCAGTTTTTTGCACAAGAAATAAAACATCCTGAACACCTATAAAATAAATTACAATTCAAAATAGAACTATTTTAAAAATAGTTATTACAATTTAACAAACCATCGGCACACTTATGATAATCTATAAGCTTGATTCCTGTAGAACAAGCACATGAATAGCCAGGACTGTTTGGAGACAAAAGACATAAATCAGAACAACCTCCATTATTTTTATCACATGGAGTAACTTTCTCTGGTTGGCGAGCAGCATTCCACACACGAATATCCATGGGAACATTGTTACTATGAATAATTTCATGACTAATTCCACCCGCTCTACGATCTACTACATGAATTGACCTATATAAAAATTTTAAAAGAACTATTAAGTAAAATAATTATTTTGTATTTAGTTATTGATTTTATAAACTTAAATTTTAGAAAATCTAAAATGGTGTTTAATTTATAATTGGTAAAACCATAAAAAAAAAAAAACCACTAAATTATTTTTCTACAGAAGTTAATAAAATAAAATAATTTCATTCTTCAACCACTAAATTTTTTTTTTTAATTGTTGTTTCACCAACTTGTAACCATTGCTTCTCTATACATATATTATTTATTGTAGCTAATTTTTATTACAAAATTGCAACAAAAATAAATAAAAAATCAGTATTCTTAAAGTATAAGAGATATCCAACAATCAAATACTTTTTTTTTTACAATGAATTTTTGTACTGAATAAAACTAAAATACACCTTTAAAAGTAAAATTAATTCTATTTTCATAATAATTGTATCTACTACTACCCAGAAAATTTTGGAAATAACTTAAATTAATATAAGATGTTCTGATATTATCTAGTCTATTATTAATATTTACTAAATATTATAGATCATCTATAGTATTTATTTTATCAAAACTTATATGAAAAAAGTAAAAATAACTTTAAACAAACCAGGTTTTCCAATCAGTCCAATACAATTTTTCTTGATAGAGAGCAATTCCAAATGGATATGGTACTCCTTTTCCAAGAATGGTCTTTCTATTTCTACCATCGTAATCCATCATCTAAATAAAAAAATATTTCATATTTAAAAATAGTAAAACTAAATGTATATAATATACTAACATCGATAAAACCAAGTTTTCCATCAACCCAGTATATGTGTTGTTTATTGTAATCTATGGTTAAACCATTTGGCCAAAATATATTATCATTGACTATAGTTTTACGTGTGGTTAAATCACCATTCATTCCTGCGCGTTCAATTTTTGGGACTTCACCCCAATCAGTCCAAAACATTATGCTATAATACAATATTTGAGAATTATTAATATCACAATAAAAATATATGTAAATTTATCATAATATATAATATTATTTTCAACATAGCATACCCATCCATAGGAACTAAAGCTATGGCACGTGGTTGGTCAATATCTTCCCAATAAAGCACTTTCCTTAATTTACCGTCCAATGATGCTACTTCGATTCTATTAGTGTCTCCATCAGTCCAGTATAGCTTTTTAGTTAGCCAGTCACAAGCTAAACCATCTGGTGTTACAATTCCAGTATTTAAAACTGCTACCTATTTAGTAAAAATTTAACTATTATGAACTTGAGGATTAAACATTTTTTTATCGCTATTAAATATTCTATTTTTATCTACTTTAAATATCTATGTAACTGATGAAAAAAAAATGTATTATACCAATAATAATTGTTAGCCTACAATTTTTTTTACAATAAGTAAAGTTATTTTTTTTTATTAATATACTTTAATTGTAAAATGAAATAATAAGTAATAATTAGGTAGATAAGTACTTTAATTAATTAATAAACTGAATTTTTACCTTATTATTAGCATGTGTTCCATTGTAAGAAACGCATTGAATCGATTCTTGACCATGGTCAGCCCAGCATAACAAAGATCCTTTGTAATAATAATCAATTGCGCTTCCTTCTATTAAGTCCTGTATTTTCAAATAACAAACATATGTATAATTATTAGGTACTTATTTAAAAATAGTACTAATAATTATTTAGGTTTTTCCTTTAATCATTCAATTTAGTTTTTTTTTTCTGGTAATATAATTTAGAATGATAATTATAATTCTTCAATTATTGAAAAATGTTAATTTTATGAAAAAATCATAAACCCACTTATACATAATGATAACAAAAAAAACCAACAAAAACTATTTAATGGAAAATAATTATTTAAACTAAAATACAACATAACAATGAAAGTAAAAACATGAAATTTAAATTTAAAATAATACAAAATCAAAATTCCAGTTCCTAGTTATTTAGTTATGGGGAAACTTCATTAGTTAAAGCATATAATTATGTTTTAATTTGACTAAAAAGTATAGATTAGTATTACAAGTATACTTACTTTAACAATAACACTAATTTTTGTCATTTTTGACATATTAGCCATTCGTATGTCTTTAGAAGTTGTGTATATTAAATTTGGATAACCTAAAACAATATATTAAAAATATAAAATTGATTTGTAAAGTTACTTGTTAATTTTAATTCTATTTAATAGTCTTTATTTGATAACTTCTGGTTTTTTTCGACTACCCTATAAAAATGCTAGTTTCAATCACTAAACAATTAATTACACTTACAATTTCATAAATCCTTAAACATGCTGAAATACAGAATATTAAACAGTTTTAGGGATCAACTAAATGACAAAAATAAAAAAACATAAGGGTACAACTCATCAATAACTTGATCGTTTATTTAGTTGAATTTTGTGTCACCAAATTCAAGATGATCTATTCATTGAAATACTAACAAGTATATCACATTTTCCTCCACGTGTAAATTATTAATTTAGTGTAATATTATCAATTGTGAATTTTAATAATACAATTTTAAATTTTTTATATTTTTGCAAACATGTGATACCTCAAATAGGTAATAAATATGAATATTCAATACTTTTATTTTGTTGTGTAGTTTTTAATAATGATTTAACATTAATAGTCTACCTTATATGCAGGTAGTCAAGATAACTGAGAGAAGTACTTAAGATTTAAATCTGAAAACATTTTTTTTAAAAATTTAAGAAATTTTAAATTAAGTGTGTTTAAATAGAAGCATCAGGTGCTTTATGTGACAAGAAAATTCCATTGAGATTTAAGGTAAGTTCTACAAAAGTGTGGTGAGACTATATTGTACAGTTCAGTGTTGGGCGGTAAGACAAAAAAAAGTAGAACCGAGAATGAATGTAGCGGATATGAGAATGTATAGGTAGATGAGTGTAGTGGCATGAGAAAATAAGATTAAAAAATGAGTACATAACAAGTAGCATAGGAATAGGCTTTGATAGAGGACAAAATGAAAGAAAATAGACTGAAATAGTTTGGGCATGTCACGAGGAAAAAAGAGTTAGAAGTAGTAAGAATGGTAATAAAAATAAATATAGAAAAAGATGGGAAGAAGAATACTAAAAAATAGGTGGTTAGATGTGATTCAAAATGATATAAAGATAAGATTTATTGGATAACCTGGAAAATTAAGACAATGGTGGCTAACCCCAAATGGTTGAGATGATGGGGAAGAAGAAAAATTAAGACTGAATAGATAAAAAAGAACCTAATTTTAAAATGTAAATAGAATTATATAGGTACATTATAAAATATAATTAATACTAATTTAAATTGTTGTAGATTATCAATAATAATAATTAATTTGTACAGGTAACAAAATGTAAACGAAACAAGTGAAGTAAGAAAGTACTAACTGTAAAAGCATTTATCACAAGTAGGTATACTTTTCAATAAAAAAATAGAAATTTGAAAAACTTATCTATAGTCTGTCCCACGAGATAAGGCCGCTTCTGCACATGTATAATGTTAAAACTGATTTCGAGCGTCGACCGGCGGGTGATCAACGAGCAAGGTTACGGTGTGGGGGTGTGCGGTTTCTGTCAGCAAACTGTTCAATGTCTCGAGGGACAAACTATAGGTATATGTTTTTAATATGAATATCCTTCAAAATGTAAGTATTATAAATACATTTCTTTTTAACCAAGTATTTAAACAATGCCTATATTATTAAATTTTAAATGGCTATCTTGTTGTATGTATATTACCACTTGATTACGGTAGTATTTATAATTTATTTACACACCAAAGTTTATCACTCTCTCGCCTACAACCTATACTCAATGTAATCTGTGTTTCCCATTTAATTTGTTAACCCTTGTAAATCTTTATTTTTTAATAATATACCTATAATTAATAATAATAATAATAAATATATAAAGTAAGACGTCCAATACACTCACTCATCAACGTCCAGACCAAACGGCTGGGTCTAGACTTTGAATTTTGCACAGAGGTTCCTTACACAATGAAGGCGCGCACTAAGAAAAGATTTTCCAAAATTCAACCCATAAAGAGGTTAAAAAAGATAATATTATATTCATCATCGCCTAGCCTAAACTACTGGACGGAATGGGCTGAAATTTAATATACAGATAGCTTTTATGACGAAGGTATCTAAGGAAGGATTTTTGAGAATTCAACCACTATGAGGTAAACAGAGGTTTTCAGGTATTTTTGGTACGAAAATCTAATATTATTTATTTATTTATTTTTGTTTATTTGTGGGTTACCTTGGTTAATTTGGTTGTTATGGACAAAAAACTATTAAAAGGGAACAGGAAAAAACAACCTAATACAGGACAAAATATAATGGCCAAATATATATATAAAATAAGATGTCCGATACACTCACTCACTCAACACCCAGTTAGTTCACCTACCAGCTTACTCACCCTTGCCCCTAACGGAAGAATGACCAACAAGGTCTATAAGGAGGAGCTTCAATAAAAAAAAAATAATAATAATAATAATATTCACAGCCTATAAATATGTTATCCATAATCCTAATACTGCTATAACAATTAACACATACACAATTAAATTGTGAATCCCACTTAATATTAAATTAAACACTAAAACAAGGCCTACGAAAATGCCAAAATTAAACTAATACACGGGCAACGCCAAGGTCTTAATGTTATATTACTTAAAATATTAGATTCTATTCAATTTTACTGGTATAAGTATAAGCATGTCATTAAATGTTAAAAACCTCAACTGTATTACGCAAGCTGATTGTCAAAGCAGGGACATTACAACACAATGAATATTATTTATAAAAGGTAATGTTATTTTTTTTTTAAGTTGCTATTAGGAACTTATATCTTTAGTCACAAGGAAGAATGGCCTAAGTCAATTTTTGGAATTTTTTTTATAATTTTTTCTCCATCATTTTCTATAATTTCAGTCAATTTCCCCATGTTTTTGTACTTTTTCAACTTTTTCAAGATATTAATTTAAACCTTTCTTTCCCGAAACCAAAGATATATTAAGTACATAAAACTGAAATATCTGATCATAACCTTACCACCAAATATAATATACAAAATGATGAAACCCTTTAAAAATAAATAAATGCAACTAAATTAGTCACTAATATAACGAGATGATATATATAAAATGTATAAAATCACATCTTATATCTTTCTTGTCATATCTAGAGATTACTCTGGAATATCTCTATAATTTTGGTTGGGTGCGAAAAAAATAAATTATCTATTAACTTAAATTTGTACAGCCATTATTATTTGTATTATTCATGGCATTCAAACCTCGATTATAAATTATTGAAGACTTGCAGACATCATAATTTTATGGAAACTCCACACAGGTACTTGTACTTACGCGGGTATCTATACTTATTAAGTTCAATATTGATACTAATTTAAGTTTAATTTAATTTAAGTACAGGTTAAAATTACTTAAAATCTTAACAATTCTGCATATATGTATAAATATAAAAAGGTAAGTAAATAGTAATATAGCATTATCTTAATTTATTATTTTTATTTTTTTTTTTTAACTAGGTACCTGGGTAATTACTTAAAAACAGTAATAATGTCTATAAAGATATTAGTTTATTGTTTTTTCAATCGATAGGTCGTAGGTGGCCAAAATAGTAGGTATGCTGGTCAAAATGGAAATTGCGTAACGGCCGAAAAGGACGTATGTAACCGAAAGCTGAAGAAATCGTGAAATAATCTCGTATGTCCGTCCACCGAGAAACGAAATACGAAAACGCATTCAACAGGTAGTCGCGTTGTGGTCGTCGGAATAAAATACATACCTATCTAGTACTTACGTTTAAAGTAAAAAAACTCACCGTGCACGAGCGATAAAGTCGCTAATAAAGTCACAATCCACAACAGTAGGATCTTCATCCTGGATGATTTTTCCGGAACGTGTTTGGATGTCGCTGTGTGGACGACGACGAATGTACGCATTACGGTCCCGACGGAATGGCGCGGGAAGACGCTGTTCGGTTCACGACGGGCGGTACGATGGGACAATGCCGTGCATTGTCGCAGCAGCGGCAGCGGTGGCGTCGGCGATTCACCTGGCCCGTCCAATCGAATGTCCGTCGACGCACCAGCGCCTGGACGTTATTCGCGTTATCATTGCCAAAGGGACGAACGACTGCAGCAGCAGGGGAAACGTGCGCGAAATCGGACCGTCGAAAAATCGACTGTGCGGGCGGCGGGGACGGGATGGGGAAAAAAATTATTCGAATCCACGGGCCGGCCGGTGTGCACCTATATTGTGTCAAAATATTGTTACTACGATGATAATGCTCGGACGATGAGTACGCTGTTACCTACGGGGGACGCCGAACATTTAAACCGGACGCGACGAATAAACTGTCACGTGACCCGCGAAAGGTGACCGGTCGTTATCATGACCACGGTAAACAAACGAGCGTGCCGACGATAACTACGGTCTACCGTCTACGGTAGGTACGCGGTGCGGTGCGGTCCACTAGGATCGTACGACGGCTCGTTTTTTCCTCGACTCGTTTTCGGCACACTGCGCGTGGCTCGCTGCGGAATGTTTCGTACGTTACGTGATTTCGCCGCGTCTCGTCTGCCTCTGCTACCTGCTACCGTGTCGCGTCGGTCCGACGGTATTGTTGTGGTCCAACTACTACGGCGCGGACGCAGCAGCTGGCGCGGTTTATGACCCTCGGCTTACGGTTTATACAAATAAAATAATATTACGCTCGATATCATTATCTGTGCCCCTTATACGTTGTACTCGGCCAGTCCGGTGATGTAATAACCGTAATAAAACACCAATACATTGCTAATGATAATGTAAATCTATATTTTGTCCACACATTAATTATATATACCTATACACCTATACACTCTTCATACGGAATACTAGAGTATTGTTACTCAGAGACGTAGCTAGAAATATTTTCCTAGGTAGGCCGGATAGAATAATAAAAATGTTTGAACAGGAAAGACTACGAGCATAAATCTTCGATTTTAAAATATATTGTGTTAGTTTTCGGACAAAAAGGTCCGGACTCACCCACTGGCTACGCCGCTGCTATTGCTACTAATGAATTATGCCCGTCGTGGGCTAAAAATTCGGAAAGTAATGTGACGTATAGGGTTAAATTTAATTTTTATCTGTGCCTATAAATTGGTAATCGGAAAAAAAACGACAAGGTCAAAAACGTCAAATGTATTGTACTTAAAATTACAAATATTAGTGGCCAGTTGCAGGCTGCTGAACTACGATCAAATTATTTCAATCGTACGGGGCTATCCAAAAGATATTCAAATGGTGTACCCTCGATTTTTTTTTTTTTTTCTGGTAGTGAGTGGACTAAATATATTATTTTTAAATGTGTACAGAAATCCAAAAGCACGTTTGTCCTGATGATCTTTTACGCATTTGTTTATGAAATAAACTTTACATTAGCTATTGCATATGGTTTACGGTATTTATGATAATGTATACTACTATTTGTATTATTATTGATTTACCATGTCGATTTTTACTTGACGTTTTATACCATGTTTTTATTTTCCTAGATTCCTATACATTATTGTTGACGGAAAATGATTCTTAAACGAAGTTCCAGTAATGTTTTGTTTTGATAAAATTAAATTAAAAATTGTACCTAAATTGATTCGTAACGAAAAACTAAAATTACCATAATACAATAATACCGTAGGTATTTCCCGTTTTTTTTCGTCACCAATTGCTTTGCATTTCATAGAACACAAAAAAGTTTTATCCAGATAAATCGGGAAATACTATAGAATTGAACTTCGTCAAAATGTGTACATTAAACGTTGATAAGAAAAAAAAAATACCTATTTAGATCATTTGTATACCATTAATTAAACCTCTTGATGAACTTCTCAGGGGTGGGGGTATTTCTGGCACTGCGTAGAGGGACGGAAAGTTATTTGAAATTGATCGTGAGAAAAACTCATTAAATGCGAAAAATTGAAAAAAAAAACTGAGGGAATTCTGGAAAAACGGGAAAATCAGTACGTTAAACAAATATTATTATTGAGGGAATATATAATGCCTATTTAATTATTTTACCATAATATGACATATATGTATATTATTAATAAAGTATCACTATCAACCGAAGTTCGCTCCGAATCGTTTATTTCTTTATCAATGGTTTATAGTTACTTACAGATATAACTTAAATTCCCGTCTGTATCCTATCTTCCCAACTTACCACCTACAACAGTGTCTACATCCGTCCTCATTATTCTAGGACAGCTTTTTTTTTTGCACCATTATTTTAGATTGAGAGCAAAGCATTTCAGCGTAGCAGTTTTTTTTTTTTATGTCTGTGAGCAACTTTTCACTGGGAAAGTAATTTTTGATTAAGGGGTTTTTAAAATAATTGTGAAAAACCTATAGTAAAATTATAGGTAAAACGGAAAATATTTACGGCGCACCGTGGCGGCATTAACGTTTTCATTATTTTAAATTTTTACGGCTTGTGTTATCTACTATAAACATTCCTACTATACAAAAACGACAAGAAACCTTTTTGTTGAATATTTAATCTAAGGGATTCGTTTGGTAATTTTTTAAATAATTAAGCAAGATTATAATAGTTAAAAAAATTGCTATTTATTTTAAAATTGTAGTATCTAAAATTATAGTACACGAATATCGATTTACAGAAGTACATATGCACGACTCACACACCGTCGATAAGACATGTGAATAAATTGCCTACATTTTACTTCATAATAGATAGCGGGCACTGACATCCTTGACAAAATATACGGACTTGGGGGGCACCTAGGCCTCTCTGGAACCACCTCTGTTAACATGTCAACAACTGTAGATGTCCAAGAAATAATTCAGTAAAATATTTTTAGTTTGGAAATTAAAAAGAATCAATAAACATCAACAATAATAATAATTAATATATCAAATATATACATTAGATTCATAAAACATAATGTTTACCATTATATCGATAATACCAGAGAACAATATCGATCTTTGATAAATATCAAAGACTTATATATACACTAATATATATAAGACTTCTAAGAAAAATATCGATATATCGTGTATAAGTATCGATATACAGTGTGATCACGATTTATGGTAACACTAAATATCTTTGGTGGATGACCTTGTATTGAAATGGGGTTTTCGGGAGGTGATAGGGAGTACCTAAATAAATATTTTCAGATAAATTTCAAATTTGTAACACTTTTGGTATGCGCATGCGCAATACAACTTACATTTTTTTAAATGGAAAAACTATTTTTTTTTTTACATATTCGNTTCTATTTATAAAACTGACCAAGTTAGAATAAGTCAAAATTTGAATTTCTGTATAATTCGTGTATAATGAAATTTTCATTTATAACCACTGGAAATACTAAAATAATTGTGAAATAATTAAACATTATTTTTAGTGTATGATATTTCGTCAACTGTATTGATTAAATGTAATACAAAATAGTTATAATAGTAATAGTAATATTAATATTATAATAAAAAATAAAATTTATCGTATGAATTGTTCAAAATGTTCACCATTGTGTTCTATACATGATTCAAGTCGTCTTAAAAATTCAGTTGGAGTTGCCGCCTTGATTTGCTCCTCACTTAAAATATCACATGCTGCCTGTATTTTGTTTTTTAAATCCTGAAGATTGACAGGTGGATTTGCATAAACCACAGTCTTCAAATATCCCCATAAAAAAAAATCTAGTGGCGTCAAATCTGGGGATCGCGCAGGTCAAGGAACGACACCATAAGTACCAATCCAGCGGTTTGGAAATATTTAATTTAAATATCGTCTAACAATAATTGCATTGTGGGCTGGTCCTCCATCTTGCTGGAAAAACATACGGCTCCGTGTGTCTAATGAAACATCATCCAACAATCTTGGTAGTTCATTGGTTAAGAAATTAATATATCGTCTGCCATTAAGCATACCATCGTAAAAGAACGGTCCTATTAGCTTTCCACCAACTAACCCACATCATACATTAATTCCCCAAACCGTTTGATAATTAGTTTCACGTGACCAGTGTGGGTTTGTGTCATCCTAGCATCGATGATTTTGTTTATTCATAATGCCATTATTAGTGAATTTTGATTCATCACTCCAAAGAATATGATTGATAATTAAAGAGTTATCATACAATTTAATATTGAACCAAGCTATAAATTCCAACCTACGAATAGAAACTCCTGCACGCAAATGTTGGACAAAACGATTTTATGTGGGTGCATTTTGTGTTTTTTTAGAATTTTTTGAACATAACTATATGAAACTCCAATTTCGCGAGCAACATGCCTAATTGACGAACGNTGACAAACGTGGATTAGCTCTTATGTATGCTAGTACCTGTAATTCTGTATCGTCATCAAACATATTTGCTCTACGCCTTTGTTGAATTATTTGTCTGCCAGGAAATCTTCCTTCCTCTTTTAACCTTTGTAAAAGTCGTAAAACATAATTATAAGGTAGATGGTACCTTTCTGGATATCGTTTGGCATACGTCATAGCAATTAGGCGTACATTACTTTGACATTCGCCATAAATTAAAACCCATTCAACTTTTGCAAGGTTATTCATATTTAAAAAATTACAATTTATAAAAGAACTTAATAACTAGACATCCACGGATAACGCACATACTTTAGAACGGGTCTAATTACAGAATAAAACTAAAATTTTAATTTTCATCAAACTAAATGCCTTATTAGTTGATTATCTTATCTTTATTAGAGCTATTAAAATAAAATATAATTTCACTAAATAAAATAGTTAAAATTGTAATCGTATTATTGCAGTTTAGTGAAGAAAAATTATCACATATTTGAGATATTCATTCTAATGACCAACAGTATTTTTAAATTATTATTTGTAAACAGATAAAGTAAATTGAACATTTATTTCGTATTATTAGAAATCCAAATTTTGACTTACTCTAACTTGGTCAGTTTTATAAATAGAAAAAACTTTGAATACAAAAAATGTTTAAAAAAAATGTAAGTTGTATTGCGCATGCGCATACCAAAAGTGTTACAAATTTGAAATTTATCTGAAAATATGTATTTAGGTACTCCCTATCACCTCCCGAAAATTCCATTTCAATACAAGGTCATCCACCAGAGATATTTAGTGTTACCTTAAATCGTGATCACATTGTATATTGTTGCCATCCCTACGTAACCCCGATAAGGGCAGCCATTGGAAGGCTCTAAAAAAGGTCTATATTAGCTTTCAGTACAATAGGGGATAAACTAAAATACTGTTTTACTTATTGTGAGTTCACGTAACTCGACGGTAAATGTATGTTTGTTTAAAACTAATTTAGAACATATTTTATTGGTCCTAGGCAAATCTTACCTCCGGTACAGTATTCCTAGGACATTCTTATCCATCCGGGAAGGCAAGAATATTCTAAGATAATCTTACAGGACCCAATTGCAGATAGCATGTAGGTATACGCTATAGAATTTAAATTAATCCAAAAAAAGACTCAAGTAGATCTCATTTAAACCGTTTTGTTGCTTTGACAAATGAATGAACCAACCTATTCCTTAAAATAATTTTTTGTTCGAAATAGCATTAATGACTAAAACGTTCAAAACACAGCAGGGATCACAGTATCCATACCATTTAATGCCAGTTTAAGCCCTGGAAACCTCACAGTCATACGAAACTGCGAAGTATGTCCAGCTTTTTTTACGTTTGATTCAATGTAATAAAATTAAATTGTTGTTGATCTCCGTTATATTAAAATATTTTAATATCAACTATTATGCAATATATTACTGGACACAATGCTGAATAACATATATAATATCTAAACATTTCCAGTTCTTATAAATAATTGTTTTTTAGTGAAGGTTTTTTTCACATACCACTGTTGTTTTAGGGAAAACTGTAAGGTCAGCACTTGATATTAGTTTTATTTATATTTCTTTTAAAAAGTCATTTTTCGGAAATAAAAACAAAGATACTTTTTCTGTAAGTATTTCTGTATTTGATTTTAATCCTGATTTACAATGAATAACACAACAAGAGGTTGACATTTTTTATTATGATGCATGTATAATATAATTATGTATATATATATATCACGATTATATTACCTATACTGATAAATAGCATGCCTATTGTGAACAGTTATTATTATAAACAAATAAGAAAATACCCTCCCACTTTTGATTGTAAACGGTTATTTTATAACCGTGATAGGTATAGATAGGTAAGTATTTTTCGGAATCACTTGAAATTTAAAAAAAATATTTTGTAGATTATTTGCTCATAAAAGTTTACATAAAGTGTACAGTAGACGCCGCTTAGGAATACGGATAATTGATACAATCGCGTTATTGAAACAAAATGTATAGGAACGGATTGGTCGTATATTAAAACAATCGGTTAATTGGCACGTTTCACCTAGGTCCGAAAATGTTCCTAATAAGCGATTTCTACCATACATGTAAATTTAACTGCGGTTACTAGCAGCGCTCCGTCGTACACGGCATTTTGGTGAATTGCATCAAATAAAACGAGTTCTGACCGCAAAAATCAGTCACAAATCATATACTGATGACCAACTTGTTATTTACAATCGTGGTTTAAAATGAATAAGGATAAAGAATTATGTATGCAATTATACATTTATTTGATACCTAATAATAATAATAAGTAATTTTGCCTATATTAGCCCCTTATAATTAGTTTACACATCAAATTTTGTTTCTAATTATTAATAGACTATAAACACTAATATTTATAAGACATATTCACGTAATAAACATTTTATGAATAATATGTTTACCTTATAGTCATGATTAATGCAATTGTATATAAGCGATAAGATATAGTTTACAAATATATTGTTTTATACCGACCTAATACTTATATATATATATACGGATTTTACACGGTTCAACTAAATTCTAAAATTTCAATTTCTATAAGTGGGTTATGAATTTAAAATTTTGTTAATTAATATTGTTATTTCCAATATTAAAAAAAAAAAATGAGTGGTTTTTATTCCAGGTTAACTTTTGTTTGGTTAATTTGTTGTTATTTAATGAATTGTCTATTTTTTAGATATATAGATATGCAACTCTAAAAAAAAACTAACACTGAGGACGGGTATACTACTATTTTAGGCGGGAAGTTGAGATGGTAAAATAGGGAGACCGGTATATCCTGAGACAAGATTCGTGCCAAATTGGATATATTGGAACATGATGATGACAAAATGATATGATTTGACACGGTGATATAACGAATGTTTTGATCAAAAAACAGATGTGTACCAAAAGCTTGATAATGAGTTATCAGCATTTTCTTGTTTTCACATAATTATCATTTGTGTGTTAACAAATTTCACATATTTTAGATTCTGAGTTCAGCAAAAAATGTATTGGTTTTACAAAGATGTTTATTTTTTTTTTTATATGAACACTTTTTCTACCATCTAATCTTACTCCAATGTATACAGTGTAAGCCCTTTTCTGAAAAGAAATTTTCTTGGAGAGACCTCTCAAAGTTATTTAAGGAAGACCATTTTTTGATTTTTCCTAGCAGTTTTTCTTATAAAAGGGAAAAAAAGGGTAAAACATACGAAATATATTAGTAAAATATTACGGTTTTTTTTTTTCTGTATACAACTTTTCTACCAGCAATTTTGCTCCTATTTTTAATGGTAGCAATGTTTCTAAAAAGAAATCAAACTATGGAGGTTTTTTATTATTTTTTGAAAACATTAGCGAACTAGTCAACTAGCGAAAACCTAGCGGAGTCACTGGCTCACTCTGACTGTTATAATCGGAAACAACCCTCAAAATTTAAAATCAACTACGGACATTAGACAATTTTTTTTTTAAAAGATAGTGAAAACATTTATTGTATATTTGACAATACTCTAACTCAAGGTTGATGATGAAGGGATCTTTCTTTTGAACTAATGAGATTTCCGATAGCATTGTTCTTCTCGCACGTTTAATCATTGTCCACACAGCTATTTTCGAGTAAATTCTTTTATAGTATTTTATTATTATTGTGTATTCGGCCCACAAGGAAACCAATTAATTATAATAATAATTGTTCTTTCTATACTCATATAACTGTAAAAGTCCTTGTTCCAAGGATAGTTAGGAAGTTCGATAAGTTAGGCGTTAGGTTAGGTAACACGAGTGGTTGACTGGTCGCTGGTTTGATTCCCGAAAAATCATCATCTTATTTCGTTTTTGTGTGAACACGTTTTTTCCTAGTAAACTAACTTTGATTTTTACTTGTAGCAACTTTTCTGAAAGCTCAAGTTGTCTAGATTGTAGAGTGTTTTGATAAAATTAAAAAAATCCAATTGTTTATTATATTATAATATTGTTTATTATCCAATTATACTAAATCAAGAAATGATATTCAGATTTTTTAAAAAAAACTAAATTTTTAATATATTAAAGCAAAAGTGTAATTAATTAGTATTAAGTACTAAGTGATCATTCACATATGTACACATACATATTATATATTACCATATAATATAGTTAATGAATAATATTTAGATTTAAAAAAAAAAAACTAAATTTTTAAAATATGAGAGAAAAAGTGCAATTAAGTATTATTAAGTATTAAGTGTTAATAAAATATTAAGTATAAGTGATAATTAAACAAAAAACATAGGATTTTCGGAACTGAATAATGCATTCAATTGATTTTTAACTTGCTCGTCATCCAAACGATTGATATTTATGATTTTGCTATATGAAAAAAAAAAAAAAAAATTATTCAATAAAATTATTTAATAAAATAATAGTTCAAAATATAATAGCCTACTTTTCAATATAAGTGCGTGCTCTAAAAGCAGCCAAATGAGCATAGTATGTTGGTGCTGGATATGCAACTGAACGAGTGCAACGAACAAACAAAAAACATAAGTAGAAAGTAAGTTGTTCTAATTCATCTTCTGTTAAATTATTGTCATCCCAAATAAGATGGTACTTTGTTGGTCTGGATGTTCCCTTTAAGATTATATTAAAGGAAGAGTTTAAAATTTCAAATTATGATTAATAATTAAAATTAATGACTAACTTGAATACTAGCATGACTACATAAGTAAAAATCAACTTCTGATGGGTGGGTTATTTGAGTGTCGATAATTGAACCAGATGGAACGTTTTGAAATTTGCCATCCATGTCTTTTGGATATTTAGGGAATATTCTAGTGTGATGCCGTTTCTGTACAACCAAAAATGTTATGGGTGGTTGATACTTCACATTTAACCGTAAACAAGCACGCCGGATAGCAACAAATTCATAGTCCAACAACTGTACAAACTGTCCCTCGCTAACACCATCCCTGAAGTAGAATATCTTTCTTGGCACTGTTTTTGTTTTATCTTTATATTTAATTAATTGTTTGTGGACAATATCTTCTAAATCTTGAATGATTTCCACTTTAGGCGATTGCAAACGCCATTCCATATTGTATTGGCTTCCAGATAAATCGTGACTTGCTGCAACCTGAAATGCAATTGAAAAATATATTATTAATACTAAAATAATTAGGTAAAAACAAAGTTATTGAGATGGTTAATATTCTTAAATAAATAAATGAATTATGATAAGTGTACTACATGGTTTCGAATTAAAAATTCATCATCGGATATATCATAGTGGAAATGTTAACCGTGACTGAATATAAAAAATTAAATGAAGAANAATTATTTGGTTATTATTTTTTATCTCACATGTATTAATATAAGATATTTTTAAAATCGGTTTGAACATTTAAAATATTATTAAAATTATTTTTCCTTGTTTTATTGTGTATGTGTAATTCTTCTAACACTGAACTAATGTAAACTTTATTTTGGGTACTTAATATTTCAATAATATAAATATCAATATCAATATTTAATATAATGGTGATTAGAATCATGTGGTATTAAAGAAACAGTTTATATATGTTTCTGGTAAATACAAAAATCAAATTTATTGTATATTATGGAAACTGTAAGATCTAAAAATTTCATTTATTATTTATTTGTATTTCGAGTGTAAATTGAATGTTTTCATTTCACATGTTTAAGTAGTCAACTTAATTTTCTACTTGTCTATTTAAATCTCTAATATAAAAATACCATTAACATATCTATAATATGCTTTTAAATATGGACTATATATTTTGTTGTAATAATATTATTGGTTTCATAATTTTCAAATAAAAATGAACTTAAAAGACCCATAACTAGCTCTTCTGTTTGCGAATATAATTTATTTTAATAATTTTGTTTTTGCTTTATTATTAATAATAAATTTATTAATTTTAATTACCTTATTTTTATATATAGATTTTTTATTTATAAATATATTTATTTATGAGTATTAACCATTTTAATAATGTTGTTATTACTCTATTATTTTATTATTTAATAATTCTAATTGTTGAAATATACTCACAGCAGCAACTGAAGGAACAGTAGTTTGATCTGGTGATGGGTGAGTAACATCTGCTCCAAAAATAATCGCACCTTTCATACTGTTTGGGCTAAATCACAGTTATAGTTAAGAATGTATAATATATTTATATATATATATATATATAAGTAATAGCGCATGTTAATTTTTTATTCAGTAGAACCAATTTAGTTATGTTAGTTTTAATATTGTGCATATTGCCTTATTTATCAAATTTAAAATTTGAAGCAAAATATTAGTATGTAGTATGTAGTATGTAGTATTAGTAAATATTATTATACCTAGTTTAAAAATTTATGGTTTTGGTAAAAAAACTTAAAAAAATAACAAATCCAAATTTTATTAGTTTGAAAAATTTGAAGATGGCCTTGGCAAAGAATTCTTCTGAAAATGTTGACTGCTTCAACTTATTATTATTATATTACTAAGTTTAACAAGTATAAACTGCTAATAGTAAATTAATTTTCATGTTTGGTTATTTTAAAAATTATTTCTCATAAATGAGAATTTATTTTTTAAACAATACAGCATTATTAAATACTCTTATTTGCACTGTGTTGTATTATCAAAAGTAATTTTTAATTTAAAAATACAATTTTCAACAAATATTACCAGCTACTTGCAGACAAAGTATGGTTGATTCCATTCAATTTTGAATTTATTTTCAATAAGATATTACAAGCTGTAGAAACATTCATTTTCAACATAGTCTTAGATTTAATGCACTGGGTGAGCATACCAATTTGCAATTCTGAAGCTTGTTTAATAGCAGCTAAACAAATAAAATACATTTGGTTATAAAATTATTATTTATAACAATTCAAAATTAAAATTAAAATGCTTTTATTATAATAAAAATACATTAATAATATAATCAAACAAAATGTTAAAAATAAATAAAAATCTTAAATGAGGATTAAAACAGCTGTCTTATTATAATAGGGATGAGTGCAGCCACTGTTGTAGGTGGGAAGTTAATAAGCTAGGATAAAGACGAGATTTTAATATATATAAAAATGCAGTGATAAGTCATTGCTATTGAAAAACGATTCTGAGCAGGGTTTAGTTGATAGTGTTGCTTTATCAATAATATGTTGTCATATTATGGTAAAATAATTAAACAAGCATTAAACCTTGAACAATATTTGTTTAATAAAGTTCATATTTCCCTAAATTTTCTAAGATGTTTTCCCATTTATTAAGAAAACTCCAAGAAAATCAAAAAAAAAATGTTGAAGGTCTAAAGTATCTTCTTAGTCAGATTTATTTTCATTTAAAGTGCTAGCATTTTAAAACCAATACATTCCATGCTTCACTTAGAATATAAATGTATAGTAAATATTTAAATTATTATTTATTATTTACCATATACTCCTTGTGGATATTCTGGAATTATTACCACTACTAGTTCCGTTGGGGGCACAGAATTTTTTACTTTACTCAAAAAATTCTCAACATCTTTTTCAATGGACTTAATAGGTATATGTTTTTTCAAAGTCACATTGGACACTGGATCCATTGGATTTATCATAACATTGTAATCTTTACCACTTTGTATCAGCAATCTCTCAAAATTTCTAGAATATAATACAATGATAGAAATATTTAATTAACATTTAAACAATATAATATACAGAGTAGACATGAACTTATTGTGTTGTCAAAAATACAATAAGCATCATTCTGTGTAATTTATTATTTTATAATTAGTTTCTTGTGAGTGTTTTAACAATAAGAAAATGTGACTATTGTTTTATATTACTTATCTTTAATAAATTTAATAAATTTTGTTTATAATAATAATAATGGATTTGTCATTTGTATTTGTTACTCATACATTTTTGTTACACATTTACATTATTCCATTTCTATGACAATAATATATGAATTAAAAATTAAATTAGTTTAAATATATTAATATTTGATATGTATGATTAACATACCATATTAGGACTGTTGTAAAAATTACAACACATGAATTGTAAACATTCTTTCAAATGAGTCATTCAAAAGTTTAACAAAAGAATAATAATATTAAATTATTTAAAATGGAATAATTATTTTACTTACTTTATACTTGTGTGGTTAGTCCGTATATCTAAATTGAGTACAACCCATTTCGTAAGTTTTGCAGCCTTAGAGAATTTATCAGCTTTCCAAACACCAGCCTTCGGTCTAGTTACCTGTTAAAAAAAAAAATTGTAGTTATTAAAAATTCTGAATTTTTTTTAGGGTTATGTATTATAAATTATAAATTAATCAATTTTAATACAATAGTTAAATAAAGGTCTAATTACACACATCCGTTCCATGTCCATTCAGTATCCTTTTCCGTATTTTAAAATTTGTCGGAGACAATGTTTTTGGGGATTTCACTGATATGGATATGGAAAATATGAAACATTCATATGTTATGTGTAAATATACCTTAATGATTTTGAATCTTAAAACAGAATTATTTAGCTGTAATTATAAACTTTTGTTTTTATCTGTTTGCTACACCATAATGTAAAGTAATGAAGAAGTATTATAACTGATGATAATCAAAAAATTTAGTTTGAATTAAAGAATGGTTTTTAAAAGGACAAATGTCAAGTGTCCCTCATATCAGTTCCAATAATGAAAAGTGAGAATTTGTAAAAAAAAAATAGATAAATTATTAAGAGTAGTGCAATAACAGATATAATTTCTGGTTAGCTTTCAAAAAAAAAAAGCAACAAATTGTTATTATTATTTTAGACTTTAAATTGAGTGTTTTTTTTAGAAAACATAACAAATATTATATCAGTTACATAATAAAAAGTTTTGGCAAAATAAGGATACAGGAAAAACACTGAACAAATATGACTTTTTTTTATTATTATTTAAAATTGATTCATATCAGTTTAATATTTCTTTCCTCCAAAATAAAGATAAGGGCCAACCCCATAGTAAATAAATATACTATAGCATATTTTATTATTTACAATTTACTTTAATTAACTATTGACTCAAAGTTGCAATTTAAATTGTATTAGGTGCTGTAATAAAAGATAATTTTTTTCAACTTAATGACTTAAAAGGTTCTTACAATTGTTGTCTCTGTCTTACAAATGCACAATGTTAATTTTAATCAACTAACAAGTTTTTTTAATGATGCAATGGTAGAAGAAAAATGAAGAAAATTCACACTGAATATAAAATATCCAAAAAAGTTGTATTTACTTTGTTGCAATGCACAGTGTTAATGGGTTAATATTAAGAATGAATTTGGTCAGTTTTTCATTTTTCCCATGAGTTTTCATGATAAATTTGGAAAATGTACAAAATTTATAAATATAAAATAGGAAGTATTAACACATTTTAAAACATGTGTAACCAAACTGTTGAAAGCAAACAGGCTGTGGATCATTGAGATCTATTAAGACAATTTTAATTAACAGGAATTTATTTTGAAATTTCATAAATATTTTATCTTCAGAATAAACCTGTCATTGAAGTATCTTACATGGGTAATTTGTTTAACATAACGCATTTGTATATAAAAAAAATATAGATTTCCACTTGTTTTCATTACACTAGTTTTGTGCATAATATCTAAAATGGACAACCACTTTATCCTGTCATATATAATAGTATTGAAGTTATAAATTGATTAAAGATAAAATAAGGTTTTTCTTATTAAATATCAAATTTTGTTGAAAACATTAAACTACAGTCTGCAAATTTACTATGAGATACATTTGTAAACTGGAGATAATTAGTTTTTATTGTAGCCTTCCACTAAACAATTGAAGCATACCCTATTTTGGTAATATGCCAAAGAAGGCTGATCCAAAACTCTTCCTGGAATAGTGGCAAATTGTTCTTCGACATCAATACCAAATTCTTTCAATACTGAGTCTTTATTGTATTTTATGTCTTTTATACAATTTTCAATAGTTTGTCTCCGTTCATAAGGTGGTCGAGCTGCATTTCTCACCATTTGTACAGTTTGATTTTCGGTTAATTTTTTCATCCTTAATTGTCCCTTTTGGACAGTACACAACTAAACCAAACACAATAGAATATTATAATTTAAAAAAATTTAAATTCATTTTAATTCATAAAAAATATTTATTCAAGTAAGCATTATTCAATTATTAACCAAGTGCAATGTATTACTACAATTATTAGCTGTGATTTGGCCTCGGAACAGTTTAATGATTAAGTTTACAGTTATAAATTCTGGTTACTAAATTGGAAAATCATACAAGTTGTTTAAATTGGTTAATGAAATATTTGTTAGTAAAAATTTAAAAATAATTATTTTTTAATTTTTCCTGTTCTTTTTTATAATATTTCTATTAATCATAATTTTAATAGTTAATGTAATAGTTAATTATAATATAGTTAGTTTTTGGTAAGTAAGAGTTTCTTAATAAAAATGTATCCCTAAATTGAATAATTATGAGACATTAAAAATGTATTTGACTAAAAAAAAATTGTATTCTATTTATTATATGATTTAAATATCCAAGTCCAATAATTAGTATAACATTGTTCTTTTTACCAGTTTGAAATGGACAGTTACATGATCCATTAAACCTTTGCTAGAAGAAAAATTGACCAGTAATAACTATGGTAATAATCATTTAACAGTTACTCAACAGTTTAACTGTACAAAACACAAATATAGTACACAAATTAAAAAAAAAATTGATGTAATCATGATAATAATCAAAAAAATTAATCAATAATGGGAGTAATATTTACTTCAATTGGAANTCACCTTTATTTTCATCATCCATTTCAAATCTAAACAAACAAATCTTCATTTTATTCTTATTTTAGTTGAGAAAAACATATTATTTGTTTTATTTTCAAAATTATTTGAATTAATACACAACATAAGTTTCTTAAGTTTAATAATTGGTAATTATTATCCTGATGCCTGATGATCCTTTGCTCAAAATTATTTAAAATCAAAAACCACTCAAAAATGTTTTTATGACCGAGTAAATATGTACTTATACATAGTAGTTTTCTTTAATTTAATTTTTAATAGCTAAAACTGCAAGAATGGAATGTGACAAACTAATAAAATATTTATAGAATCCAACTGTGTTACAGTATGTTATCTAATAGATATGTTGAATTAGGTTCAGAAGTATAATTCACAATAAATAATATGTGAATTATACAAACACGATTGATAAGCTTATAGGATTGAGATTAATTATAACAATATTTTTAATTATTCTGGCAAAATAGAGAACCTAGAGTTATTTTGATTTTCTAAGTTTCACATTTAAAATAAATGATTCATTATATTAATACCAGTTTAAGATACTTACATAAATTTTGATGCACTTTCAAAAAGACCGTTGACCTTATATGAACGTTTAGTATTAGTTTGATTGGGAATCATGAAATAGACTTTTAATCCTTTAACATAATTTGCTAATGCATTTTGAGATCTAAAATCTAGCTCTGTATCAAGAGAGCAGTTCAAATCATTTTGAATATAAGAAGTCAATAGTTGATGCTTGGGAAAGCCCTTGTGTGCGACTAAAAAATTAAATAAAATTACTTAAAACATAACATAAGAAATTGCATATAACATAAGACCATAACATTTAAGAGCTGATAGGTATACACTATTGTTGGTTGGAAGTTGGATACATAGATAATTTGAATTTACATCTGTAGGTAAAGGTTATTAATAATGAAGTACCTATATTAAGCACAATATTTGTGCCAAAAACCGCCTCTGCTGTGTTGTTGATTGGAGAAAAATTTCTGGGAGAATAAGTTGATAGGGAAAAAAAATCAAAATATTATTTGGTTTGCTCAGAATGTACAAATTAACTTAAGAGAATAATAAGAATTTTACTAACATCCTATTCAGAAATTAGTGTAAAAGGTAAGTTTAGGAAAATCTAAAACGTTATGGCTGTACAAGAATAATAATGTAGACTTTTACTATGACTACCTAATAAGAAATGTTTAATTACCCAAAGGCCTACATAATGTCTATTGCAATATAACTCTCCATTTATTATTAATTTACTAGCCTAATTTTATACCTTCTTCTGGCTTCCTAAATATAGTAGATGCAAAATATTTGTGAAAATTTATAAAAAAAATATATACTCCTTCAATATCTCTTGATATAGAGATAAAGATAATTAAATTCTGTTTTTTTTTTTTATTTATTATTAAAAAATTTAAGAAATAATGTTTTATTATTATTTTTGGAACATTTTACGATTCTGTAAAGATTATTTCCCTGAAAATGTTGATGTATCACACATTAATTTCCCATGAATAGTTTCTAAGTAACAGCCATTTTTAATTCAACTTATCTGTATGAAATCATTATTATCTCTGGAGATATTCAAGGAGTATATCTTTGTGGGACAGCCTATACATACATGTATAAATGTATATGTCATTCTTAGTCAAAAATAATAATCTGGAGAATTTTTACATCTGTGCTCATGGTAAAAAGAATGTCATAAATAAATAGTATAGATAAATGTATACAACTGAAAAGTAGTATATTCTTAGTAATAATAGTTATTAATAATATTATGTTATATTTACCATCTATGTTCAAATAAGGTTTCCAACCCATAACAGGACTTTGAAAAAATCCTTTCCAGAGTTCCATTCCTTCACCCAAGTCAATTGGCTGAAAATGTGGTACAGGGAAAAAAGACCTACCAACATTAGTAAACCTGAAAAACAAATCTTTTTAAAATTGCAATCATTAAATATTTTAAACAAATTAACTAACTTAAATCAACAACATTAATAATTATATATGTAAAGTTAAATAATACATTATTTATAATATTAATTTAATTAAGTACAAAAAACTGTAAACATTTAGTTAATTCACTAATAAATTTCATGTATTTTATAAGTGTGTAAAAAGCTAAAAATAAATCAACTGTTATTTATTGTAATTGGTTATCCAACAGTAATAGATGTTCTACAAAAATATCCCTATTGACATATTTTGAAATAAAAAAAGATATTCAAATTCTGGTTTTTTTTTACATAGTTTAAAGGACTTCTAATATTCAGATTTTAATTAAATTTTTATTTTGGTATTTCAAATCAGTACATTTTTTTAGTTTAGGGGAAATAATTACTAAGTCAATTAGAGATTACCAACCATTTGCATGACAAATGTTAAAACCAATAATATATAAATAATGTATCAACATTTTCAGAAATATATATGTTCTATAAAATAGATATTTTTTTTATATTCAAATTGTTTGAAAATAAAATTAAGTCATTTTTTTTCTATCCTTACCAAAACAAAAATGTAACTAAAATATGAATATATGTAATCCTTACTTAGTATTTAACTATCTAGTTTAAGATTCAGAAGATTTCTCAATGGGGATATTTCCACAGTACACTTTATATTAAGAACATTTGATTCCAAAACTCCTTTTTTAAAGTGGATAATAGAGAGTATATTATAATCACTAGATTTATATATTACTAACCTTAATGCAAATGGCCTGTTTTTCAAAACAATATCTAATGCTTGAAATGCTTCTCCAGGAGGACAATTAGATGATCCACTTTTCAAATATTCTTCAATCTTACCCATATTTATTTGTTTAACAACTGATGTAACAATGGTGAAGTCAATAGATTTACCATTTTCTTCATTTAGAACAGTGATTAAATCACTTCTCTGGAAATAATATATTAGTTAATAAACACTTAATAGATAAAACTAAATTTATTTCACAAGCAAAAATAACAACTTCAAATAATTGAAACTTTTTAAGATGATTATATGTGTTCCACTATTATACAAATTAGCATATATTATTAGCCTTATGTCAAAACAACTTGGAAAAAATAATCATTTGTTTTAAAAAATAATTTTTTTGTAAATTGAATAAATGTAATAAAATATTTTAAAAAAAATTAATATTTTGTTCAGCAAAGATTTTACCATAAAACGGCAAAAATATTGTCATTTTTTTCTCTCATATAACGAGTTAGTAATTAAAATATTTATGTAGTACTTTTTATACAGTAAATTAATGTATTATACCCCTTTCAAATCTTTTGTAGTATACATGTTTCTTCTACCATCAAATGCAAATTGGATGCCTCGATAATGTTTTTCGACAAACTGTTCCAAGGCAGATCTAAAAGTAAATAAAATTGTTCATTATAAAATTTGATAAAAAAATAATAGTAATAATAACAATGAATAATTGTTATTTATTTATTAATTTAATTTATCATAAACACAGTATTAAGTTACCTAAGAAGTCGTTTGGGTAATTCTGGAGTAAATTGACAATCAATATGATAAACAGTTTTTTTAAACAATTTATCGAGGTTTAGAGGAAGATGGTTCACATCGAATTCAGTTTGACGTCCTAATTTGCCTCCAGCTTTTAGATTTTTACGTTTTGGAATAACTAATTTCTTTCTTAGAATTTCAATTTGTTGATCAATTTGTTGGTTACCAGCTTAAAATCACATAAAATTGTATAACTATAGTATTTTGAAATTATAAATGCATATAAAATAAAAAATGTTTTAAATACTTGGTTGGATTTGAATTTCCTCAGAAACACTTGGTTTTAAAGAAGTAGTTTGTTCACCTGCAATATGAGTTCAAATCAACAAAGAAATAAATACACACATTTTGTAATATCATCACATTTTCTCAATTTATGCAAGCAAATTAAATTTCTTTTTTCTTTAAATGCACATATGCCAAAAAGAAAAATTGTTAAATGTTGGTTTAGGTCTTGTTAGATCTAACATAACAGAAAGGCACCTATATTCACATTTTTATATTTTTAGACACCATAGATCTAAACCAACACAATTAATTTTATTACATATTATTTTTACCTTTATGTTGTTTTTCAGGAACCTTAGTTAGCTTTTGCTGCGGCTGTTTCTGTTGAGTCTCATTTGAGGGTATTTGAGAACCACTTTTATCTATATTAAGAATTAATCATGTAAAAAACCACCTAACTAAAAATATTAAGATTAATTTACTTTGTGGTTGTTGCTTTTGCGAATTATCAGAAACCTTGGTTGGCATTGGCTCCTTAAGTTGCTGCTGATTTTGCTGTCCTAGTTGTGGAAAATCATTGGCTGGGTTTTTCTCCTTAAGCTGCTGTTGTTTCTGTTGTGTTGTATTTTGAGAAGATGTCGGGAAATCACTTCCATTACCTGTTTAAGGTATTAAATAAGTATTAATACAAATTAATATTTAATTTTTTCTTATTATCAGATAAAACTGTAGACCATATATAATTTATCATATAAAATATAACAGATAACTTAAATAATATTATACAAATTTTAAACCTTTGTAAAATTAAAAGCTTTCTTTAAACTTAGAATTTAAAAACAAAATTTCGTATCATCTTATCTTGTTTGGATTCTAAAATATTTTTTTTGATAGTTATGTTTTTAATATTACTGTGTATATTAAAACTTTATCTTTAGTGAATAATTGCATGGAACTGTTATAACTGTATTGTTATACAATAGTATGATTAACATTTTTTTTGATTTTCGTAACCATGAAGACTTATTTTGCTATGCTCCTATTTAAAGTGTTTAATTTGATTATGAAAAATACTACATTCCATATTTACAACACATATTCTAAAATTGTAAAAATTAATATTTGTGTAATAGGTATAGTCATTTTATTAAAATTTGTAATTTGGAGTGCAAAATACCTATTAATTAAAAACGTGTTTTATACTAATTATACTTTTAATACATAATAGATGTTTTTTTTTAGCATTATAAGTCATTTAGTTCCTTTTGCTGTCCATATTAAATTCTTCAATTGGAGGACAAAAATGTTAGTTTATACTATTATACTTTTTTGAACAATAAATTATTGTACGAATATTATTGCAAATGAAAAACACTTCAGAGTAATTTGCAAAATCTGTTTTAAAAAGCCATTATTTTTATGACTTTCATAAAAATAGTAGTGATATATATTAGTAATTAACTATTTAAAACTATACAAGAAACGAACATATTTTCTGAAATTAAAAAAAAAAAACAAATATTTTATTTATGGTGTATGGTGTAATTACCTATACATGTAATGTATATCAACAATTCTAAAACACCTCTGAAAAAAATCATACAAAATTATAAGTTTCCCAATGTCTATTGTGTTACAGACTCTGTCCTTCACACGAATAAAATGTTTAATATAAATTAATTGTTACACACAACTAATGTATGAGTATGTACTAATGGATGTTGATGGGTCATATGTAAAACATGTCCGGAAAAGGACAACACACCACAAACAGATAACAATGACAGCATCCACAACTACCTTGACTAAGGCGACAGATAATATTATATTAAAGACAATCAGGACAGATGAAAAAGGACTTCAGTCACTGCAGGACAATAGAGTATTCACGAGACAACACTAGAGGGAGGAGCTCCATCACCTTATCATATATCAATGAATAATTAAGTATGCAAACTTGATTTTAAACATTCCTAGAGTATTTCAAAAAAACAAAACCTATAAAATATGTTGGAAAAAATTAAGCTCTGGTAGTTACTCATTTTTCAATATTTTTTTATTATTGAAATTAACTATATGAAAATAAAATATACAAAAATCAGATTTTAAGAAAAACACTGAATTTCTAACTCTGAGAATAATAATGCAATCAGAATTTTTCAGATACTAAATTCTACATTTTAGAAGTTATAGAGATTCGGAGACTGCCAATACAGGTAATTTTTTATCACGAACCAGCAATTATCGTAGTTTTTTAAGATAATTTGATTTCTGTTTTTTTTTGTAATCATTATGGATTCGTTTAAGCCGGAGGTTCTTAACCAGTGGTCCATGGACCCCTAGGGGGTCCGTAGAGGGTAACTCGGGGGTCCACAAAGTGGGTGTGAGATTTTTAAAATTACCCAAATATAAATTTGTTTCAAATTATTCGATGAATCAAAATCATTGGTTAAGATAAAAAATGTTTTGTATATAATGTAAACTATTATTGTGAACATTGTGTTCATTACGTATATTTATTATTTACGTAAACTTGAGTGGTTGTTCATATTATTTTGGTAAAATATTCGATAACGCTATTGCCTATTAGATAAAAATGAAATTTGTTTGCTCAGTCACTCAAAACACAATGGGAAAAACCTGTCATTATTAATTCACATAATACCATATCTAGATTACGATATTTATGATTACAATACAATTTAACAATTTTAACTAAACAAGAAAACCTATCTCTTAGTTCTCCCTATACTGCGTTAGCAGTTGACCCGTTGCCATCGCGCTGCACATAGTGTCGTTTAACTCGTTAAATTGTGTTTTGTCACCTAGGTATTTCGACCGTTACCGCGTTTGATTATTTGCTCTTCATAATCACTCTAGTTTATGCATTCCTTTATTTTTATTTTGTTGTAAATTTATTATGTTAATGTCAAAAAGAATAATATGATAAATCATATATATTGTATGGTTTTACATTTATTACTGAACGCGATGGTACGCAGAAACCACAATGTTTTATTTGTGGACAAATTCTCCCAAATGGAAGCATGGAACCAGTAAAACTCAAAGAACATCTTGTTTCGTTACATCCTCTATTTAATAAGTCTTATATTATTAGCATTAAAAGATAATTTTAATCAAAAATTTTGTTTTTTTTGAAGGGGTTCATGGTTATATTTTATACTTGAAAGAGGTCCATAACCAAAAAAAGGTTAAGAATCTAAGGTTTAAGCTTTATTTTAAAACCATTTTTAATTGTTTACCGTTACTTCATATACCTTAAATAAGTACATACTTTTGATTTTCAAATAGGAACACCCCTCCCCCCTTTAGAACATAAATTTGAATAAAAAATATTTTTCTAGAAATTTTGATATGCATAGCACTAATATCAGGTTTACCGTTTATGAGTTACAATAAATGGGTAATAGATTGCCTACCTATAACCGTTCCTTACTCCTCAGGTCTAAATTTTAAACTAATATACCTTATAAACGGTAAATCTGTTATTAGTATATGTATTATCAAATTTTTAGAAAAATATTTTCTATTCAAATCTGTGTTCAAAAGAGGGGGGGGGGAGTTCCTATTTGAAAATCAAAATTATATAATTACAGAGGTGGCCAAAAGTCGCGCAACAAATTTGCAACACAGTTTTTATAAATCTGTTGTGTTTTATGTTAAATATATTGTTTTTTTATAAACCTTGCTGTTGTTGTACGTAAACAAGACAAAGAGACCAAAGTTGTAATATGACGTAACGGAAACGGAGAAAGAAATTGCGACGTAACGGAAACGGAGAAAGAAATTGCGACGTAACGCGCATTCCATACAAGACGGTAGGCGTTTGTATTTGAAGTATATGGAGTAAGGGTAAACAATTAAAAATGGTTTTAAAATAAAGCTTAAACGATTCCATAATAATTAGAAAAAACAGAAATTAAATTAACTTAAAAAAACTCCAAGATAATTTCTGGTTTATGATGAATAAAATCACCCTATATACATAAAAATATACCACCCAATTTTGGGCACGGGGGACAGATTAACCTAACTTGATGGATTTAAATGCAGATTCACTATACTCAATATCATGAAATTTAAAATAAAATAAAAATGATTTACAATATTTCAAACATTTTAGTATAGTTACAGTAAATTTTGAAAAAAAGTAGGTAGGTATAACATGTGATGTTGAATGTAAACAAAATGGACGCTTGAACATTTCCAAACAATGGGCAAACGAGAAACACCAAATAGGTAAATGTTATAAAAGATGTTTATCTTATTTCTCAGGGCCAACTAAGTAATGCATATGTACACTTAGGTAAGTAATGTATGAAATTAAATACTCAAACAATGTTACTACACTTACTTTTCTTCTTGTTCTTACTCTTTCTGGAACCATCTACAATAAAATAATACAAATTAATTCATAATCAAACGTATTCAAATCATATATGCTGAAGATATTAATACAATATAATAATACCTTGTTGTCCTGCATTATTAGCAGAATTTTTTTCCATTTTGTAAAGTAACGGAGTGACAATGTGAAATACTAAAAACAAAATTGACGAAGGGCGAAACGGCGAACAACGAATGAAAGACAGATGCGGTAATGGAGTCGTTCGTGTTCAACAATCGATTAGTTTTCACTCACCCTCTGCCATTGCTGCAAATGTACAAACCATAATTTAATGCAACTAAAATACGGGTGGTTGCCTGTCGGGGATCGTTGATAAAAATGTACGTTCCCCAAACAATATTTGATAATAAAGCCCAGGGGTTCCCAAATTTATATATAATGTTGCCTATTCAACTCCTATAACTGTACTACTTTAATAAGTTGTCTACACAACTTCTAAAAATTAATCGTTTAACACATTCTTAAAATTCTATTACTAACGTTCAATTTTAAAACTATATTACCTACCCAGCTCATGAAATTGTATTATAATTTCTCAGTTTTTCTATTTATTGACTATCTAACTTTCAAAAATCTATTGTTATTGCTCAAAAATATATTTCTATACCTACCTGACTACTATAATCTAATTTGATACAAATATGGTTAACGTAGTAAATATTCCCTAACCCATAAAAAGGTCTCGAATATGCAAAAAAAACTTTGTCCTGTAAACTCTTTATTAAATAAATCGTCCACAATTCTTCCTCTCACGATTGCATATATATAAGTAGGTACTCAGTATGTAATAATATGTAAAAACTTGAACATTCTAAACGTAATAATATTTATTCAAATTAAGTACAATTAAATATCTGTAACTAAATAAACTACAAAAAAAATGAATTAGGTATTAAATTATAATTAGATAAGTTAATGAATTCTTTATTTAATTTAATTTTTGTTTAACGTGTACACAAGATGATCCTAATCAAATTCTAAAAATGTATTGCTTATTTAAAAAAAAAAAATTTTATATTTTTATCTCATTATTAATAATGATGCAAATATATAACGATTCTCTATATTATATTATAAATATATTGTTTTAGCCATCACTATATATCAAATGTTTAATTGTATTCAGTTTATATACAAACTACTTAGTGAGTAGGTATTTTAATTTGATAGTTTTGGTTAAGATCATTTCTGTAGAGTACCTACTTTAGAATAATAATAACGGATGATAGTCATTAAATCTATTATTATCCATTAAGATATTACTGATAATAAATAATTTTTTAATTAATTCAATTAATTAATAGTGTCAAAAGTTGGTAAACCAATAATAAAGAATAACACTATTTTTTTTACTTACATACAGATTTTAAACACACAAACACACAATATAACAAGTTAAAGTTTTACAAATAATAACATTATATGTAAACTATTATTAATTATTAGTATTTGATGATATTTTAAACCACATTACATTAAAAATATACATTACATAATGAATTTTAAAATCAATTTTTCCTAACCTTTAGTGAAAAACATTAAAATATTATATCAATATATAATATAGGTAAAATTACTTACCAAATAAAAATTATGAATATAATACAAAATATATTTTATAATAAAAAAATGTTTTTTATTAATGTAATTATATGTATTAATAAGTTATGCACATTATGTATTACACATAATAATTATAAATTACAAATTGTACTTATAGATTTCATTATTTTTTTGACTTTAGCCAGCCAATAACTAGCAACACTTTCTAAATATTTGTCTGTTGCTTTTTATAAACTTAATTTTTTTTCCACCTATAACAAAACAATATATTTTTTTTTTTTTCAACAATTATTACATATAACACTTTAAATTATTGTTAATGGTTTTACACAAATTATATATACACATAATGACATATAAAGACCACTTAACAAAATATAAAATTATTCTATTTGGTAAATTGAAAAAAATAGCAAATGACAAAGGATTTAAATTTGTGGGGACAAATAATGCAGATATCCTTCTATGCAAGAATGAACAATCTAGAGTTTATCGAATCAGGAACGAAAAAGATTGGGCTAACTTATAATAGGTACCACAAAAATTGTCATTAAAGTATAATTATGTTATACAATATATAAATGAATAATACTAATAATGATTCAATTGATAATCTCGTAAATTTCAATAATAATACTTTTTCGGATATAAATACCCTTAATGTATTAGTAATTAATAATAAAGGCTTTACAATTGTCTATATTAACATAAGGTGAATTCAAAAAAATTGTAATCAATTATTAGTTACCTATGTTTGATAATAGTATATAATATATTGATTGTATAGTCTTATCTGAATGTTAGCTCAGAAGTTGTCCAATTAATATTAATATAAAGTTTCAAATGATTTAAAACTTATAGTAGTAATTTTAACCAAAATAATGATTTAGTTGTGTATGTTAAATGTTAATATTAAGCATAAAGTTAACCACGTGAATAAGATTGTTACTAATAACTGTAATTGTTTACAACTTAACATTAATACTAGAGAGAGACTACTCCTGTAATAATAACACTTTACAGAGGTCATAATAACAATTTTTCAGAATTCAAAATCCAATTAACCAAAATATTAGCTAATATTTTTTCAGTGAATAAAGTCATAGTAACGGGAGATATAATCAGTGCCATAGAAACCGCCTGTGCATTAAACCAGGGCACTTAATCTTGAAAAGGCACTACCGATAATCTAATAATGTGACCAAAAATATTCAATACAATAAAGAAAAAAGAAAATAATATTTAAATAAAATGATGCGGATTAAAATATTGTGTGATAATGAATATTAAAATGGCCTTTATAGTTATTATGTAGGTACTATGCAGACGGTAATAGGAAGGATCCTATGGTCATTGATTAAATATACTGATACAATATATTGATTAAGTATATTTAATCAATGGTATAGTGTACGTTATATGGATAATTGTCTAAAGTCCCTTTGACCTGAATATTGATAAAATGAAATACTTGATTATTGAATATTTAGCCAACTGAGCAACCGAGTGGATGTGAAAAACAAAAGAAAAAAATAAACAGAAGAACATATTTACAAGCTAATAAGTGGTTTTTGTATAAAAACAAAAAAATTGACGACCGAATGTATGTATTAAACTATTAAACATTATAAATTAATATGAACGAGCCATAGGTACAATAATTACCTACTATTATCTATTGAATTTACTATTTATTTTATAATATAATTCTATTCTAAAATCAATGGTTTTACTAAGGTGCCTATTTTTTTATTATTATATTTTGTGTAACACTTTTCCTCCCAGAAAACGTACACCAATTGATAAATAACGAGAGACCTTTTTTGTCCCATTTTGGAACTTTTGGTGTATTAAAGAAGTGTTTTTTTGATTTTCCAAGTAGTTTTCATAATAATTCTTAAAAGCTGAAGAAAATTTGAACAGGAAAACTGGAAAAATATTCACAACAACGAGATGTTGTCGGTTTCATTATTTCTTAATTCGTTCACACAATGTTTTCTACCAGAAATATTGCTTTAATCAAAAAATACCAAGATACCTATTTTATTCGTTAGAATATTGAGCCACTGACTAACTTTTTGTTTATTTTACTTTTTATTTTAAAATAAAAGTTATAATAATAATAAAATAATTAAAATCAAAATTTTATTTGTCATAGAATTATATAGTTTTATTTAGTTATAAATAATTAGTATTAATTTGATTTACGTAATTTTAAAACCAGTGTTAGATAGTAATTTTTTATTTTGTTTACAAAATTGTTAATTATATGATCAATATTTAGTTCTCCAGTTTTTATAATTAAAATTGAAACATTATTGAGTCTTTCATGAAATATTGTATTTCTTTCATTTTTTTTTTACACTAAATTGTATCTAAATTTAAAAAAATATGATGTACTCATACCTATAATCTAATATTTAATAAAGTAAATAAATTATAAATATATATATATTTTTTATTTATAAATTTATTTACGAGTATTAACCATTTTAATAATTTTGTTTTTACTTTATTATTTTATTATTAAATATTTAATATATAAAATGAAAATGTGTCTTTGTAAGACACATTTATAAATTTGTATTTTGTGAGCTACCATACCGATGTTCATTGATTGTGATAAGGCGTTTTACTAGATATTCAGGAAATTCCAGAGGTAGTTATAGACTATACGATTAAATAATAATTAACCCCTTCACCCAGAAAAATCACCCTGCAGTGAAAAACAATAATAGTTTGCATATTTCACATTTTATTTATTTATTTACCTTAGAGATTATAACAAGAGCCAAAACTAAAATGTTTGAAGAGACTTAATAGTAACTAAAGAGCTTCCCTAATTGTGTTTATGTTTATGGAGCACCTAGACTAATTTGCACAAAGGCATACAAATACCCAGCTATGGCACTGAATATAATATCAATACATCAAGTAGTAAAGATAATACTAAATTGGAATATTTGAATTTAATGTCAGAATTTGATTATTACAGTTATATTAATGATATCACTAAAGACAATGGTTCCTGCAGCTCCACTATTGATCATATATTTATAGAAACTTTATTGATTTGCAAAACTTAATTCTTATTACATATCAATCTTATAACACTGATCATTATAGTATAATATTAATTGTTAAACAATAAAACATAAAAGAAAAATTATTGTACAGTACATATAGTTACATAATATATAGTAACAGTAAAAATTGTGAAAAACCTATAACTAACAAAAGATAACTAATCTCATTTTTAACAGAACAAAATTAGTTTAGTTTCAAATGAATCTGATGTTAATAAATGTGCAGACAATTTAAATAACATATTGAATAAATACTTATTTGACTCTCTTAGAATGAAGGATAATTAGATCCCATCAAATAGAAGATGAATTAAATCATGGATAACTACGAGCTTAGTAAAATCAATTAGTACTAGATATAAATTAGGTAAAATAGTAGGTATTGAAAAGAAAAAAAATGACATCAAATTACAAAAAATATAAAAATAAATTATGTTTACTAATACGATTGTTACATAAAGGAATATGATCTTGATTTTATACTTTTTATTGAATACGAAGTAAATAAAGTAATTAAAAAAATATGAAAAGGTGCATCACCTGGTTTTGATAGAATTTTATCTGATCTATTAGTTCAAATAGCAGAATATATAGTTAAACCTGTTACTTATTTAGCAAACTTGAGCTTTCAAAAGGGAACTTTTCCTGATATAAAAATATTATATATAATATATAAATATATAAAAATTGTGACTCCTTTTTATAAAACAAATGATCCCACAGAGCTTACAAATTGCAGACCAATATCATTAGTTTCAGCAATATCTGAACTACTAGAAAGACTTGCAAAAATCCAACTACAAACATTTTTAAAATGCAATTAAGATTTAGTGAATATACTGGTAGCAATTTAGCTTATAGTGTACTAGATAGAGGTAAATTATGTTTAGGTATACTTTTGGTTGTCACAAAAGCTTTTGTCTCAATGTCTCATAAAATATGAACAATTGTAAACTTATATTATGTAAGCCCAATACGACTTAAATTAATATGGTTTATATAATATACAGAGGAATAAATTTCTATAATTAATTGTCATTTGAAATTAAACAAATTAATAATAATCTAAATTACTTAATTAAAAAATGGTATGCAAATCTATTCCATTAGAAGTCCTACTATTTTTCACCTTATATAATAACTAAGTATTCAGCTAATTTATTTATTTTTTTTTCTTCTTCAGTGATAATATGTACATCACATTTTATGTTAAATATGTACTATTTTAATGTATTAAATGTATTATCATCATAATTTGTCAATTAAATTATACTCCCAAAACCCACCTAGCATCACCAAGTATAGCTTACAGAGATTTGGTATCAAAAATTGTATTAGTATATGAAGTATGTTTATACAGTTGTAATATTTATACAAAATGTTTTGATGATTAAATAAATAAATACCTATAATACTATAATACTTAAAAAAAAACCACTATAAAATATTTTCCATGATTTTAAAAATTATTAAAATTAATGATCTATAGGCACTATTACACCAATATTTATGTATGTATGTTTTTTTTTTTTTTTTTATATTACTCACAAGGATGAGGACCACAAATATTTAAGTTTTAATTAAATTAATTTTTTAGTAATAACTTTATTATTTTCGAAATTGTTAAGGCCATTCTGTAGAATTAATTTTTCTAACAATTTTAACATATCACACATTTATATCTAATGAAAATTGTCTAAGTAACAGTAGTTTTAAATTCTACTAATCCTTGTGAAAACCGATGTTATTTAGGGATTAACATAATCGTGTTAGGCGATAACATTATCTCTGGAGATATTCAAGGGGTATATCTTCGTGGGACAGCCTGTATAATCATGTTTAAACTAAACATAATGTTTAGTTTTGATGAAATTAAATTAAAAATTGTACCTATATCGATTCCTAACAAAAGAATAATACCGTAGGTATTGCCCGTGTTATTTCGTCATCAATTGCTTTGCATTTCATAAAACACTAAAAAGTTTTATCCAGATAGTATAGAACTGAAATTTATAAGATAATTGTCAAAATGTGTATTTTAAACGTTGATAAGTAAAAAAAATACCTATTTAGATTATTTGTATACCATTAATTAAACCTCTTGATGAACTTCTGATAGGAGGGGGATGGAGTGCGGCCGCTGCGTTAAAGGACCGGAGCTCCTCTACTAATTTTTTCCTTATTTGGGCATAATCCCTACTATTTTATCATACTGGAACAAAGGGACGGTGAATATTATATATCACTGACAACATTTTTTAAAATAATTTTAAATTGATCGTGGTTTCTAAGCAACAATAGTTTTTTTATCAGTATATTATTTTTCATTATATTTGTAATTAAAATGTAAAATACATATCATATAAATAATAAGTTATAATTACATTAAAATAAACGATAATAAAGATAATGTTCTATAAATGTTATTATAAAATGTAACACTAGTATCAGATATTATATTGTTTATAGGATATAAATTAGAATAGAATATATTAGTTTAAAATACATGTTCTGCTTAAAAATAAAAGTTGCTAGTTATATAATATAACTGCTTTTGAAACTGTTCAAGTATTATATCCTCTTCATAGATGGCTTGTTTATTATCTGCTATATCCATTTATATTTAGTGTACTTATTGTAACAAAATAGATTAAAAACCACTACTCTAAAGGTTGGCTTAAACTTAATTTTTAATCTTATAACTTTGTTATTGAAAATTGTGTTTTATTTGTTTACTTCTGGTTTCAATTAGTTATTTGGTTGAATAAAAAGCTTCAATGTGCAGCATAGCTCCATTACTAGTCATATTTTCCTGGTTTTAAATAAACATTGCAATGATATGAGATAACAGGAAATTTTAGAAAATAGTTATAATAAATTTATAACTACTATATATAGCTAAAATCATAAATAAAAATAGAAGATCTCTAATTTCTTATTTGAACTTTAAATATTGTATATAATAGAGTTATCATGGGTACTGAGCCAGTTAAAAAAAAAATTGCACATTACTTTATCCAAACCTATTGAAACTCTTAACAAAATATTCATCAATTCTGTTAAGTAGCATATCTAGTGAAAGAGCTGGATTATTATAAGAAGAAAATTAACTTGACCCAGAAAATATTCTATTTATAAAACATAATATAGCAAATTTCCAATGAAAAATTACCTATATTTTTATAATAATTATGTACACAATAATTACATATCCTATAATTATTCTACACATTATATAATATAGAGATAAAAAATACAATTTGTTTAATATGTCAATTTATCATATAATAAAAAAAAATTCAACCATGCCAGTAGTTATTTTCATAAACACAAAGTACATTATTTAAGATAATTTTATTAACATAATTATTATTATTCATTAACACAGACAATTTATTTCAAATGTAAAATTAGTAGTATTAAGTTATTATATATACATATAAAAATAAAAGACTATATTATTTTTAATAATATTTGTTTAATGTACAGATTTTCCTGTTTGTCCTACATTTTCCTCATGTTTTTCCTGGTTTTCACATTTGATGATAAAACTCTTAAGAAA